CTCCTGCCCCCAGAACAAAGGCGCGCTCTCTCTCACATCCCCGGGGCTTGGGTTTGAGGCCTAGTCTGTTCTTTTCCCCTGCACTTTGTTCCCAGGCTGGGGGCCCCGCCTTCTAGCAGCCGCCTCTCTGTTCCCTGTGGTTTCAGTTCAGTGTGAGTTCAGCTGCTGCTTCCTGACGGGGCCTGCAGGCTGGGGGCGGGGACACAACCTGAGGATGCAAGAGGCTGGAGCCCACCAGCTTCTCCCTTGTGGAACCTTCGAGCCCAGCCTCAAGTTCAGGCTCATTGCTGAACGGCTGTGTGCAAAATCCTCTCACCGCAGCCTGTTCAGGCCCCAGGTTTCTCTGGAGACTGAGGAAATGGCCGGCCAGGAGCCAGCGACTCTGTCTTGTAGGCACTATCCACTGGGCCCTGCCCCATGGAGTCCCTCGTGACCATGTGGGAGGTTTCATCCTTTCACAGATGGGGAGTCGGGGCCCCCTGATGGGGGAACCAGGGCATCCAGCTAATACATGCACCTTGGGACCCCGCTTCTGGCTCAGGTTACTTTCTCAGCTGCAGCCTCAGTCCGCGCTTGCCCGCTTCCAAGAACAGTGTTCCTCGCCCCTAGGCGAGCCACTGATGTTGGGGTGATGCTCCAAGAGGCAGTTATAGGAGATTCTGATGTGGGGGGGGGTCCATGCTGCAGAAAGTCAGGAGAGGCTGCGGGATCTAGGGCCGGCGGCGGGAAGCCAGGAACGCCATAAAGCCCTCTGTCCCTGTCCGTCACAGCCGTGAATGGGGCCCTGTTAGCCATCTGCAGAGGCCCCAGGCTCTGGCTTTCTTGGTTGCCATGGTGACCCCTGCACTTGGCTGAGTGTGTCATTGTGTCCACTGAGTCGGCAGAAAAGCCAGTGGGCTCGCCCGAGGCCGGGAAGAATGTAGCACTTTTCTCTTGGCCCCAAGAGCAGATCGGAGGACGGGAGCATTTGCACACCCCAGAGAAGTCTGGGGGGTCCATTTTTAGACAATGATGCATGCAGATTTCATGTTCACCTGCCAGAAGGCCGCTGAACGGAGAGGTGCTCTAGACGCCATCGGTACAGGACACTTGGCCGGCGTTTGGCTTTCTCCAGGGGTCGCTGGCCGCCTGGCTCTGCTCTGGGGCTGGCACAGTACGGGCCCACATCCCAGGTCTCAGCTTCTCCTCTGCTCCCTGTGAGGCAGACTCCTTTGACATCACCCGCATTTTGCAGATAAGGACTGTTGAGGCACAGAGAGGCCACTTCCATGCCCAGGGCACACAGCAGGTAAATGATGCTGACTTCACACCCAGCATCTTGCACACCGATGCCTGAATGGTCACCTCAGGCCTCTCTCCCTGGATCTCTGAGATGTTTAACTCCCTAAGTCAGACACCTCCTTTGGCAGGGAGTTGGGGGTCATGCAGACCAGGGTTGAGCATGAGGTCGGGATTAGTTGTTCCGGGGGACCCTGTCAAAAGGGTCATGCTGGACAGTGGCCACTGGGAGGAATTGCTCTCCTGAGCACCAGGACCTTGAACATGCCCTTTGACCTCTGAGCCTGGCAGAATGCAATGACTGGTGGGAGGCTCCTTGCACACAGCAGGTGAGCAGGAAACCGCAGTCAGCATTTTCACCTCTGCCAGTCTCCCTGCAGAACAATTGGAAGGATTCCTCCCTTTCTTCCTCCCCCGTCCTCCCTCCCTCCCCCTGTTGATTTATTTATTTTTTTAAATTTTTATTTAAGCATACAAGAGTCGGGGTACAGGCCAGATCGCAGGAGGTGAGAGGATCCACCAGAGACAGTGGGGAGCAGAACAGGCAGACTGACTGAAACACACTGCTGAGGGGAGCAGCGGGGAGACAGGAGAGGTCTGCCGTACCCTGTGGGTAGCTCCCTGGCTGGGGATCAAACTCATGCTGCAGAGGCTGCAGAGAGCTTCCTAGTGCTATGCTTAACCCCTTGTGCTGCCAGGGAGTCCCCCCTCCCTCTGTGGATTTAAAAGTTGCACTCAGGCCTCTTCCCCCATCCCATCCCACCCTCCCAAGGCAGGAGCAGATAGGAGGGAGCAGATCACGCTCATGAGCATCTTCATTAAAGGAAAGGTGGGAGAGGCGGGTGGAAGGGCAGCTCAGGACCTGGCTAGACCAGGTCTTCCCACTTGCTTGGCTGGAGACACACAGCAAGAGGCCGCACACTCAGCGCCTGAGACTTAAGTTCCCTCCGGTGCCCTCCATCGCTCTTGTTCTGCTTGATGCATTACTCGGTGTCAGTGTGTCTTTCCATTCTGAACGTCATGGCAAAATGTGCCCGCTGGATGCTGGCCTGCCCGTCACACCTGTCTCATCCTGCCCGGCTGGGGCCGCCACCACCAGCCAGCCCTTAGTGGAATCATCTGCTCTGATTTTATTATAGACTTTTCCCAATCACCTTTATCTGCCACAAATGAAACTGGGGGGGTGGGGAGCAGAAAGGGCTCATGATTAGTAACTTCTAGGAAAACTACTTGCCTATAAATTAAAACTGCAGGGTGGTGTCAAGACAGATGTGAAGCCAATACAGGAGGGCTGTGCCCTGAGGGTGGGGGGAGTGACTGTGGCCCTGAGAAGACACCCACCTGGGTATTGGGCAGCGCTCTGGCCCTCACGCACGGTGCCCGCACATCCCTGCCCAGGGATACCTGCTGCGTGAAGGGGCGATGCAAATGCCTTGGCGGACGGCGAGGAGCCCCGCAGCGCCGGGGCAAGCAGGTAGCCGCCAGCCTGCCTGGTCAGTGCCATCCTCTGGACCCCTTCTGTCTCCCCCATTCTCGTTTTAAACTTGAATTCTTTCATTAAGGCCCAACGGACATGAAATCAACCGTGAACCATTTTAAGCGGACAGTCCGGCGCCTGTTAGTACAGTCACGAGGTTGTACAGTCACCACCACTGTCGAGTCCCAGGATAGCCGTATTTCCCCCATGGAAAGCCCACGCCCTCGGAACCCCACCCGGCCACCCCTCCTCCCAGCCTCGGCGGCCGGGGAGCCGCTGGCAGCCTGGGGTTCCCCTTGCTGGCCCGTGGCCTCTACCTCGAGGACAGGCCGCCGCGCAGGGGTTGCTGGGGTTCATGGCGTCATGACGCTGCAGCGTGGCAGGACCCCATGCCTTCTCGTGGTGGGGGGCACTCCTTGGTGGGGCTCAACTGCCTTTTCCTTTTACCCCAATAAGCATGGGGTTCTCTCCACCCGGGGCGGCAGTGGACGCTGCTGCTGGGCTTGTGTGCGGGGGTGGTTGTTTGAGTTCCTGCTTTCACTTACTGTGGAGTTGCTGAGTCAGTGTTTCACTTTTTGAGCACCCCAAAAGCCTTAGTGGTCACACCAACTCTGAGACTAGGGCTTGAGGAGCTGGGCCCTGGCTGCTGCCCTGGGCCTGCCCCAGCACCTGCCTTGGGAGCCCCTCCCCGGCCAGGTAACCCCAGCATCTCACGGACACCGAGTTCTGGTTCCCCTCACACACGGAGCTTAGCTGAGCAGAACCCTCAGGACAAGCCGGCAGAGCTGGGCTCCCCCCACCCACGAGGGGTCTCCGCAGGCCCTTCCCTCCCACTGCCCCACCCTCCCTATGCCAGGCCACTCTCCCTGAGCCTCCGAATCCTCTACCCTTTCCACTCCTGTGATGTTTGCTGGGGCCCAGCCCCCCCACTCCATCTTCCTAAGAAGGTTGCTCCGCATTTACTATTTATCGGGGGAGTGATTGCAGCTTGCAATGCTCTGGGGCTGGGGGGCAGCAGAACCCCAGTCCCAGGTCTCAGCAACCCCTCTGCTCGCCCTCCAGGTGGTCTCCTTTAGTGTCATCCCCCTTTTCAGAGAAGGAAACGGAGGCAGAGGGTTCCTTAACGAGCCCACGGGCGCACAGGTTTCTGTGGCTGCGGGACTCTCTCCACTTTCGGGGTGAGTCCCGGAGTCCCCATGGGCAGCATGACGCTGCTCCCTGATATCCCCTGGCTCCTTGCTCAGGCCAGCAAAGCACGGTTCCCTCCTGCCTTCTCGAGAATTGGTTGTTGACAGTGAACTCAGAAGTGCTCATTTACATATCTTACCAGGTTATTTTAAGACTTTATTGACGTTGTGGGTAAAGTTACCTAGAACATTAAACGGGCCCGTCCTCTGCCCGCCCCCGCCTCTCCTCCTCCGCTAGAGCATGAACTTCAGACAGAGGCGTGTTTACCCACCTGGGTCTCTCCCCAACCTAAACAACGCCATGCCTTGCCAGATGGGGGGAGCGCGCGAGCGCTGGGGACCACGGCCCTCGCTCTTCCAGGGGCTGGAATATTCGTGCCACGGGTGGTAAAAGGAAAGAGTGTGTGTGGTGTGCTCTGGTCTGTGATGCCAAAGTCAGCCGCAGGGCAAGGCCCTGGGGACACAGGGCAGGACTTAGGAGCACCAGGAGCTGATCAACACGCCTGTGAAGCGGAAGCTGAGGGCCCTGACCCCGGGCTGTCAGGGTCACATCCAGTTCGTTTCCACGCAGCCAAGCCAGTCCCACAGCCAGGGCGCCCACTCCTTCCCTAGCAAATTTGGGGTGGTTGGTTGTGCAGGAGATGTGCACCCCACAAAATGGGTTACCAGAGACGCCTCTGGGTCCTCGGGATTCCCAGATGAGCTGATGACCCGTGGTCAGTGCGGGCAGGACGGTGATGACGTCCGCTCTGGAGATCCCCAGCTGGGATCTGGCGTGTGGCTTGGCCAGGTGATGACATGCTGACCCCATCAGCCTGCTCACGGCGGGCTGCCAGCCAACTCCATCCGCGCGCTCTGCTTTCCACCTAGAAAACGGGCTTAGTAAACCTACCTGGGTGTGGCCAGGCAGAGGCACGCACACCTGCACGGGTGTCGATTGTCACTGTATGTGGAAAGCAAGGGATTTGACAGCCCACTAGCTAGGGAAGTGGTGGGTGCTTGGTCAGAAGGGAAGTGGTCTTCTCGGGCTAACTTTCTGGTTTCCTGGTCTCTTGCAGGGCGGGGGTCTGTTCCTGAAGGAGAGATCATGGCCTCCATGCTGCTCACCCGGCGGCTGGCCTGCAGCCTCCAGCACAAGTACTGCCCGCTCGTGCCCGGTAAGTCTAGGCGACTTGGCAGGTGCTGATCCTCAAGGACGACAGCCCAGACAAGCATTCCAGGCTGGACAGCCCTCGGGGGTAAAGGGACTGGCCAGCCAGTGATCACGGACCCGTCCACTATCCCTCATCTCCTGTCCCCGGCAGCAAACCCTCCCATCTCCACCATGCCTGTGGGTGGGCAGCTCTGAGGGGCAGGCACTGACACCCAGCAGCCAGGAGGACCAGGCTGTCACCTTCCCTAGGCAGGAACATAGGGGAGATGCGTGGCAGAGTTGCTGCTGATGTCCCTGCCGCGTCAACCGAAAGGCCAGTCGTGCGTCAGAGCGCAGGACAGGAGGGTGTCCCAGCAGTGTCCCTGTCCCTCCCTCCACACCCCCACACCCACCAGCCAGCAGTACAGCTCCCTGCTGCCCCATCTCTCTCGAGGCTTCCAGCATCTCTGCCTGCCCGCCCGGCAGCCCAGCCAGCCTGCCCATCTCTGCCTGCCCACCCGGCAGCCCAGGTGAGCCTCATGATCTCATGAGACCTCCCTTCCAGGGGCTCCTCCAGGAAGGCGAATTCCATTTTACTGGTGAGAAATCAGGCTCAGAGAAGTAAAGTCATTCTCCCAGAGTCACGCAGCCTCTTGAATTCAAGTCAGTCTGACTCCAAATGCTTCCCTCTCTTGCCTCCTGGCTCCCTGGAAGAGAGGGGCTAGCCCTAGGCCCCCTGCAGGTCCTCCAGTCTGCCCCCCCGGCTCGTAAAGTCCCCTGCCACTTGAAGACAGTGGCTGGCCCAGCCCTGGGCTTGCATGTTGAATGCTGGTGTTTCCACCTGGATGGGGTCTCTCCTCTCTGTTAGCAAAACTATTAGCAGGTTTATTTGGGAATGATTTTAAATGTCCAGAGAAGCTGCAGAAATAGTACAGAGAGATGCCAGGCCTCCCGCCCCCCTCATCGTTAACACCGCCGAATGCTCTTGTCACAGCTGAGAAATGACCTTGGGACGTTATTCTTAACCAAACCAGACTGCGATTTGGATTTCACCAGCTTGTCCCTTAATGCCTCCGCCTGCTCCGGGATCCAGACCAGCTCCCACAGATTCGGCGGCCACAGCTCCATGGTCTCCTCTGGCCTGTGACAGTTGCTCTGTTTTCCCTTGTTTTTCTTGACCTTGATAGCCTCAAGGGATCATTAGGCGGTTTTGAGGTTTGTTTTGCTTAATTATAAGAGAAGCGTACTCATGCTTGCCCAGAATCATGTTAAAAATAAACCAAAGCCAGAACGATGCAGGTAGGAGTGAGAACAGGGAAAAGATGCCTCATCCCGTAGCTCAGTATGGGCTGAGCACCTACTGGGTGGGGAGGACCCCGAGAAAAGAGAGCATGACCCCCTGGGGCTCCAGCCACCTGGCACTCGGGGCTCCACCTTTGAAGGTCATTCTCAAGGGCGCCTGAATTTCCCCCCACACAACACAAGAGAGCAGTGGATGGAGACCACAGGGGCGGACTTGGGGCCTCTCCAAGGGGCAGACAGTCTCCACTTCTAGAGTGTGGAGTAGTAGGAGTTGTCCCTGCTCCCCCCTGGTATCTTGTACAAAAAGAAGAGGCGCCTGGGAAAGCACTTTGTTTCCACCTGCAATAAGAGGGGGAGCTCGTGTTCACACTTGCCAGCTTGGAAATGGCAAATGCCCGGAGGTCCCTAGCTCTGCATTTTCTAGGCGGGAACTGATTCTTTTGGCCACTTGTGCAAGATTTAGAGTGAGGTTTTTTCTTTTCTTTTGGCTGATCAATTTGGCATATCTACTACAATATATGGTTTTAAAATGCCACGACACATTGCTGGGAAGGATGCAGTGGCTCGTGGATGACAGGAGTGAGAGCTTATCTAAGCCCATTTCTACCTCAGACAAAGGAAACTGAGAAGCAGATAAATTACATTGCCCAGGGGCTCAGAGGAGCAAATGTTGAGCCAGTCTGGCCCCGGCTGCACCCTTAGCTAGTGTACTAGTTACCTGTCACCGTGTAACAAAGATCCCCTGACGTAGCAGGTTAAAGTCATATGCATTCTTATCTCACGGACCCGTGGATAAGATGCAGAGAAGGTACCAGGTGCTGCATGAGAGTGCAGTTGAGCTGTGGCCGGGGTACAGTCTCATCTGAAGGCTGGGGTTGTTGGGGGGCCAGCTTCCAGGCAGCTGGAGTCAGTGCTGCTCCCCACGTGGCAGCTGCTTCCTGGAAGTGAAGGAAGCAGGAGGAGCAAGTCCAAGCAGAAGCCACAGTGAGCCACAACACCCATGGGGTTTGCCTGGGCCGCTGTGACACCACCAATGATGAGAGTGTTGGCCCGAGATGCTGTTCTCATTGCACTGTTCCATGCAAAAAAAAAAAAAAAAAAAAGGTTTTATACGCTCATGTGGGTAAATGGAGGCTGGGAGAGGAGGCAGCGAACACGGCTATTGTGGGGTGAAGTCAGACACGGATGTTCCTCCCATTGATGCTTATTAATATTTTCCCCAATGAGCCTGTTATCAGACAATAAATGGGGTGGACAATGGTGGGGGAGATAAGATTTGCTTGAAAGAAGAGCCAAGCGAACAACTCCAGTTGAGCTTGACCTTGACTTTGGCCGGCTCACACATGGAGCCCTGGCTGCTTGGGGAGATGACATTCCTTTATTACTCTCGGTATAAAGATCAAGAGGATGTTGATAAGGTTTGATGGCTGTTTTTACCATTTGGGGTTAAACATTGACTGTGTTGGCTGGCGTGACCGCCAGGAGTGGTGAGCATGGTCCAGACCCAGGGGAACAGGCTGGAGTCATGCTCTGTGCCCGGTCTGGGTGTCAGGGCTCAACCCCCCTCCGGGGCCTGCTGCTCTTCATGAATGAAAACACTGCGGCACGCAACATTCATTCCAGCTTTGCTTCCTTGCGCTCCTGACAGTATTGCCCGTAGGGGAAGCAGGTTGTTTTGCTGCAAAGGTTTCATTTCAAAAACCCGCACTGAATGAGATGAAAGACCATCAGGTATAACCACACAATCTGAGAAAGGAGACCCACACTTTTCCGTGCGGCCACTGAGTAGCTGTGTGACCCTGCGCAAGTTGATGGACATTCCGAGTCTCTCTGTGTCTTCTGTAACTTGGGGGTGATATTCCCGCCTCGGGGCTGCGGGAATTCAGCAGGTCAGCCACGTAAAGGTCAGGTCAGCATAGCGTCCGGTCTGTTCCTCGCACAGGTTTCGTGCTCATGTGGCTTCACAGAAGGGATTCCAGAAAAAGTTGCCCTGACACCCAAGTTTGGTTCTCGTCTCTCATTGTTTATAGCATCATGCGCTGTCAGGAAGGGGGTATTTGTTGTCTTGGAATTTGGTTATTTTCCTCTACAAACTGAGATAGCCTGATAGTAGGAAAAGGAGAAGTACTGGACCTATGTTCCACCTCTGACTCTGCACCTCACTAGCTGTGTGACCTTGAGAAAGTCACCTCACCTCTCTGATCCTCATCTGTAAAATGGGACTAGCAACACCGTCTCACACAGCAGGACCCCAAGCACACGGCTAACGCCCCATCTTCCTTTTCCTGACAGCCCGGTTGCCCACTCTCTCACCAGGCCTGATTTCCAGAATCTCCGCTCAGCAGTCTTGGCCCCCTTCCATCCACACCCACAAAGGCTTGGCTCGTGGTTGGAGCCAATGCAGTTCTCGAAACAGTCCCGTGTGCCGGGCCCCGGGCAGCCCCAGCGCTTGGGATCTCTCCCCACTGTCCATCACGTCTCCTTTTCCTCCTAGTCTCGGCATCCCGGACCCTTTCAGCTGCCATTGCTCACCGCCTCCATTCCTGGCATCCCCCCTTGCCATTCCCAAGAATTCTGATGGCTCCAAAGTGAGGGGCAGGCATTTCGGGAGGACGGAAAGGAGGACTTGTGTGTCTTTATTTGAAGACAGCTTGCTCATTTCGAATTTTTCGCGTTCCCCCTTTGCTGGAAACAAAGTGAGATCAGCACCGGTCGAGAGCTATTTTTATCCAGAAATGCATCCCCGCTTCATGCAGGTCTAGCTGGAATCAGTCTCAACCAGTAACCCTGAGCTCTGGCCGAGGAAGAGATAAACAGTTCAGTGTAACACAACGTCATCAGCATGTTCCCTGCCCTTTGACTTGCTGCTAGTGGAAATAAGCTCTTTACAAATTCCTTTTTCACTTCGAGATCAAACAGAAGACAATAAGGGCCGGTTGCTTCATGCCTTAAAATCCAGCTGGATTTTAGCTGGATATTATGTTCACAGGACTATATACTTCATTGCATGATTAACTTGGAAACCTTATTTGATACCCAAAGCTGGTATGGAAAATTGAGAATGAATTGTTTTCTAGATATGATGGCTTTGGGTAATGTGGCAAGGGTGTGTGTGTGTGTGTGTGTGTGTGCACGCGTGTGCATGCATGTGTGTGTCCTGAGAGAGAGCAAGAAAGGGAAAGAAGAGGGGAAAACCTAGCTGGTTTTTTTTTTCACCTTCTGAGTTTAGTTTCCTCTCTTGGGTGATAGAAACACTAAGAACCACCCTCAGGGCTGTAGAAAGAGGAAGGAGATTATGTATAGCATTTCTAGAAACTATCTAGCGAGTTCCCACTTCGATGCAATTATGGCCACCCAAGGAAAAGTTGCTGCTACCGTTTTCCAGCCGCCACGCATGTGCCAGAAGATGAAAGACGGGCGGGACACTAACGGTGTGGTCAGCCCCTGGCTGCAGCCTGCCCCCTCTGTCGGATTCCCTGGAGCAGGCCCACGCAGGAGTCCATCAGCCCTGGGGTTGGGCCACCCTTTATGTCTCAGCGACATGCTGAGCTCCAAAGCCTCGTGGGGTGACCCTGGAAAACTCCCTCTCTGAGGTCAGTCCTCCACCAGCAATGTAAAATGAGTTTCCAACAAATCACTTGCAGCCAAAATTTTTTTTAAAAAGATTTATTTATTCATTTACACAAGATCCGGGGTACAGGCCAGATGTGCAGGAGGGTGAGAGGATTCACCAGAGACAGAGCAGGGAAACAGAACAGGCAGACTGATAAAATACACTGCTGAGCAGCGGGCGAGACAGGAGAGGTCTGCCGCGCCACGTGGGACCCTAGCAGGTCAGCTGGGATCGAACCAGTGCTGCAGAGGCTGCAGGCAGCTTCACAGAGTGGCGCTCAACCGCCTGCACCACCAGAGGAGGCCCCAAAACTTTTTTTTGACATCCACAGTGGAGACATTGATTAGCCCCTCCCACGGAATTTGGCTGGTGCAGCTGGGAGGAGGGAGCTCCTGCGTGCAGCGGGAAAGACCGGGGGCTTGACGTCTTACACAAACAGAACACCCCCAAGCAGAGATTGACCCCCACCCCAGATGCCAGGCGTGCCAGGAAACTCTGCTCGGTTTATGCATGTGGGGCTAGATTCGATTTTTACACCATCTGATCAGTCTTATCACCTGACCTTTCGTGAGCATCTCTCCATGTCCGGGAGGATTCAAGATTTCTACCTCGGGAGTATTTCTACCTTGGGACTCTGCCACTGTTGCACACTCAGGTCTGTTGTTACAGACGCCACTTCTGTTTTGTTTTGTTTTTGAGGTGACATCGGTGTACAACACTGCATATGACTTAGAGGTATATGATTTTCAGGTGCTGTTGCCGCACCAGGACACCATAGCCCTCCACCTTAGTCCACTGCTTTGCACCCCAGCGGCCCAGCCCTCATGCTCCCCAACTGGTCACCTCAGCCTACAGATGCCTGGGGTTTGTTATTAGTTTGGCTCTATCTGACCCTTTGCTTAGTGTCTCTAAATCCCACATATACTGACACCATCCGGTATTTGTCTTTCTCTGAAGCATCATCCCCTCCAGTTCATCCATGTTGTGGCAAATGGCTACAGCTCATCTTTTTTATAGCTGAGTAGTATTCCCTTGTGTCTACATGTCTTCCTAGTCCACAAATCTGTCACTGGACACTTAGGACACTTAGGTTGTTTGCATAACTTGGCGATTGTAAATTGTGCTGCAGTGGACACAGGAGGTCATGCTTGCCTTTGGATTCGTGTTTTTGCATCCTTTGGGTACAGTCCTGCATGTTTTTAACCTACATCTTTGTGCTCCATTCTCGGGATTTTCTCAGGATGAATCCTGAACAAGGGAGTGCCCGGTCAAAAGCACTGGGAAGCTCCAGAGCTTCTCCCGCTTCTCCAGCACTGGCCTTGCTGGTGTTGAAATCTGCAGTGTTCTGTGGTGCCCGGATCTGACCGGACCCCGTGTTCTGGGCAGTCTAGCTGGGTAGGGCTGAGCTCAGGCGCTGCCTCAGTTAAGGACAGGGGCTTGTGTTGCCAAGGGTCTCACCATCTCTGTTTTCTGCAGGGCCCAGACACATCAGTCAAGCTGCAGCCAAGGTCGACGTGGAATTTGATTATGATGGGCCGCTGATGAAGACGGAAGTGCCAGGGCCCAGATCAAGGGTGAGTAGAGCACAGCTGCATGGGAGGCTTTGGGAGAGAGCCAGTGGGGGTGTCTCGGATACCACTGTAGTGCTGCCTAGTGGTCGCCAGACCCCGGTAGCGTATGATGGTTCATCTTGTAGAGTGAGCTAGGAGGGAGGGCGGGCATTTCTCCACAGGCCTGGGGAGTGAGTGGCTGTCATCTGATCTAGGCTAGGTCTGTCATGGTCACAGTGGCGGCCTTACCCTGCCCAGGTGTCTCACATCCTCCAGCAAGCTGGACTGGGAGTTGTTCTCCTGGAAACAGCAGAGGGCACCACACTGTGGGTCTCCGGAGGCTAAGGCTCCACCCTGGCCCATCGTTACTCCCCCTCACTCTGTTGCCCAGATCAAGTCACATGGCTTCCTTTCAGTCCAAAGTCAAGGCTGGGGCAGAACATCCCACCTGTGGTGCAAGAACCGCAATACTGGATGGCACAGGGCATGGACAGCACATGCCCTTGAGCTTGACTGAGGCCAAAAAGGAGAGCTTTGCCAGAGGAGTGCATCTGTCCTAGGCAGGGGAAACAGTGAATGCAGAACTGTGCAGGGTGAAGTTGGGGGACACTGAATCCTGGGGCAGATGTCTGCGTGTGAGGTGGAAGAGGCACAAACCAGTCTGATGAGGAAGGTTGGGGTGTCTCAAAAATGCTGCAGAGCGGGCCTTCCTGGTGTCACTAGGGGTTAAGTCTCAGCACTATGAAGCTATCGCCAGCCGCTGCAGCTCAAGTTCAATCCCCCGCCAGGGAGCTACCCACATGGCGCAGCAGACCTCTCCTATCTCCCCACTGCTCCCCTCAGCAGTGTATTTCAGTAGATCCGCCTGTTCTGTTCCCCACTTTGTCTCTGGCCACCCCTTCACCCCCCACCTCTGGCCTATACCCCACCTCTTGTGTGCATTAATAAATAAATCTTTTTTTAAAATGCTGCAAAACCTGCATCTGGTGCGTCCTGGAACACTGACTGAACCTGACTCTGTGATGTGTTATCAGTACTGTTTCCCATGCATCTAAAAAATAACAGTGTGAACCTTGTTAATACAAATTCATTTTTTTCTTTGCACATTTTACCCGCAGTACCATGTTCTTTGGTATCAGAGGATTCCTCCTGTCATCGCAACTATATTATAAACTTGGCAAGCTTGGCACTGACAGACGTTGATTGTAGTTCTATTGGATATAGTTTGCTCACAAAAGGGGAGGCATTTTTCATGCATATTTCTTGGGGACAGAATTTAATTTAATAGCAATATACTTGGAATAATCTTTCATATTCTTGCATTAATCTTGTTTTGTATTTTTACATGGAAATAGATAATTTTATGACACTAATGGCTAAAGTTTATTTTATGTTAAATTATTTTTAGAGATGAAATCTTTCTCATATTAAGCAACAAGTTATAATTCCCAGTTTCTACACAGAATGCACAAATGATTTATAGTGTTTGTATTAAAATTATAAATAGTTCTTGAGAAGCAAATTAACATTTTCAGCTGGTATTCTTTTCCTAATGGAATGCTAAGACTTTTTTCTGCTTTTATGGACACTAGATAATATCTTCAGCTTAAATTTTTTGTTAAATAACTTAGCTGACTTTAGTCATTTTTTGTTAAATATTTTATTTTACTATCTTCCAAGTGTCTAAATACTTATTAAATATTTTAGTTTATTTTATTATTTTCCAATCTGTTGTACCGGCAGTTTAACTGGCAGCAGTGGGTTCCTGCCTATTTAAACTAAGCAACTTAAAAATATTTATAACACTGTTGACTCGCTAACTTTTAAGTTACCGGCATGAGGGGGAAATACCTCCAGACTTTGGGATGACTTCAAAGAGTCCAAACCCCTCTGGCAAGAGTGTATCCTCACCAAGATGCTTTTTTTGTTCTTGCCTGCAGGAGCTGATGAAACAGCTGAATATAATTCAGGTAAGTGGGACCAGCCGGCATGCCTTCCAGCCTTCTTGTTTACCATTCAGCCTTGGGCCACAGATGCTTCATCTGCGCTTTCTCTTAAAAAAAAAAAAAAAGCAGCTGACTTTTGTTCTGAACTTTTTTTCCTAATTCCTCCTGTGATCTCTCCTTTGACTCCTTGGTTATTTGCGTGCTGCTTAATTTCAACATTTTTGTAAACCGCTGGCAATTCTTTCTGTTATTGATTAATTTCCTTCCATTGTGGGTGGAAAACATAGCTTGTGTCATTTCGATCCTTTCAAATTTACTGAATCTTTTTTATGACCTTAGAAAATGTGCCTGTGCACTTGAGAGGAACTTGGCTCTGCCCTTGTGGGTGGTGTGTCCTGTAGATATTGGTGAGGCGCCCAGTTTAGAGAGCCCCTCAAGTCCATTTCCTTGGTAAGCTTCTGCCTAGGTTTCTGTCCATTTTGAATGCCAGGTCCAGAAGTCTCCAGCTATTCTTGTAGAACTGTTTCGCCCTGCGGTTCTGTCAGGGTTTGCTTCCTATCCTCTGGTCTCTGAGGCCGGGAGCACATGTGTTTACAGTTAAGTCTTCTTGGTGGGCTGACCCTTTAATCCTCATTTCTCGTCTCCATGCTGGTGACCTTTCTTCGGGCCTATTTTATCTGATAATAGTAGAAGCCAGCTCAGCTTTCTTACGACTGGGTGTGAGTCACATCTTTTTCCATTCGTTTACTTTCAACCTATTTCTATCCTTGAATTTGTGTGTCTCGTGTAGACAGCATCCAGATGGATCTTTTTGTCCAGCCTGACGGTTTGGAACTCTCACAGTTAAATGTTCTTATTGAAATGTTTTTATAGATAGATAGATATAGAGATGTCTTCCATTTTACTCTTTCTTCTCTATGTGTCTAGTATCATTTTTATTCTTTTGTTCCTCTTTGTATTTTGTTTGCTTTTGCATTGAGTATCTTCGTGTACCCTTTTCCTTTCTTTAATAATTATTCTATATTTTTCCCCAGTGGCTGCTCTGACCTGTGCCATATACATCTTATCAGACTCTACTTCAGATTTGTACCTGAAGTATATATTTATATCTCAACCACTTAATGTGACATATCAAACACATACAGAAACATTCATAAAATATGACCTACAGAGCCTCCCTGGTGGTGCAGTGGTTGAGTGCTGGGCTGCAGAGCTGCCCACAGCCTCTGCAGCGCCGGTTCGATCCCCGGCCGGCCAGCGAGGGTCCCACATAGCACAGCAGACTTCTCCTGTCTGGCCCGCTGCTCCCCTCAGCAGTGTATTTCATCAGTCTGCCTGTTCTGCTCCTTACTCTGGCTCTGGTGACTTCTCTCACCCTCCCGTGCTCTGACTGTACCCAATGCTCATATAAATAAATAAATTAATTAAAAATAAAAAAAAATACAACCAACAAATTAAGAAACTGTTTCAAAGAAAACAGCCCATGTAATGGCCCCTGGGATAAAAAAGGACCATGTCGCCATCAGCCAGAGGGTTTCCAGGAGAACAGAGAATGGGCGGGTGGTGGTCCTGACAGACAGAGACCCTGGGCACTGCAGCCAGCCTCACCCTTCTTCCCTGTTCCCCCAGAATGCGGAGGCCGTGCATTTCTTTTGCAATTACGAAGAGAGCCGAGGCAATTACCTGGTTGATGTGGATGGCAACCGGATGCTGGACCTCTACTCTCAGATCTCCTCTGTCCCTATAGGTAAGAGCTGGAAAATGCATCCCTGAACGTGACCTTCTCTCTTAGTTGTGCCTGTCCTGACTTTGGGTGCTTCTCCTGGCGGGTGCATCCAGGGGTGTTGCCCCCTCTCCCTTGAGGGCAGAGGAAAGGAATGTCTTTCTTAGTAGGTCTGTCGCTAGGGACTTTATATGTCTGCCCTTGTTTCCTCCCCCCACACCCTGCAAGGGAAGTATGAGTCAATGTCCCCATTTTGTAGATGGACAAGCAGAACTCGGAGACGTTAGCAGCTGGTAGAGGAGGCCTAGCTGGGCGTGAGCCAGGTCTGTGTGACAGTGTCCAAAGTCAGCGTCTAGGGCTGGATTTCCCGGATGAGGAGCCTGAGGCAGGGACTCTGTGCAAGGAGGGAGATGTCTCAGAAAAGAGGCAGCAGGAGGATGAGGTCGCCACCGGAGACTAGCCACAGCCTGATCCCTCTGGGTGGGGAGGGGTGGGGGCTCTGTAATATGGCTTATACCCCAGAGTTGGCTCGGGCTGAAGCAAATGGGCTGGACTTCCCCCCCGCCTTTTCCCCCCTCCCTACCTCCACAGCAGCTGGGATGGGGTGGCCTGTGCAGGACAGTGACCTGGTGGGGCACCAACAGCACCTGCCTCCCCTCTCAGCCACTCAGAGCAGGATGCTGCAGGAGGGCACAGTGGCAGATGGACAGACAGGGCTGGCCTGGAAACATAGGCAGTGCCTCTTTGCAGCCCGGGCACCGTCTCTTTGGCTGGTGGATTCCAAGCAGAGTGTCTGGTGAGGCTTGTCCCTTCCAGGGTAACACCAGGGCATCCTGGGCCCCCCTCCTCCTCCCCCACGCTGCCCTCCTAGCAACCTGGCACTTCCCCGGAGACCCCAGGTCAGGTCTCTCTCCTCCTCTGCTTTCCGCTGGAGCACTCCCTGCAAATGATTTATCTCCCACTAGATGCACCTAGATGGTAAGCGGATGATTTGTCCGTCCTGGGAAGTCCACGGGTCAGAAACGCCTTGCCCTTCCACGGCATCCCTGAGCCTATCCGCACTCTGCGTTGGATGGGCGGGTCGGATCTCCTGGGTTCGAGCCTGGCTCCACGGAGATCAGCCAGGGGCTGCGGGCCAGTGTCTCCAGGCCAACCCCTCCATCCCCCACCAGGGCTCAGCCACCTGCAGGGGTGGGAGGAGCAGGGGGCAGGGGGCAGCAGCCACTGTTAAAAGACTAGCACTTCTAAGTGTTCTCTGTCCGGCCACCCCTGCGCCTCCACCTGCAATCTTGGCAAGGGCCGTGAAGCAAATGCTCACTGAGATGTCCCTACACGCCGGGTGCTGCTGAAGCCCCCCGTATTATCTCAGTCAGTGCCCACAGCGTCTCTCAGCACCCAAACTGGTGGGGGGTGAGGGTTCCACGAGGTTCAGGGTTTTCCCAGCGTGGACAGGAGCCCCGGTCCTGATCCCATAAAGCTGCTTCTCAGAGAGCAGCTGCCCTACCCTGCAGCATGGGGCCCCCTAGAGTGGGCTTTCCCCATCAGAGGGCCAGGCTTGGCTTCGCAGCCATGAGACCACCTCCCTCTGAGGTTTAATGCGATTTCCCCGGAACGGGCTTATCTGCTGAGGCAGAAAAGCCACAAACACCCAGGCGGTGTGATAAGGAGCCAGAGCAGAAAGTCCTCTGGCCAAAAATGTCGGAAAAAGCCCACCGAGTGCTCCCTCCCGGGAATGAGTGCTCTTCCGCCTCGGGGCTGCTTGGGACTGGGCTGGGTGGGGGTGAAGGTGAGCAGCCCCCCTTGGCCTCCCTGCATCCCGCCCCCAGTCCGTCCTGGCAGCAGCCCAGGGAAATCACAGGCTTTTCGAGTCTCCTCACTCTTAGTCATTCGATCAGGAGACAGTCTCGGTGATACGGAGTCTTTAATCCCGGCCCTGCTTATCAGGGAGGCTGAGCACAGACCCCAGGCTCAGAGCCTTGGGCCTGAGTGATAGGAAGCCCCAGTTCTTGTGTGCATAAATAAATAAATCTTAAAAAAAAAAAGAAAGAAAAGAAAAGAAAGCCTCTTTTCAAATATGTTTATTTTTTTTTAAAGATTTATTTATTTATTTATACAAGATTGATTGATTGATTGATTGATTGATTGATTGATTTATACAAGTACTGGGCACAGTCAGAAGCACGCGGGAGGGTGAGAGAATTCACCAGAGCCAGAGCGGGGAGCAGAGCAGGCAGAAGGACCGAAGGACACTGCTGAGGGGAGCAGCGGGCGGCAGGAGAGGTCTGCCCACCATGTGGGACCCTCCTCCGGTGGCCGGGGAGCAGCCGGGGATCGAACCGGCGCTGCGGAGGCCGCAGGCAGCTTCGCAACCCAGCGCTCAACTGCTGCGCCACCAGGGAGGCCCTCAAGTATGTTTAAATTAAAAAGTGAATTGGTTTCAAGAAAACATGGCCGAGGCAGACTTGAGGAAGACCAGATCCTGTCCTGGGGCGATTTCTCTGAAACCCACTCCTGCTCCCAGATCCCAACTCATCTTTCCCAGATACAACAGGTCTGCGTCCCGGCCGTGTTGCCTGTTCACACCCTCAGCTGATACCCACTGGGCTGAACACTTGGCCACTGCCTTACACGAGGCCCCTGACCTCAGTGCCTCGCTGCCCTAGTCCTTTCCTGGGGGATGAGCAGAAGTGCAGCTTTTGAGCCCGGGGCACTCCCCGCTGTCTTGTTCCTTCTTAAGAAGAGAAGCTTCTGTTTATTGAGCACCTATTAGGTGCAGGGGACTCTGTTCCTTGGTCTAATCCTACAGCAGCTGTTTGGCTGCAGATGGATGCTCGGAGGCTTCAAGCCTGCAGGTCTTGGATGTCACGGCTCAGAAATGTGTGCGTTGGCTGTGGTGCACCTTTGTAGGGAAAGGTGGCAGGAGAGCATTTGCTGAAGCAAAGGGCACCCTAAGCCTGCTCTTGGCACCCCAGGCTCACCTGGACTGTCCCCGGGCTATGGGATAAGCAGAGGCTCCAAGGCAGGATCGGACCCCCGACTGCAGGCGGCGTCCCTCACTCAGTCCCTGAGCGGACACTTGTTGAGGTCTGGTCCCCCTGTGAGCCCAAGTTGGGGTGAGGGGGGCACACTTGTCTGGCTGCCCCTCCCAGCCCTGGTCTCCAGTTCCCTCTCACTTGGCCTTCGCTGCCTCTTCTGTCCAGTGTGAGGGTCTACAACCTGACCAAGCAGCAGCATCGCCTAGAATACTTGTTAAATATTTCTGGTCTGTACCTTGAGGGATCCTGAGTCAGGGAGCCTGGGGACCCCAGGAATGGGTCCTTCCTTCTGCAAAGAATAAAAAGCGCCCTCGTTGAAGAGAGTTTCTGGTGGGGAAGGAAGGGGGGCAGGGCCCGGGACCCCAGGCGGCACTGGTCTCTAACCGCACCCTCCTCTCGCCAGGTTACAGCCACCCTGCCCTCATGAAACTCGTGCAGCAGCCTCAGAACGCGGTGAGTCCTGGGGACGCGAGACCCCTGGGAGCTGGCCATTTGGGGCTCCTCCACGGCCTTGGAAACAGTCCCTCACCCACCCTCAGTCAGCCCGTCGTCCATAAATATTTCCTGAGCGCACCCCACGGCCTGGGCACGTGGGTCGCCTTGGTGAGCAAACCACAGGTCCCCGCTCCCGGCGCCGGTCCAGCCACATGTGCCGTGTCTGCAGAGAAGGGGGGGGCACAGCGTGGTGCCAGTGACAGTGACATGGGCCACACTGAGGGCATCACAGGGACCACACACCACACCCCACCTCAGCTAGTCTAGGGGGCAGGTGCTGCTGCCATCCCCATCTAACGGATGAGGCACAGAGCGGTCACGAGTTTGTCCCAGGCCCACAGCCAGGGAAGGAGCTGGGTGAGACCCACTGGAAGCTGGCTACGGAGGGGCCTCCGGACAGGGTATGACATTTGGAGAAGGTGCTGCCAAGTGACAAGTGAGGGAGGGACAGGGAACGGGGGGAGCCGGGGGCACCTTGGCATAGCAGAGGGTGGGGAGGCATCTGAGGGGACCACAGTCTCCACTGGCACCACTGACTGAGCTGGGGGTTCTTGGTGGGGGCGTCCTGCAGGATGCTCAGCAGCATCTCTGCCTCGCCCAGTAGATGCCAGGAGCACCCAGAGAGGGACAAGCCGGTGTCTGTGGGCACTGCCAGGGGTGGCTGGGGAGGGCACCCAGCTGGGAAGGCCAGCAGCAGAGGCCTTGTTGACACCTGTGGCCGCCCTCACACCTCCAAGGGCGACACCAGGCTCCCTGGGAACCCCTGTGCTCCGACTTGTTCTCATTTCCCTCCCTGGATGTCCCTAGTCGCCCCGTCCGGGCAGGGAGAGGGGTCGCTGGCCGAGGTGTGGGCACGGGGTCGGCTTCAGCAGATCCCTGCAGGCGGTATCCACAGTGGTGATGTCCACAGGGGCTCCTGCCTGCAAAGGTGGTGGTGGTGTCCACAGGGGCTTCAGGAGTGAAGTCATGGGGGCTTGCCCCAGACTCAGAGCGTCACACTTGTCCACATGTGACGTGGAATGTGATTCCCCCCAAAAAATGTAAGAAAGGCAGGGGTGGGGGCCGACCCCCCAGCCTTAAGCCCGGAGGTCCAAGAAGGACTCTCCCTCCTCACAGATGGGCGCCCCATCGGTTGTGGGGTTCGGGGCCCGCGGCAGGAACGAGCGCCTCCTGCGGGTGTCTGGCAGCCCGTTGGCGGCGGGCGGTGGGCAGCTCCCGGCTGTGTTTACTTTCAGAGCCGAGCTTTGTTTCAAAACGTTGTGCAGATCCCAGCTGCCTCGGCAGTTGGTGCTGAAAAAAGTGTCAACAAACATGTCACACGCGTTTGCAGTGTCAGCTGCCTTCAGAGGCAGAACGTCCCCACTGCACGTGACTCCAGGCTAAGCTCTGGTTTCTGGGGGTGCCCTGCTCCCCCACCCCCCCTGCCTGGAAGGGGCCCTCTTCACACCCCCCTCCACTGGCCAGACACCTTCCCGCTTGGTGGGAACCCCTGCGTCACCCCCTCACACACACCCTGTCCGTTCTCGCCTCCTGCAAAGCACCCCAAGCTGTGGTGGGGAAGCCTTTCCTCCCCGCGGCCGGGGCCGGCTCTGCTTCACCCGCAGCCCGGGGCCTGGCTCTGCCCTTTTGCCTGATGCCTGGACATCTGTTGGCTGCCTGACAGCTGACTGAGTCCCTGGTGTGTGCTGGGTCCTGATCTTGGCGCTGGGGTTGGGCAGTGAGGGTGCTGCCTTGCTGGGTTATAGTCTGGGCCGCAGTCTGAACCCCGTCAGGACCCTGGTCTGGCCCCAGGCAGGACCCCATCGGGGTGGCAGTCTGTGCTGACGTGGTTCTGCAGGACACTCAAGGCCTCAGATGGGGCCCTGGCTGACGTCATGGGCCCCGGACTCTTGGCTGGAGATGCTCTCGGGGAGGTGGTTACAGCATTTTACCTGTCCCAGGAGCCTCCTGCCAGGTCGCTGAGGTTCTGCCAAGGGGCTCCTCATTCCTCTTATACCCCAGCCACATCCCCTGAAACTCCAGTACAGTCGTCTCACAGCCGCAACAGATGGAGCCACGCTCCGGATGCACGGTTTGGGTTCCAAGTCCAGTTCTCATGTCACCTCGTTGGGGCGTCCACAAGTTACACAAGGGTTAGATGGGCACTGCGTGTGCAGGCTCACCCTGCAGCGAATGGCGCGCACAGTCTGACATCGCAGTGCCCTGGACGGACAGAGGGCAGCTGGCCTGGTCAGCGGAGACACAGCCACCCTGTGACCTCGGCCCTCCCACCGGTGTCCTTCACGGCCGTGACCCTCCCTGACCTGATGCCTGTCGTCTCAATGGCTCCGTACAAGCACCTGGCACGGGGTCCCCGTTTTGGTTCCCAGATGAGGCCCCTGGAGACCAGAGAGGCTCAGTGACTTGCCGCAGGTTGCACAGCCGCTTAAGCCAGAGCACATTCTCTTTGCACTGCGCTTTGGGGCTGCAGAGCCTGATTGCAAGAGTTCTGGAAACCTGTCCCCATTTGATTCAGCTACCCGCTGTCCCAGATAGCTTCTGTTCTTAATGTCACGCTTTGTCGAACAAGAACACCACCCCCACATCTTCCCCGGGCGCAGATAGGCAGCCAAGCTGCCAGCCAGCCCGCCGGCCCCTCTGTGAGCCAGCTCCCCTGACGCCCAGTGGCAGTTTGCTTCCACCCTGATCTCATGATGCGTTCAATTACTTAGGAGCCCCATGAACACTGAGAACCAAGAGGCCCCCCCACCCCGCTTTCAGGTCAACCAAGGTCTCGGGGCTGTGCCAACTGAGCTCCCACCCAGCGTTAGTGGTTTGGGGCGGAGGCTGCCTGCGGTGCCTGGCTGAGGATGTAATCTGAATTTAGCACACCTGAATCTGAGTTGTGGTTCCGCCCCCTTCCTGTCTGTGTGACTTGGGGAAAGTTGCTTGACCTCTCTGGTCCTCCGGAGAGCTAACTCCCCCCACTGCTTATCCTGGTGGTCATACGCACAAAAATCGACAGAGTGAGCCCGTCTCACCTGCCCCAGCCACCAGAGGATGCCATCCAGGCCCTCCCAATGTGGCACAGGTGCTGCTGGGTTTACACTGCGTTGATCTGATTAAGTCCGAGATAGAGGTTCCCAAAGTCCCCGAGTCCCACCCCACCACCCCCCGCCAACCTTAGCACTTCGCGCTGGGTTTGCTCTGTTGACTTCCTTGCAGAGGGAGATACTTCTCAGCACCCACATCTTCCCAATTTGAAGGAAAAACAGATCAATGTAGAGGGTCAAGTAATTTTTCCAGCCTTGCCGTCCTCACACTCAGTTCCTCATCAGATGTCCCTGCTAAACCCTGGTTTATTTAGAACATCCAGAGCAGACCTTTCGTGCCTTTTCTTGCATGTTTTTCAAGATTACAGTGTCGTTTCCAACAGAGGCATGGGTAAGCATGATGTGGAATATTACTTGGTCCTGAAGAGGAAGGAAATCTTGCCACAGGCTAGAGCATGATGTTATGCTCAGTGAAAGAAGCAGACGCAAAAGGTCAAATGCTGTCCAACCCATGGATCTGAGATGCCAAGAGTCACGAATCTGTACCAGAAAGTAGAAGAGTAGATACTGGGGTTGGGGGTGGGGTCAGGGGGAGCTGCTCTTCAAAGGATGTTTGTTTCAATTCTGCAAGATGAAGCACTTCAGGTGTTGGTGGGGATGGCTGCACAACAGTGAGCATGGACTTGGCACAGAACTTAGAAATGGGCAGGGCCATAACCAAACATGCTGCATGTCTTACCACAATAACAAAATATCCAGGCCCAGAACAGTCCCTGTGCCAGCCCCTGGCAACTCGAGCTATTTTGTGTCCCTGTGGTTTTGCCTCTTCCAGGGTTTGGTATAAAGAGACCACATGGGGTGACCCTTCCGTCCTGGCTCCTCTCACCCACTGTGTGACTCTGCTGTCCTCCCACCAAAGTTACTTCATGCGTCTGGTGGACTGGCCCTTTTTGTTGCTGCGTAGTATTCCTGGCTGGGCACGGACCGCCGAGTGTGAACCCTTCCCTGCTGCAGGGACACTGAGTTGGGCAAATAAAAAGCAAAGCCAACATAAACATTCACATCTTTGTATGGATATATGCTTCCTATTTGGCGGCCCAGGGATATGTGTGGGGGGGGGGGTGTGTGTGTGTAACATAAGAGTCTGCCAAACTGCTCTCCAAAGTAGCTGTACAAATTTGCGTTTCCAGCAGCTGTGAATGAGAGTTCTCGTTCTGTGTCCTCAAAAGTACTTGTGACAGTCCACGTTGGGGGTTTGAGCCATGCTGATGTTTGAGCCGTAGATCCCCAGGAAGTTGCCCACAGAAGTATAAAGTGCCCCCTCCCCAGCTTCCCAGCGGCAGCGGCCCATGTCGTCACCTCGGCGCAGTATCACAAGCCCAAACCCACACTTGTTCAAAGACCCTGAACCACCTGAGTCGATTTCTGTAGCTGCCGCAGGAGGCTCTGTGTTCCCGGCACCCATGGAGCCCCCAGCTCCCCGGCCCCAGCCTCTGACACCCCCCGGGAAGCCTCCCTGGCAGGTGGGGCGCCAGGTCCAGCCCTGGGTGAGCCTGTCTCCTGGCCCCTTTGCAGTGCACGTTCATCAACCGGCCGGCCCTGGGCATCCTGCCTCCAGAGAACTTTGTGGAGAAACTGCGGAAATCCTTGCTCTCGGTGAGTCTGTGGCGTCTGCAGCCCTGGGGCCATGGCCCGCCGCCCACCTCCGGGGGCACCACTGTGCAAGGAAAGGGTTGCCGCCCCAACAGTCAATCTGTCTTGCCTTTGTGCTGTTGCTTTCACAAAGAGTGTCATTTTCCTTTTGAAGAAAAGAAGGAAGAGTGTTAAGGAAAAAGGAGTACTCAGGGGAGATGCATGGTGACCCCAGAGAGGAGCTTTGCATTCAGTTTCGTCCCTCAGCCTTCCTGCATTGTTATGAGGGTTCAGGGCATTCAGGCCCCCAATTTCCAGCTGTAAATGGGGGTGTCTCTGGGCGGTGGTTGCAGCAGGAGGGACTAGCTGGGTTATCTTTGCTCTTTTTTTCCTCCCTGCCCTCCAACCTCGGGCCCTCCCAGCCTCCCAGACTTGTCCTCCAGCCCCAAGTCCCCCCACCCAGCCCCCCTGCTGCTGGGGCATGCCTGCCACCCCCCTCCCCAACCTCCCCCTGCCTCCCTGCAGCCTCCCTGCCCCGCAGGACCCACAGCGCTGGCTCCACTCCTGCCAGGGGTGGCACCTCGCAGCTGAGCCAGGCTCTCTCCCCACCCCGCAGGTGGCTCCCAAGGGCATGTCCCAGCTCATCACCATGTCCTGCGGCTCCTGCTCCAACGAAAATGCCTTCAAGACCATCTTCATGTGGTACCGGGTGAGGTTCAGCACGTGAGCAGGAGCGCGTGCATGCACACACACAAACATGCACACGCTGCCCCCGGCACTCCTTGTCCCAGCCAATCAGGGTGGTGCACCGCAGTGAGTGTGGTCAGAACCCAGGAGGCCCCGCCTGGACCTGGGCTTAGCAACATTCAGTAGGAGGGGGTGCGGACAGTCGAGGCTTTGACGCCAAACCGGCTGATGTGATTATGCAGTTCTACCTGGCACCCCCTGGGCCCACTCAGCAGAGCTTGGTGTTCCTAATGGAACAGCAAGCACCTTGCATTCCGCTGCTGAGTTCACCGCCAGCACCGTTAGCAGCCTCGTGTTTCGTGCACAAACGCAGTGACCGACACCTAAGACCCGCTCCAGAGAAGGCCCTTCCTCATCATCCCGCCGGATATGGGCCTACGTGCAAGGCGGAAGTCTGTCCGCCCCAGAGCATCTGACATGTTGTTCTGTTCTCTTTTGTCAGAATAAGGAAAGGGGACAAACGGGTTTCTCAAAAGAGGAGCTGGAGACGTGCATGGTTAACCAGGTACGTGCAGCCGGGCCCTGGTCCTGGGGGGCTGCCCCCGCCCCTCGGGCTGCACTGGTGGACAGCCCCTGCCCTCATAGGAGGGTCTTAGTCTGTCTCAGATGTCGCGACAAAATGCCGTAGACTGGGGTTCTTGAATGACAGAAATGTGTGTTCTCATAGTGCCGGAGGCTGGAAGGCCAAGATCAAGGTGCTGGCTGCTTGGTTCCGTGAGGAGGACTCTTCCTGGTGTGCTGGTGGCTGCCTGGTCACTGTGTCATTACCTGTCAAAGGGAGGGGCGAGAGAGGGAGAGGAGCCTGTGGGCAGGAGAAGAGAGCGCCCTCTGGTGTCTCTCATGAGGGCACTAATCCCGTCATGAAGGCCCCACCCTCAGGACCTCATCTCACCCTCACCACCCCCTAAAGGCCCCACCTCCAAATGCCATCACATGGGACTTAGGGCCTCAGCATGTAAACTGGAGGTGGGGGGACACCAACATTCAGTCCATAGCAAGGGGTCCCCAAGCAGCCTCACTCCAGAGTCCTCCCCTTGGCATCAAGGCCACGTGCCCTGTGCCTGACCAGCACTTACCACCTTCCCAGGACAGCTGCCTGGATCTGACAGGTCTCAGAACACCTTCACGTAGACTCGAGAATAATCCAAAACGCCAGCAAGCGTGAATGTGCAGGGGCGTGCACCCGCGGGCGTGTATGGGAACGATAACCAGAAAAGGTTGGAAGTCACTGTATATCCAGTAATGGGGAAAGAGGACTTCAATGTCGGGGTTCCAGGTGGAAACCTGGCAGTTCACAGAGGCCACTGTTGGGGGACAGCAGTGCCAGGGCTCCAGAGAAAACCAGTGGGAAGATGCCAGGCGCCCAGCTGGCTCTCACCAGGATGGGCCTCCTCTGTCCATCGCATTCCCACTCAGACCCAAGTGTCTGTGGCTTTAAAAAAGTAAGTCAAGGACCACTGAGCTCAGGTCCCCGCTGTGAACAGCCTGGAGAGTGACGAAGGCTTCCTCCCGGCATGCAGACATGGGAGCGACACTTTAGTGTGAACAGCGGGATGGGATTTGTATGGACACCATGCGCTCAGCCGTGTAAACAAACACACAGGAAATCACGAGAAAAATGCTGTGACACGTTTACAGTGGGTTGCTTCTGGGTGGTGAGATTGGTCTTTTTTTTTTTTAATATATCTTCTATATATTAGAAGATGCCCCCCCACCCCTCCTCACTAGCAAAGGGTCCGTCCACCCCTTTTGCCCTCGACATCCGAACCCACATACTCTTGAGGGTTTTCCTTTTCCTTGTGACCATGGATTTCCTGCACGGGCCTGTTTTCGTCTCCTCGCGGCTTCCTGGACACGCTGCCCCATCAGCGTTCACAGGCCTCCCTCCGCGTGTTCACGCTGCCTCCAGACGTGTGCGAGGCTGCGTTACGTCTGTGAGCCAGGGTTTCTGGGGTATGGGGGAGGAGGAAGTGGGGCTCTGCCCTGGAGTCTCAGGGACCTGGTGACCAGCCAGTCTGAGAAAATGCTGCACTGACCTCCCAGCGAGTTGGGGTGGCTTCTGGGGGGTCCCCAGCTGTCTGCCTGAGGCTGCTGGACACGGGTCTGGAAGCCAAGCTGCTGTGCCCTCACCTGAGACCCGGAGGGGGTTGGGAGTCCCTGTAACCATCCTGAACCCCAGGGGCGGCTGCCATGGGGAGAGGGAAAGGTGGGGTCCTCCCCATGCCTCCCTCCGGTTCTTACCAGCAGACACCTTCCAACGGCCTGGGGCTTTGTACCCAGCTCAGCCTCTAGCCCCGGGAGGCAGGGATGCACCGAGCTGGGAGGTGCGGAAGCCGGAAGAGTCTGGAGCAGGCCGATTGGGGGGTGGCAAGGGTGAAGGGGCAAGGGGCTGGGAGAGCCTGTCACAGCCAGACGGGAACTCCAGAGCCCCAGCAGCCCGTCACGGAGCAAGGCAGGTGGCGGGTCCCAGGGGCTGTGGCCTGGCCAACCCTTGGCCTCCCACACCTTGCAGAAAAGTGGCCCAAGTGATGGAGCATGTGGGAAGCCAGAAGTGCAGATATTCGTGTGAAATCTGATTTAAATTTGGCGAGACATTAAAATTCTTTGTGTCCATGTGGGCAAAGCCAAACGTCGCAGGCTGATGGTTGCCCTCCAGGCAGCATTTGCAACCCCTGCCTGTGCGGGCTCCAGCTGCTCTGGCGGGCTTTCGTGCCCCTCGAGTTCGTCCGGGCACAGTCCCCATGACCCTGACTGACTGACCACTGTCTTGGTTCCAGGCCCCCGGCTGCCCCGACTACAGCATCCTCTCCTTCATGGGCGCCTTCCACGGGAGGACCATGGGTAAGGGCTCCGGGCCGGGCGTGGCTGCCTTGGACCTCACACTGCCTCTGTCCACCTCTTGGCTGCAAATTGACCCCACTTTGCAGAGGTGAAAATTGAGGCTGAGTTAGGGAAGGAACTTCCCCAGGCTGATCACGGTGGGGCTGGGATTTGCACCCTTATCTCCGTCCCGTCCAAGCCCACGCTTCACTCGTGAGGAGTCAGCCTGGGCATTTGAAGTCTTGGGCTGAAGTGCCAGCCACCCCCTTTGAAAGACTTCCCCCTTCCCCAGCCAACACCACCCTTCTTTTCTGCTGGGCAGGTTGCTTAGCGACCACGCACTCCAAAGCCATCCACAAGATCGACATCCCCTCCTTCGACTGGCCCATCGCCCCGTTCCCGCGGCTCAAGTACCCCCTGGAAGAGTTTGTGAAGGAGAACCAGCAAGAGGAGGCCCGCTGTCTAGAAGAGGTAACGCCGGCCATTCCGGGCCCTCTCGGCCCCCACTGCACCCCAGACTCAGCCCAGGAGGAGAGTCTGTCTGGGCCGTGTGGGGCTCCCTGGGAGGGATGGAGAGGCCCCGAGTCCCAAATGCCCCAGGAATGAGACCCCAGCATCCCTCCCCCCATCTCGGTCAGGGGACCATTCCAGTTTCTGTAGAGCAGCAGGGGAGGGAGTAGAGCGATTGTCACTGTAGCGGCAGGAGGGCCCAGAGCAGGATCTCTATGACCCGCGTAAAGGAGAGTCCTGGAACCCTGGGGGGGGGGGGGTTCAGGCTTTTATTGAGCTTTTACCAGGTACACAGCAGGTTGGGGTGCCACGGGGTGTGCCCAGCCCCTGGCGAGTCTCCACTCTTTCTGGGCTCTCTGGCGTTCTCCTGGTCTCTGCTTCTCCGCCAGTTCTGCTCTCTTCTCTCTGGGCCCCGGTGACTCCGCCCTTGTAAACCCCACCTCTGCCCATGTGTGCCCACCTATACATGCCCACACCTACTCCAGGTGTCCGCCATCAGGCATGCGTGCAGGGCCGCAAGGATCCACCATCGACGCTAATGGCGGGAGGGCAGAAAAGCCTGATAATCACTTACCCTACAGTCACTGACTCTAAAATAAGAGGGTTTGCCGTACGAACATGGGGCGCATATAGAGAAACAGTCCCATTGTTCCCTCTAGTGCACTGTGGTGCCTCGGTCTCCAGAATCCCAGGGTTTCTTTGGGGTTGCCCTGGAGCCAGGGAGAGGGTGAGGGTATGCAGCTCCAATTCCACCACAACAGCCCCCTTTGCTCTGTCCCGTAGGGTGGGGTCCCTTGGAAGACACTGGAAGGATTTTACTGCTGGGGGTAGAGGGACTCACTCTTCAGGTTGGGGTTTGAGCCCAGTCAGGCTGGTCTGAGGCCATTTGCCTCTTAGGCCCATCATTGTTTCCAGCCACGTAACATTTCACACCTGCCAGGTGCTCTTCACACCTGCCAGGTGCTCGGCAGAGTGCTGGGTGCTTCATGGTAATGAGAGGCGGGAGAATGGAGTCTGGCACGGTGCGCCCCGGGGGTGGAGGGCGTCGGTCTTCTTGGTCCTCCCATTCTAGCAAAGTCAAAAGAAATGGGTGAAAGGGATTTTCATAACATTGTATTGAATCCAACAGATCTAAAATAGTTTCACTTCAACAGGTAATTAATACTTAAATGCTATTGATGTTTTTCTTTTTTGTTGCTTTCTTCATCTTCATCACCTTTGCTGTATGTTTCATTTTTTATCAAAACATCCTTTCAGTCCTTTTAAGTAAATCTAAAAATGATGAGTGGGACGCTTTTTATGCACCTAACTCAGGATTCTTTATTTTATTTAGAGATTTTATTTTTGCATAGAAGAGCTGGGGTGCAAGCCAGAGGTGTGGGGGTGAGAGGATTCACGAGAGACAGCGTGGGGAGCAGAACAGGCGCATCTACTGAAATCCACTGCTGAGGGGAGCAGCGGGGAGACAGGCGAGCTCTGCTGCGCCATGTGGGTCCATCTCCCTGGCTGGGGATTGAACTTAGGCCGCAGTGGTAATAGTGCTGAGACTTAACCCCTAGGCCACCAGGGAGGCCCCCAGAATTCTTTATTTTATTTTTTGATTGAAATTTTTGTTTGAGGTAACATTGATTCACACCATTTTTCATATTTTGAAGTCCAGGCGCCCCCCCTTCCAGGTGTTACCATAGCTCACCCACCCCTGAGCACCCACAGTCCTGCACCATGGTCCATGGTACTCCCTCCCCAGCCTGTTCTTGTCCCTCCCTCTGCCCCATCCCCTCTGGATGCCACAGCCCTAGGGTCAGCTTTAGGGGACTAGTTTAAAAGTTTGTCTTAAGCCCCGTGCTATACCCAGTGAGGCTTGTGGCCTTATCCCCGGAGAGACAGGGACATAGGAAACCAGCCTTACATGGATCAGAAAAGATCAGGGGGCCTCCCCGGTGGCACAGCGGTTGAGCGCTGGGTTGCGAAGCTGCCCGCAGCCTCTGGGGCGCTGGTTCGATCCCCGGCTGCTCCCCGGCCACCGGAGGAGGGTCCCGCATGGCGCGCAGACCTCTCCTGCCGCCTGCTCTGCTCCCTGCCCTGGCTCTGGTGAATTCTCTCACCCTCCCGCACTTCTGACTTTAACCAGTGCATGTATAAACAAAACAAACAAACAAATAAATAAATAAAATGCCTCTATTAAAAAAAAGAAGAAAAGAAAAGATCAGGGCCCCCCTGGTGGCAAGGGGTTAAGCACAGCACTGTGAGGCTGTCCGCAGCCTCTGCACGCGAGTTCAATCCCCGGCTGGCCAGGGAGCTACCCACAAGGCGCGGTGCATTAAATCAGTGCATTTTAGGGCATGTCATTGTACTTCAATGAAGCACTTGGGCGCCCCAACGAGCCACAGCCCCCTCCCCTTGGCAATCCAGGTGGAGGATCTGATCGTGAAATATAGGAAAAAGAAGAAGACAGTGGCTGGCATTGTGGTGGAGCCCATCCAGTCAGAGGGCGGCGACAACCACGCGTCAGACGACTTCTTCCGGAAGCTGAGAGACATCTCCAGGAAGGTCAGTGCCTGGGCGGGGCCGCGGGACCATTTCCTGTTGCTTTCCTAAGCCCAGGGCCACTTAGCAAAGCTTACTTTGCAAACTTTCAGATGCTCAGAGGCTGCCTGTCTCAGGTGGAGGAAGGTGATGATGCCCCTAAAATCTTACTGCGCAATCAGCCATCTTGTTCAGCACTAGCCCAATCAGGAGATTCCTGGGGCCCTCAGCTGCCCCCCTTTTCTTTCTAGACACCCCCCTCTTCTTTCAACCCAGTGCAGTCCACACTGGACAGATGCAAAAACAGATAGACTCTGTGTTTATATCACGCATTTATTGCCAGGCGTCAGCTCTGTGTACCTGGCTCAGCCAGCCGGTAAGTTCACAGACGGGCTTGAGTTGATTTAAACACAAATGCTAAGAAACAGCGGTCCTTGGAGCAGCGGAGCTGCAGGGCCCGGGAACGACCCTGTCCAAGCCTGCACGCGAGCAGGCAGGTTTCCTTCTGAGGAATCAGCTTGCTCTGGACCCAGGCAGAGTGAGTCTTTGTGTGCTTTGGGTCGCGGAGTGTTTGCAGTTGTGTCCAGCGCATTCAGGCCAGCCCCGGAAAGACGAGCCCACTCGGTTGAGCTCTGCGCAGCCGGAGATGCCAGCCTGGGCTCAAGGTTCACAAAGCAAAGAGGGTTGGGCGGCCCGGGGTCTGCAGCTGGCCGGCGGTGGGTGTTTACCCTTCCCTCCCCTCCACCAGCACGGCTGTGCCTTTTTGGTCGACGAGGTCCAGACCGGAGGGGGCTGCACCGGCAAGTTTTGGGCCCACGAGCACTGGGGCCTGGATGACCCGGCCGACGTGATGACCTTCAGCAAGAAGATGATGACCGGAGGCTTCTACCACAAGGAGGAGCTCAGGCCCAACGCTGTGCGTGAGAACCCACCTGCTGTCCCTCCCCTGTAGGGAACCACTTGACACTTGACATGTCACAGAGATTTCCCAAGGCCCAGTTCCTAGCCTCTTAGTGTACGGCCAGCGGTTACGCTCATCCAGCTCTCTCTGCAGGCCTGGCTTTGCAGCAGCCTGCCCTGATTTCTCTCTGTGTCCACAGGCGGTAATATTGTTAACAGCTCTGCTGCAAACTGAGCATTTGCTCTGCGCCTGGCCTGCCCTAAGCACTCTAGGTATGGTCATTCCTTAAAACCATCTACCCAAGTAGGTGTTATTTTCATCTCCCATTCTACCTTTCAGGCACAGAAAGGTTTAGTAAGTTGTTCAAGAGCACACAGCCTGCCGCGGACCAGCACAGCAGTAGACAATGAGGCCGTCTCAGGGTTGAGAGACTGCGCAGGGTGGTCAGGGATTCGGCGAATAAATGACAAACAGACACACTTCAAGAGAGTGAAAATCTGAGTGTCATTTTCTTTGAGTTGGTGACCAGTATATATATGTTTTCTAAGAGCATAGGAATGGCGAACATCAGTGAAGAAATCAGCTTGCTTATAGGTTTAGCTTATCATTGACAGGGCAGTGATTTACATCTGGACCCAGGCGCATTCCTAAGTAGTTAGGCTATTCATTTTTCTTTTTGTTTTATGTGATTACTTTTTTGTTTTAACTACTCACTACCACTAAATTACTATTAATTAGCACGGGTGAGTTTTACTTTTCACAATGTAATATTTTTATCATTAAGATTAATGCTAACAAGGCTAAGCATACAACAGAGAAATTATTAAGCTAACAGTTCTATTAATACACAGTGTTTAGTAACGTTTCATTTGAATTAGCCTAGTTATTAGATTTCGTATGTTCTTTTTTAATCAGCAACCAATGACCTTTTTAGACAGAGAAAGAGAAAAGATTTTAGAAAGAGAAAAGATTTTAGAGAGACAGTTGTATTAGAATAAAGTTTGTGGGCCTTGAGAAGGCAAGATAAGGTTCCCTGCGGTCAGCATTCCTGTAGTGGCTCCTGGGGGTCGTTATCTTTCAACAGGCTTCCGTCTTATCTATGTCTTCAGGGAGTTTTGCTGCTCTCCCCTGCTTCAGGAGTTTTGCTGCTCTCCCCCTGCGCCCTGGTTCCTTGCCCAGCCGGACCTAGGGACCTTGGCGAAAGCCATTAGCCCTAAAGGTCACTGCAGGGGGAGGTGCAGCACAGCCTGTTATATAACAAAGCCAGGATTCAAACCCAGAGCCCATGTTTTTAACTACTATACTGCACTGCCATGTGGACATATGGAATCTTTCTCTCTCAGACAAAGTCATCGGGGACCCAGCGGCCTTCTTTCCTCCCTTCCTATATGTAGTTTGCACCCTCGAGGTTGCCTCATGGTCCAAAATGGCTGCTGGGGCTCTCGCCATCACATCTCAATTCTAGACATTAGAATTGTCTCCTCGTCTTTAGCAGTCATGCAGAAATCTCACAACACTTCTCTGTCTAACACTTTGACTAAGATTTGGTTGCCTGGCTACTCCTAACTGTGAGAGGCCAGGAAATGTGTTTTAGCTAGCTGTGCTCACACAGTGAAAATTCATGGAGGAATAAATTCGGTGGTATTTGAGGGTCACCTGCCATCAGTCCACCACCTATAAACCGTGTCTACTCTGGACAAATCACTTAACCTCTCAGAACCTTGACTTTCCCCCTCTATAAAATGAGGATTATAATAGTTAAGGACCCAGTCTCTTGGTTTGGGGATTGCATGGACACCATTGCGTGGACACCTTGGTCTCCCTAATAGTAGTATAGCAAGTCTTCAAAAAATGTTTCAATCAATGTGGTTTTATATTTTATCCGTAAAATATAAAAGAGAAAAGAACAATCCTGGGAAACGTTGAAAGAAATAACATTATTCAAGATTTCATACAATGAGTCACTTAAAGTCAGTTTCCAAGAACCCCTCCATGACGGAAAGCAAAGGCTTACTGTAGCTCTGGGGTTGCTGCAATGGGAGAAATTCAGTGAGGTGACATGTTTTATCCTCTTGAACCTCGGGAGTCCACAGGGTCAGTTCCTCTTCTCTCACACGGGGAACGTGTTTCTGAGAGAAGTAGGCCTCTTTGGGGTGTGAGCCCTTCCAACACCCTGTGTCTCATTCTAGCCTTACCGGATCTTCAACACTTGGCTGGGGGACCCATCCAAGAACCTGCTGCTAGCTGAAGTCATCAACGTCATCAAGCAGGAGGACCTCCTGAACAACGCAGCCCATGCCGGGAAGGCCCTGCTCACCGGGCTGCTGGACCTCCAGGTACCTCCCCCCATCTCTCCCCCACTCCCCTAGACCTCTGTCCATTGCTCCCCAGGGCTCCCAGGATATGTCTAAGGTTTTCAGCTTGTTGATGGTGTATGGTGATGATGGTGATGGTGGTGGTGATGATGGTGGTGGTGATGGTGATGGTGGTGGTGATGATGGTGATGGTGGTGATGATGGTAGTGACAATGATGGTGATGACAATGGTGATAGTGGTGGTGATGATGATGATGGTAATGGTGATGTGGTGGTGATGATGGTGATGGTGATGGTGGTGATGGTGGTGATGATGGTGATGGTGATGTGGTGTTGATGATGGTGGTGATGATGGTGATGATGGTGGTATTGATGGTGATGATGGTGGTAGCGATGGTGGTGTTGGTGATGGTGATGATGGTGGCAGTGATGAAGGGAGGCAGGATGCTTCCATTTATTAATAGCCTGCCCTGTGGCAAGTCCTATGATGGGCTTTGGATGCAGGCACACTATCACGCCTATTTTCCAGAGGGGGAAACTGAGGTGTGGAAGTGTTGAAAAATGTCCAAGCTCATGTGGCTTCCACATGGCACCCCTGGGTTTGCCCCTGATTCTGGTGGACCTCCAAGCCCATGACCTATTTACTTCTCTGCCATGCTCAAGGGCATAATACTAAAACTACCATTAATTGACAATTTGCTGTATGTCAAGCATTGTGTTAAATGCCTTATCTAATTTAATCCTCAAGATTAGTACCCTAGGGGGGGAAAAAAAAAAAACAAGATCCCCCAGTTAAATTTAAAATTCATAAATGCGAGGCAGGGATGAGGCATGGTGTGGGGTAAGAGGCAAAGAACTTGACTCTAGACACAGGACAGAGGCAGGGGCTCCAGAGACACCCCACTCCCCTACACACATGAGGTACAGAGCCCAGATTTAGCAAATTACAATACAGGATTCCCCATTAAATTTGAACAAAAGCAGTTAATTTTTTAACATATAACCCATGTGACTTCTGGAATATATTTATGCTAAAAATATCCTAAATTGTTTATCTGAAATTCAGGCTTAACTAGCCCTCCTGAACTCAGAACAATTTGAAATTGGAAATATGTGATTATCTCCATTTTATGAATGAAAAATGGAGACCTGGGGAGGAAGGTACTTTGCTCCTCAGGCTGCTGCCAGGTTCTGGACCCAGGTAGACTGAAGGGGTCAAGTGTGGCCGTAGAGACAGCTAAGCCCCTCCTACTCGTCGACTCTTTCTTCTCTTGGGCTGGAACTGCACTGAAACAGAGGTCTAAGCCCTAGTGTGTGGTGGGGGAGCACAAGGACCCCAGGGACACCCAGGTCGCAGAGCAGGCCCCATCAGTCAGCAAAGCGAGACAGAGAGGCAGCAGTGGAGAGAATTCCTGGCCTGGCTCCTCACCTAGGAGATCAAAATGGGTTCTTCTTCACTGGTGGAAGGAGTGAGGGTTCAAAGCATTCCAGAAAGCACCCAGCTCATCACCAGAATGTGACTTCCTCTCCTATTTCCACCATGGGGCTGGAATGAACTAACCCTGCCCCGCACCCCAAATCACATGGGGTTACCCACGCCCTCGTGTGCTGTCCTTCACATGGACAACAGGAGGGGAGCCTCTGCTGAGTGGCCGTTGGCTCCCCAGGCTGCTTTAACCTATGACCACAGGCTGGGATGCTTAAAACAACAAGAAGTTTCTGTCCTGGACCCAGAAATCCTAAATCAAGACATGAGCATGACTGGCTCTGCCTGGAGGGGAACGCAGACCCCTCAGGCCACTCTGCTCGCCACTTCTGCTGTGTCCAGGCTTGCCTCATGGCTCCCGCTGGCCTCCCTTGTCAAAGGGCCTCGCCTGCTCTGTGCGCGAGTCTCTGTGTCCAGATTTCCTCTGAGGACACCAGCTGTTGGATTCAGGGACCGTCTTTTTTTTTTGCTGCAAAAAGCTTTATTGTTTTCATTTGGTCCACAACTTGGAAGAGCTCCAGGGAGAGGCTTAGGCAGAAGCCCTTAACACCAAGGGTGCCATTTGGGCTCAGGGCCCATCTTAACCTGTTTCCATCTGCAAGGCCCTTTCCAAACAAGGTCACATCATCTGTGGTGGACAGATATTTGGGGGACGGGCACCACCTAACCCACCGCAACTCCCAATCTTAGAGCCCTTCTGGAAGAATCACCACTCTTCTAGAAGAGAGGCTAACCAACAAAATGGCTGCTTCTATTGAGCACCTGCCACATGCCAGGCCTGGGACTTAGGACCTGATATAGGAACTCGTCTCACTGAGTTCTCCCCCCAGCCCACTGGGTTAGTAGCATTTACATCCCTCCATTTACAGAAGAGGAAACTGAGGCACAGGCCATCTAAGTGACCTGCACAAGTTGCACCAAGGAAAAGAAGCAGAGCTGGGGTTTGAACCCAGGATCCAGAGCCAGTTCTTAACCCCACAGTGGAGTCCGTGCAGGGCCCAGAGGCAGGACTCTGTGGGACATCTGAGGATCCACCACCACTGATGCCACCCTGGTCTCCCCATTGCAGGCCCGGTACCCCCAGTTCATCAGCAGAGTGAGAGGACGAGGCACCTTCTGCTCCTTCGACACTCCAGATGAATCCATCCGGAATAAACTCATTTTAATAGCCAGAAACAAAGGTAAGGCAGCCGGCATGAGGAGCAAGGCTTCCTGGTGTCCACCTTACCCGGTGGGGGGGGAGGGGGGCAGGTGGCTTAGAGGAAGAGAAAGTTGCCAGCAAGGTTTCCAAGGACATCATTTATTCATTCAACAAACATTCATCTAGAAAGAGTTGCTCTGACCCTGGAGAGAAGCTGCTGATGAGCAGACCTCCAGGGCACACCCCTCTGGAGACTGGCCTTCTAGCTGGCAGCATCCGAGACAGCTTTGCACAATCAACTAATTAGCTGTGGGAAGTGTCCGCTCCAGGAAATCAGGAAAGGCTTCCTTGAGGGAGTAGCCTTTTACCTTAAGTCCTGATGGATAGCCAGGGGTGAACAGGTGGGGAAGGTGAGGCAGAACATGCGGGCAGAGGGAAGGGCGTGGGGGATGACGTGAGGCAGGGAGAGCTGGGGGATGGGGAAGGACGAGGGCCAGACAAGCTGGAGGGGTGACACGGGAGCCCCTTCACTTTGTCCCGAGAGTCAGATTGGAAATTCTGACGGTTTGCAAAGCGCCGCCGCGAGCCATGGCGGGGTTTTGCTGAGGACAGCAGAGTGAGAGCTGAGCAGCTCCCATGGGTCCCCCCGCCCAGGGTGGGCACAACTGAAATGAGGACAGTGAGTCCCAGTGTCTCACCACCTGGACAGGGCGCGCCGTGGCCCAGGGCGAAGTCACCCTTTCAGGCCAGCCTGTCCGTCCCTCTGGAGTGGCCGTCGGCCCCCGCCCCACCACCCCCTGCTGGGGCCTGGCCTCCGCTCCTGTGACTGACTTGGGGGCGCGTGCCTTTCCCGCCACCCCTGAGTGCCAGGACGGCAGGGCCGTCCCCTCCGAACTCCCCCATCGCCAGACCTGGGGCAGGGCAACAGCCCGGCGTCGCTGCGGGAAGGAGGAGCGAGGCAGAGGGGAGGGGTGAGCTGGGGGGCGGCCACGCGGGGCGGGCGGGTGCGCGTGGGAAGCCCCGCCGCGGAGCCCGCGCTCCTCACCCTCCTGCCCTCTCTTGCAGGCGTGGTCTTGGGGGGCTGCGGCGACAAATCCATCCGTTTCCGTCCCACCCTGGTCTTCAGGGACCACCACGCACACCTGTTCCTCAACATTTTCAGCGACATCCTGGCCGACTTCAAGTAACGAAGCCATTTCCACGCCACCTGGGAAAGCCCTGATCTCAACTGTTGTCCAATCGATTAGTTTGCCTAATTCATGTTTTCACTCAAAGTGTCAGAGGTGGACGCCTAAGCTGAAGGTTATCTGTGGGGAGGGGATGTCTGGTGGCTGGGGGAGGGGCAGGGGAGGGCCGCTGTTGCTTCCCCCCCTGCAGAGCCAATGGTGCGCATTGGTTTGAGCCCAGAATTCTGCTTGGACCCTGGACAGAGTATTAGGAGGGGCCCTGAGGGTCCTGCCCGCCCTTGACCCCGACACTGTCTTTGGCAGCCAGACAGGGGGTGACACCTGCTCAGGGCCCCGTGGCCCTCTGGAGCGCACGTCTGCCATCAAGGATGCTGGCCCCTCACCCTGTCTCACACTCTCCCCTGACCCCCGGGGTGCTGCCCAGCCCTCAGGCACAGTTCAGGGCAGGATGTAACAGATCTCGGGAAGGCAGGGCAGTGGGGACATTGGGATGGAGCCCAGGACAGTGAGGGGTCTTCTGGCCTCCTTCAGACCAGGACCGCCCCCTCCGTGCATCCAGGGCCCCTCCAAACTGTGATTCTGCCCTTGACGTGGCTTTGCCCTTGAGGCTCTCTGGCGGGCACCGTGAGAGTTCCTACTCGCCATCCTCCATTCCCCGAGCTCCCCCAGGCCCAATGTTCAATGTCAACCTAGACTCTGTGCGAGGAAACCGCAGCCTGAATATCCACGGGTCCCACTGGAGCCCAAGGGTCTGACGCACCAGCCCGTGGCCAGTGGCCTGGGAGGGCGCGTCAGCCCAGGGCCTGGGGCACAGGGCTGCTTCGACCTGACCCCCCGGCACTGGGCTTGTGAGGCCTGACCTTGGGCCCCAGGCCCCGAAGTCTCTTGGTCTAGCTTTTGCTCATCCAACTCTGTGCCACCTCTGAGCAGCCCCCGCCCCCAGCTCTGCTGCTCCATCAAGGCATCCATTGCCCATTTAGATTTCTTGAGAAAAACACATGAATTGAAGGCACCAGAGCCACCGCCTGTTGGTTCAAGGTGGTTCCCGACCCTGCCGTTCCAAATTAGCGACTTTCCTGACACGAGTGAGTGTGGCGGTCACAGCCAGGTGATACTTAAATGCACAGCAGCTCAGAGGTCACGGCTGAAGTGGGTTCACCTCCCAACAGTGTGTCAGGCCAGCCCCCAGCAGCAGAGTGTGGTCTGCTGTGTAGACGGCCAAAGTCTGGCATGTGTTCCCTGCCCTAACGGAAGCCACTTCACCCCCTGGTGCCTGGTGAGCGTGTCGGGAGAAGGGCAGGATATCAGAGTTCTCGAGTCAGCACTTTGCTCTTTTAATAACTAATCATCCAAAGATCTTCAAGGGTTTGTTTTCTTCCCAGCTTCCGCTCTTCAGCAGACGTGCTCATTGACCTATTTTTGTTGGGGAACGGCAGGCGCTGGTGTGTAGAGCAGGCGCGGGCCAGCCGTGAGTCCAGACCTCGGTGTCCCGCTCACCAGTGCTGAGCCGTGGCTTTTAGGCAGAGTTCTGCTTTGGGGGGGGGGGGGCTGGGGTGCTGCCTCCCCCTCTCCGCAAGGCTTCCCTCCTGTGTATGTCCATTTATTTATGCAATCCCTCATTCCTGGAACTGCCTCCCATGCCTGCTCAGGCCCAGGCCCAGGGCTAAGCGTAGGAATACAATGGCGAAACAAAACCTAGTCTCTGCCCTCAAGGAAGGACCCTTGTACTGTCGGTCTGTTACACCAGCAGCTAACCCAGAGTGGGAAGCGAGTGACAGGTGTGTGCAAGAGCACCAGGAAGGCAGAGCCGGTGCCCCCAGGCCCCTAAGGCTCAGCGGAGGTTTCAAGGAGAAAGGGACCTTTGAGCAGGGTTTGGCAGGACAAGCAAGAGTTCACCGGGCAGACAAGGCAAGGAAGGGTGTTGCAGAAAGGGAACAGAATATGCAGACACATCAGTTCATAGTCTCATACCTTTCACTGGGGATCCAGATTCCACAGGCAATATCCCAAGATTCAAGGCCTTATTTAGCAAACAAGCAAAATGCAAACCAAACCATAATTCCTGTATTGGCGTGGCGTGCTTTCTTTTGGGAGCACTCTGGCACCAGGTGCAAACGTTCAGGAAGATTCTTGGCATCCAGAGGGTTTTGAAACCAGGGCACCACCAGAAACTTGGCTCTCCTCAGTGGAAGGAGGGGCTCCAACATTTTGCTCTCCCTCCCCCCATGGAGCATCAACAGAGAAATGAAATCATTCCACCCAAAGGGTCATTTCCAGACTATCCATTCCTGAGCAAGGGAAGCTACTCCTCGTAAAAATCCTCAAGCCATTTATCAACAAGTTCTTGTTGACCGGGGGAGGGAGTTCCTGAGACGTCCTCTTTGGGGGTAGGTGGGTAGAAACTGGAAGAATTTCAAGGAGAAGGATTTCTCGGCAGAGCTCAAGGCTGTAGAGACTTGGAGGAGGTGGGGCAAAGGCTGCCCTCTGGGGGAACAGGGAGAAGTGCTTCTGCGCCGGGGCTGGACGTGAGGCCATTCCCCACTCGTGCCATGGAGCTCTGAGTGTCTCCAGCGAGTCTCGTCCCTTTCACAGAGAGCCAGGTCCAGTCATAGCGAGTCTTAGCACATCCTCACTTTTATTATAAATGGATGTTTTTTTATAATTTTTACTGACACTCAGTAACCATGCAAAATTGTGCCCATTAATCTATTTCTCTCTCTCTACCATCTCTCTGTATCAGCTCATGGCGGAAAACCATAGCTAGGGAACATCGCCGACTCACGCATCCCAAGTGATCTTGTTTACAGTATTCTGTGGACAGTGCCAATAAACGATAAAGAAATTCACGTGTCACGATGTAACTGACAACCATATGCACAATTCCATGGATTCCACGTTTCCTGTGTTAATCAGTATTCTTAAATTAAAAGAAAATATTTATAATGGAAACATCAGAATGAATGTAGCCTTTGTGGGCTTGGATGTGATTTTGTTAAGGAATTATTTGACGAGCAGCTATTGTAGACCTCTTAGGGGTGTGTTGGGGGGATATTCTACCTGCATACATCTGCCTTGGGAAGTACTGTGAGGCCATACAGCTCTCCGGAGTTCAGGGACATACCTGGTGATGGGTAGACAGGGCGTCCTTACCTCCAGCTCATCTCCACGGGGGCAAAGGTCCCAGCCTACCTGAGGACCAGGATATAGGAATCCCGGGATGCCAGAGATGCACAGAGGACAGGCCCAAGTAAGGGTGGTGTTCAGGCCCCTGACTTTCACCTTCAAGGTTGACTGAGCCCTCAGGTGACTCAGGAGGGAGGGAAGGCCTCTCAGCTCCAGGGAGCAGCTAACTGCAGATGGAAGGGCAGGGCAGGCCGGGCATTTCTAGGAAACCAGTGGGGAATCGATTTTGTCAACATGGCCCGGTGGCCTGACCAGGGTGGAGAGGAGAAAGAAAAACACAGAATGCAAACACAGAGCAGTAGCTTTTCACACTGGGTGCACTTAGAGCCTCTCTAAAGTGCTTTAAAAAAAAAAAAAAAGAAGAAGAATCCTGGGGCCCCTGGTGGCCTAGAGGTTAGGTTTCAAGCTATCACCACTGTGGCCTGAATTAGATCCCCAGCCAGGGAGCTACCCACATGGCGCAACAGACCTCTCTTGTCTCCCTGCTGCTCCCCTCCGCAGTGTGTTTCCGTAGATCCATCTGTTCTGCTCCCCACTCTGTCTCTGGTCAGTCCTCTCACCCTCCACACCTTGGGCCTACACACCAGTTCTATGCAAAAAAATAAAAAATAAATCTTAAAAAAAAAAATTTAAATCCTGAAGCTTGGGCCCCTCCCAAACCAACTAAACTAGGTTCTCTCCATTGCTGGGGGGTGAGTTGATTGGGCTCAACCAGGAGACAGAAGGCGGGGAAGGCATGGAAGGGTTGCCTCGCGAGCACCTGGGGGGATGGCTCTTCTGTCCCTCTGGTGTCCCAACCTGGAACCGGGGCCCCTGGGCTCTGGCTGGTTTTTCCCCCAGATGACTTGGGGCCCTCCTGGCCTTGATTTTGCTCGTCTGTCAGCTGCATGGTTGGAGCACGTGATTTCCTAGGTCCTTCTGGCTCAGACATCCAACAAGCCTATGAAGTAAGAACTGACTCACACGGCAAACGTTACATCACACTTTTTTCTTTTTTTAAGATTTATTTATTTTTATACAAGAACTGAGGTACAGGCCAGAGACAGAGCGGGGAGCAGAACAGGCAGACAGACCGAAATACACTGCTGAGGGGAGCAGCGGGTGGGACAGGAGAGGTCTGCTGCGCCATGTGGGTGGCTCCCTGGCCGGCCGGGAATCGAACCTGCTCTGCAGAGGCTGCGGACAGCTTCACAGCACTGCACCCAACCCGCTGTGCCACCGGGGAGGCCCCATCACACTTTTATTTTAATAACTACATATAAATAGTGACAATGATCACTTGTTGAGCACCTACTCCATGCCGGCATGTTCTGCTGGTGCTTTATAATTTCCACAACATGCTCACGAGCTATGTATTTGCATGCCTCTTTTTAAGATGAGGAAACGGAAGCTCAGAGAGGTTAGAGGAACCTGTCACATCACACAGCTGGGAAGCCGTGATACACACAGCTGAGCAAAGGATGAAATCTTCCCGCGTGGGATTGATCGAGGATGGGGCTGTCCACTACCAGGCCTTCACCTCAAAGTGGACTTGAACTGGTCAGCAAAGCACTCTAAGGCAGGGGGTGGGAGACACCAGCACCTCAAGATCAAATATTGGGCCTCCCCGGTGGCGCAGCGGTTGAGCGCTGGGTTGTGAAGCTGCCCGCAGCCTCGGCAGCACCGGTTCGATCCCCGGCTGCTCCCCGGCCACCAGAGGAGGGTCCCACATGGCGCGCAGACCTCTCCTGCCGCCCGCTGCTCCCCTCAGCAGTGTACTTCGGTCCTTCTGCCTGCACTGCTCCCCGCTCTGGCTCTGGTGAATTCTCTCACCCTCCTGCACTTCTGACTGTACCCAGTGCTTGTATAAATAAAAATTTTAAAAATTAAAAAAAAAAAAAGATCAAATATTGTCACAAACAGCCACTGTTTCTAGTTTCTGTCTCCCCACTCCAAGGGATGGGGCACAGGCAGTGGAATGACCCAACTCTGCTGCTTTCTAACCGCGTGACCTTGAGCACGTCACTTCACCTCTCTGAGCCTTGTCTGCAGAATGAAGTTGATCACAGAAGCTGGCTGTGCCTTGCGAGTGCTCGCTGCTTCCCAGGTGGACCTGCGCTGCTCCAGGTAGTGAGTGTGTCCTCCCACACCCTGGGGATGCGCTTTTATATCAAAGCTTCACAAGGGACCCAGGCACCGTGACAGCGTGCATAAGGGGTGCAAGGTCACAGCTACAAAGCGGCAGGGTCGGGACTGAAGCAGCAAGATGTCTTGAGGCCTGCTGCTTCCCTGGGCTTCTCCAGCCCAAATGCTGGCCGTGAGGGTTCAATAAAGTCGCACAGTAATGGTCTGGCATAGGATGGCGGCTTCATCTCCGCGAGAGCTCGGCGGCTCCTCTATTGTTCTAAACAGTGAGGTATTTCTGCCCGGCTCGTAAAGGTTAAATCTATTCCCGGCCCAGCTGAGGGCCCGAGTCCGTTTCCACGGCTGATCAGTGCAGCGGCTGCCCCGGCGCCCAAGCAGCACAAGTGTGGCCAGATGGCATGGGCACAGCCGATAACCCTCCTCGAGCACGGTTTATAGCTGGATGCCGCAGGATCAAAACAAGGTCATAAAAGTTGGACTCCACCTGGGGTGCAAAGGGACCCTGTTGCTTTCCATTTGGGGCTCACAGATCCTGAAGTCATAAAGTGGCAGTAAAGGGCGAGCTCCCAGCCTGCTGGCGTGCACAACTACCCCAGGCTGCCTGCGCGAGCGGTTAAGCCCGCCGGCTCCGTGTGGGGTGTGCATCAACAGGGTTACTGAATGGTGGGCTGGGGGCGGGGCCGCTGCTAGTGACAAGGTGTCACTGTGGCAACCAGAGCAGGGGAGGAACACAGCTCCCCCAGTCTGCGCCTGGAGGACCAGTCCGCATCAGCCCAGGCTGCTGGCACCGAAGGACAGGGACAGGGCGGCTTCACCAGAAACAGCCAGTTATTTCTCGCGCTTCTGGAGACGGGAGTCCACAGTCGGGTTCTCGGGGAGGGCCTGGTCAAGGCTGGGTCTTCACACGTTTGACCTTGGCGTGGGTGCTCAGCCTCAGCCCTGCCCCGCAAGGTGGCTAACGCCATCATAGGGACCTCACGACCTCACCTGACCCTCGTCACTTTCCAAAGGGCCCCCCTCCAAACACTACCACATGGGGGCGCATGGTTTCTTTCTAGTTTATTTTTTTTTTTAGAACCCAGCAGGTATTCAAAAAGGTCTCCTCTGTACCACCTGGATCTCCACTTCTCCCAGGTGCTTGTTATCCTGCCTCTGTCCTCACATCTTATGTCCTAAGGGCTGCTTGGCTTCCAATCCTTCCCTGTAGAGAGTCCAGTTTTTTTTTGTTTCCTTGCATAGAAGAACTGGGGTGTAGGCCAGAGGTGCATCGGGTGAGAGGATTCACCAGAGACAGAGTGGGGAGCAGAGCAAGCGAATCTATTGAAACACGCTGCTGAGGGGAGCAGCGGGTGAGACTGGAGAGGTCTGCTGCGCCATGTGGGTAGCTCCCTGGCCGAAGATTGAACTCAGGCTGCTTTGCCACAGGATGGCCATCGTGGTGGTAGTGCTGAGACTTAACCCCTAAGCCACCAAGGAGGCCCTATTTTATTTTTAATTTAAAAAATAATCACCACCATCCTGACGCTAAAGACCACTTCCACTTTCTGGGAAGTGGCTTCACCTTTTACTGCAGTTTTTGGGAAAAGCAAATCCCACATGATTATTCTCAAAACTCAGAGCGCCTTGTAATTACTTGGGAAGCATAAACATACAGAGGCCCCAGGCCTCCCGGTGGCGCAGGGGTTAAAGTCTCAGCACTGTCAAGCTATCGCCAGCCGTTGCAGCATGAGTTCGAGCCCCGGCCAGGGAGCTGACCCACATGGCGCAGCAGACCTCTCCTGTCTCCCCACTGCTCCCCTCAGCAGTGTATTTCAGTAGATCCACCTGTTCTGCTCCCCACTCTATCTCTGGTGAGTCCTCACACATACCCTGTACCTCTGACCTACGCCCCAGTTCTAAATAAAAATAAATCTTAAAAAAAAAAAAATGGGGCCTCCCCGGTGGCACAGTGGTTGAGCACTGGGTTGCGAAGCTGCCCACGGCCTCTGCAGCGCCGGTTTGATCCCCGGCTGCTCCCCGGCCACCGGAGGAGGGTCCCACATGGCGCGCAGACCTCTCCTGCCGCCCGCTGCTCCCCTCAGCAGTGTACTGTGGTCCTTCTGCCTGCTCTGCTCCCCGCTCTGGCTCTGGTGAATTCTCTCACCCTCCCACGCTTCTGACTGTACCCAGTGCTTGTATAAATAAATAAATAAATCTTAAAAAAAAAAAAAAATGGAGGCCCCGCTTCTCCCAGAAACTACAGGGGTTGAGCGCAGGTGAATTTGTCATCGCTGTGGATGTGGACTTGGGGGGCGGGGACAGCTTCTAAGGCCTGCACTACTGAGTTTGTAGAAGCCCTAGCCCGGCTCCCACTGTCACTTGGAGAGCTGGCTTGGTCCCGGGACTGCAGGGAGGGAAGTGATGCGCTTGGTCTGTGTGCCCCCTGCTGGTACCGCGTGGGCTGACCACCGTGGAAGTGGAGGCCAAGGCTGGCAAGAATCCCAGCTCTCACCTCCCAGGCCCTGGTTTGTGATTATCAGACCAGGCTACGCTAGCAATGTCTGGTCAATGGACCTCTAGTGACTCCACACATTCACAGCCAGCCTGGAGAACATATTCTTTAGGCAAAAAATTAGCCCCGGAACTCTCCCAGGCTGCCAGCCTTTCAGAATTAGCTTCAAATTTACCAAAAAGACCGATTTGGGGACCCACCCCAGGCCAACTACATCAGAATCCCAGAGACCAGATTTGCTCAGGTAATTGCTTTCCACTAGCCCAACACCAGCAGCTATTTGAGTTAATTTGGGGTTGCAATGAGGTCAAGGTCAAATGATTAATACCTTTTGAGATACCTCATAGGCACAGACCGTCTCTTTGGGGACGTCGCAGTCACTGAAGGAAGGGATAAGCAGGCGAGGGGCCAACAGCTGTATGTAACTGCTGTATGATTGACTCAAGCAATTAAAACTTCATCTTCTCCAGCTTAAATAACAACGCCCGTTAGGCAGAGGAAGAAACGAGTGGACTGCAATGCAGGTGTCTAGGGAGAAGAGCGTCCAGGCCGGGCGACCTGCCAGTGCAAAGGCCCTGGGGCTGAAGCGTCCCCTGACTGGAGCGACAGCAAGAGGAGCACAGCTGAGTGAGCAGAGTTACGGGCTAGAGAAGAAAGCTGGGGCAGAGATGCAGGGACTTGGGCTGTTACAGCAGAGACAGGTGTAGGGTAAAAAAAAAGTATCAGGCTTTCCTGCCGTCCCGCCATTAGGATGGATGATGAAACCCTGCAGTCCTGAATGCGTGCCTGATGGCGGGCACCTGGAGTGGGGTGTGGGCATGCGTAAGTGGGTGCACCTGGGCTGAGACTGGGCTTATAAGGGCGACGTCACGGGGAAGCCAGCAGAACGAACGGAAAGAGCAGAGCAGCAGCGACCACCACAGGACGCCGGAGAGCCCAGAGTGAAGACTTGCCTGCCAGCCTCCTGTCCCCCCCCAGCACCCCTGCCTGCCGTGTGCCTGGTAAATCCCAATAAAAGCCTGAAAAGCCACCAAGGGCTTCAGGACGCTCTCCTCCCTTACCCCGTCTGCTCGGGTCATAGAAAACCTGCCCTGTGCCCTTTCGCCGCTACAACAGGATTCTGGGTTTTAGCAGCTCACTGGCTGCGGCGAGGAGACCGCAGTGGGGGAGGGTGGAAGCAGCAGAGTGTGGCTTGGATGGGAACGGGGAGGTGGAGCGGGTGAGGAGTGGTCGGGCAGGTCAGGTTTTTTTTAAAGTAAATTCACCCTAAAACCTTAAGTCGGTGGACCACCACTTAACCTGGAGGAAGCAGTGGGACTGACCTCCAGGACGCCCTGGGCCCACAGCCAGGCCTGGGCCACACCCTAAGGTCCACTGCACGCTAGGAGAGCCCGCGCCATCCCTCGACCTAGGAAAACCACAGCCATGCCCAGACTGGCCACAGGTGCCCGTCCCCAAACACCCCACACTCCCCAGACCACCCTCTCCCGTGGCAGGAACTAACAGGCAGTGGGAACTACACAAAGGAAACAAATCCATAAGCCTGTTATTTCATTTGCATCTTTAAATATGTATACACAGAAGCCGTTTCCTCTTGTTCTTACACTCTCCACATCTTCACTGTTCTGTCCTCCCTCTGATCCGCAAAGGCTTCCCACAGTGAGCAGATCAGGTTCAGGAACCAACCCTCAGCAAAGCGGGGGGAGCCACTGCTTCGTGGCTACAGAGTTTGTTTGGGGTGATGAAAAATTCTGGATATTCAAGTATAAGTGACTATACTTTACTTAACATTGCTGAACTGTACACTAAAGGATAAGTTAACTTTATGCATGTTTTACTACAATTAAAGATTGGAAAAGCAACATGACCTTCAGTTATTGGCTTCTGAGTCGCAGAATCATAAAGATCACATCTGCCTTCCTCTTCACTCCATTACACACTGCATAACAAATATATAGTACTAGTAACACTTGTGGCACCGCCCCCTCCCTGGCCAGGTGACCCTAGTCCCTCCTTTGTAGGTTCCACTCAGGTGGGGGGGGGGGGAACACCGCCAGGGGCTCAGGAGCGCCCCACTGCCGGCCTGGAGGCGTTCACCTGGAGGCAGGATTTCCTGTTTCCCAGATGTGAAGACCCAGGTTGCGAGAGACTCACTAGTCTGCCCAGCCAGGGAGGTGAGAAGGATCCGAACCGTCTCTGACTCCCCACTGTGTGCTCCCCCTGCCATCCCATCTCCCGGCCTTGCAACACTGTACTATTGAGCCTGACACAGCTTCCTCCAAGAGCTAGCCCTGAATGCAATCTTCCGGTCACCACCTGACCAAATGTCATACACAGTGCAGAGAATTTGCACGAAGGATCTCTTCTCAAAGCTGTTAGTATCTGCCTCATGAATCTCCTCATCCCAAAAGACATGTTCCCAGGGGCCCTGGCCAAGTGTGCCGACCCCAATCTTCAGCCTCCCCCAAGCCCTCCATCTTCCTGTCGGAGAGCCAGGAGCCCCAGGGCTACCGGGAGGCCTGGCGCCCAGCTGGTCCCTTGCGAGTGTCCAGCATCCCAAACACCTCAGTGAAACGCTCTCTGTCCAGGATGCGTCCGTAGCGAAGGGTGAGGTAGAAGGTCTGCTTCCCACTGTACTGCTGGATACGCATGAACAGCTCCTGGGGCCGGTCCTTGGTTTCCGTGAAGGGGATCACATCGGCCACAGGGCAGTAGGTGTCCTGCCGCCAGCCCCAGAAGGTCAGGTGGGCTACACGCAGCACTGTGCCTGCCTCATTGACGTACAGGAATCCCACCAGCCTCCGGAAGAAATAGCTCATCCAGCACAGCATGGTCAGGGCAAAGCCTGCTACTCCACCTGCAAGGCACAGGTTGTCGAGTGTCATGAGGCCCTGGGAGTACCAGTACCAGCCAGGAGGCAGGGCTACCACTGTCAGGGCCGTCTGTGCCACCTTCAGCTGGGACAAGACCCCAAAGGCTCTGATGGCATCGAACCGGTAGACCATCTGGAACTTCTCTGCCTCAGGGCCTGGCGGTTTCTCCTTTGAGGTGGATGACCCGCTCCCCAGCAACCTCCTAGGATTCGGTGCATTGCAGCACCACAGTCCGCAGAGAGGCCTTGCCCACGCAGCTGGCCCTGGCCACCGTGCCACAGTTTGTAGGAGGACAGCCTGGAAAGGAGACAGGAAACCATTTCTCTCATGGAACTCAACCATGCTTATCACAACATGAGCATCTGCAAAACATCTTACACAGAGACTCCCGACAATCCTGTGCGGTGGCCACCAGCAGACACTGCAAGAAAGTGAAAACCAGGTGCTTCAGCTCATGTGAGCTTCAAGAAAGCCGTGTGAGATGGGTACCACTCCCTCCACTGTAGTAAGGTAAATAAGGAAAGGTCAAATTTGTTTTGCATATTCTACTATATAAACTAAGGAAACTAAACCCAGAGAAGAAAAGAAATTTAGCCAAAGACACACAGCCGGTGAGTGGGGCCGTCCGACTCTCAAGCTGATCCTCTCCACTGCAGGCAGTTCAAGGAGGTACAAGGAAGGAAGTGCAGCCTTCGCCCATGCAACAAATACCTGGGGAGACTCAACTGTATCCGTAACAAATGTCTGAACATGTACCCAAATAGAAACTAGGCCATGGATCTCTTCTGGGGACAAATGCGTGAGATACTTATCATACTAATTCTGCAACTATGTCAACTTCTTGAAGCATATCTTGGGTGCTGACGGGAACTACTGTTTTTGTAGCCTAGTCTGGGGGGGGGGGGGAACGGCAAAGCCGAGCGAGGCTCCCACGCAGCACAAGGGTTTTCATTGGGTGCACAGTTCTGCACCTCAAGTCCTAGAATGAATGATGCTTTGGAGGCGGATGTGCGCGCCGACCCGGCTCCTCCAGCCGAGTGTGGCTCCTGCAGTCACTAGGTGGGGACTCGGGGCAGACCTTGGGAGCATGGTTTCAAAGCCCTCAAAATGTAACAGGGTGGTCCCCAGGAAAGGGGGAGGTTCCAGGAACCCCTTTCCTGGGGACCACCCTGTTACAATAGGTCCCCGAACGTGGTTCCTGTAACAGGGTGGTCCCCGAACGTGGTTCCTGTAACAGGGTGGTCCCCAGGAAAGGGGGCGGTTCCCTTACAACAGGTCCCCGAATGTGAGCGCTCGGGCTGTTAGCGCGGCGGGCACACGCGACCTGAACGCAAAGAAGCGGGGACATGGCGGGTCGCTGGGGGCCCCGTCCGCGGACTCTCCGAGTCTGACCCCCAGGCACCTGCCGGCCCACCCCGGCCCTGACCCGGAGCCTCGAGGCGCGCCCCCTCCCTGTGTTCCCAGCACTCTTCTTACCATGACCCCGCTGGAGGCTGCCGGAAGTGACGCCCACCGGCCTCCCGGAACCTTCAAGAGCGCATGCTCAGTCGTCATAGGCTCGCGTCAGGCGCGCTGTATCCTGGGACTTGTGGTCCCACGAGAACTGCCGGCGCTGGTCCCGGGCTTTGTGGGTTCCGGCGTGCTCTGCGGCCTGGGGGCCGAACCCGGAAGTGCCCGGTGTAGTTCCGGCGCCAACGCGTCCCGTCAGTGCGGTGGGAGCGGGGAACATGGCGCCGCCCGGCCGAGCGCTCTGCCTCTTCGACGTGGACGGGACCCTGACGGCTCCGCGGCAGGTAGGCGGCGCTGGAGGGCCGGCGGGGCGGACGCTGAGCCTTGCCGCTCCCAGGCGGAGCTGGGTGGGCGTCGAGGGGGCCCAAGGGCCGCTCGCCCCTGGTGGGACTGAACTCTCTTCTGGGTGCCCTGGCGGGGGGAGGCGGAGCCCCGAGCCTCGTCCTCAGGACCTCGGGGTGCTTGGACCCATGGGACGGCCCGAAAAACTTGCCAACAAGAAACTTGGCTTGGAAAACGCGCTTCTGGACTCTCCGAGCTTTGGGTCTGATCGCAGCTCAGCCCTCTCCGCAGCTGGGAGCCCTCCTCTGCCCTGCCCCCCGAGGGCTGTATGACCCAGCAGCCTGATAAGGGAAACAGGTTTCCAGGTGAAGCAGACCTAGTCGAGTGTCATCTCTACCTCCTGACAGCTGTGTGGCCTGGAGCAAGTCAATATCTACACTTGCAATGGGGGCATTTTTTGTTCCAGGTGGTGGTTTGTGAGGGTCGAGTGAAATTAAAAGTCCCTGGAAATGTCTTGCGTTCTGTAGGCTGTGACAGTAATAGTAAATATCTGGCCCCCCTTCTCCAGCTCCTGGGGTGTACTGGGGTGGCCAAGTAGATCCGGATTGCTACAGGATGCCTTCCGAGAAAGCCTTCCTGGATTCCTGGAAACTTGCTCCCTCCCACTTCCAGATTTGGCTACCACAGACGCAGATGGGTTTCGATTAAGATCAGTCTCTGTGAGGACGCTCACTCCACCCTCGCTCCCTTGCTCAGATGGGTCAGTGAATCCACTTGACAGACATTGGAGTCTGAGACCCACCAGGTCTTCCTTGCTTCAAGTTCTATCCCCACCTCCACCCCGCTGAGTATGACTGGGTGATAGCAGAATTCCACACCAACCATGTGCAACCTTAGACACATTTTACCCTTCTGAGCCCTAGGTTTAGTATTAAGAGTACCTAGTGGTGATACACAACTGCAAGTTCCCCAAATGCCCCATTTGACTCTGAGGTTCACTGGTCAGCTCACATGTGGAGATTGTTAAAAGCCCATTGTAATCTAGAGCCAGCAAGTCACTGTTTGTAAAAGGCAGGAGAGCACATACTTTTGCCTTCACCCACCATATGGTCTGTAGTAATTAGCAACCTTAACGCAAAGGCAACCATAAACCATAGATTGACACAGTAACTGCGTTCCAGTAAAGCTTTATCTTATTTGTTTATTGCAAAAACAAGCAATTGCTCAAGTTGGCCCTTGGTTGTGGTGGGAAGGTTTGCAAAGTGCAAGCCTTTGTCCGTGTTATCACTGGACCCCCTCACCCTCCCCTCAAACTCTTTCATCCCGAGTAGGATAGTTGTTGTTACTGGATAGTTGTTGTTTCCTTAAACATAAGGAAACACACTATAGTCTCTACCTGCTGGATTTCACATAGCAGATCTGATACACGCCTTAGGTCCACAAGGCGTGATTATCTGCCAGTGTTTCCTGCCACTGTTCTAAGGTAGAAGCTGATCTGGTTGCTGGGTGTGCCTCTCAGGAGAGCACTTCTGATTCAGGATCTATAAGCATAAAGTATGAACTAGAGAAGAAGCCAGGCACCCATAGTTGTTCCCATAAAACATTTGAAACACAAAACTCTTTACAGTGAACATAAATCATTTTAACACTAAAAAAAGAAATCTGTGCTTTAAAAGAAAATTGTTTATGTGCTCAGTGCTTTAGGTAAGACGTAAAAAGATGTTAGCAATAGAGGAACTCATTTATACAACCTTTCCCTTCCTCATTACATGTCGCCTGGCGGGGCAACAACCTTGGGAGCGGCAGGATGGAGGATAAATAACTCCAAGTCCAAGTAGTAAGAGAGAGAGACCTAGAGGGGCTGCCATCTCCGGAGATACAGTGCCAGTTTCCAGTCCAGTCTCCCATTTATTTGGTATCAGATTCAGAGGAGGTGGTGGGGATGTGGGTTGGGGATGCATAATAGTTTGGCGCATGAGAGAGTGAATAGGGCCTCTTGCTTGGGGGCTCCATTGTTGCCGCTGATCAAAACACCCTGTCTCTAGTCCTTGTTTTACACTCAACTTCCTTTCAAGGTGGTCGAGCTGGTTCTGCTAATCTGACCATAATGTCTGCCTGCTGTGTTCAGCAGATATCCTCATGCCAAGAGATCTGTGCTGGGAAGAGGCTTCCTTCCTGACTCTACATTTAGCTTGACCAGCAACAACTTTGGGCGCCAAGCAAAATCCCCAGAACAAGGAATCCACAATTACATACATCCTCAGAACTTGATAAGGACAATACAGTGTGGAGGCAGGAGAACAGGTTTCTCTTATCTCTCACCTGTCAAAACAGGATTTGCCCTAAGCAGGTGACTCTAGTTGGAATTCACTAACTTCACTCTTCACAGTTTTAGTAGAATTCTGTTGTGCCAAGTGTTTTCCTAAGGAATGCCATTCCATCTAAAAACCGCCAAGATGTGAACAAAGGTCTGCCACGAGAATGGGCGGGTAGGCCTAAGTGAATTGCTTTCACCTTCTTATCACAAACACGTTAAGGAATCACTGGGAAAGCAGTGCATATAACAGATCTCCACCGCCTGAACTCAAGGAAGGCTGATATTTTGCCAGATTAACTTGATCTCTGTTTTTTTTTTTTTTTAAAGGTATAATTGACATATAAATTTTTTTTTTTAAAAGATTTTTTTTTTTTTTTTTAATTTATACAAGCACTGGGCACAGCCAGAAGCGCGGGAGGGCGAGAGAACTCACCAGAGCCAGAGCGGGGAGCAGAGCAGGCAGAAGGACCGAAGCACACTGCTGAGGGGAGCAGCGGGCGGCAGGAGAGGTCTGCGCGCCATGTGGGACCCTCCTCTGGTGGCCGGGGAGCAGCCGGGTATCAAACCGGCGCTGCAGAGGCTGCGGGCAGCCCCGCAACCCAGCGCTCAACCGCCGCGCCACCGGGGAGGCCCTGTTTTTTTTTTTGTTTTTTTTTTTTTGTTTGTTTGTTTTTTTTTAACCTCTGCCCCGCTGCTTCCTTGGCCTTGGGCATCGAGGTGCGCCAGCTTGAGGACGAAGTCATCCATCATGATTCCATCATGATTTGAGGATCCTGATCACACCTGAGAAAATGGTCATGCTCCCCGACCCCCAGTAGTAGTTAGTGCCTGGTCCCGGCGTAGGCAAACATTTTTTTGCCCAAGACTGTTATAGAACAGGGAGAGGGGCAGCCCAAACCACGCAAACCTGCCTATTCTAAATGGGTTCTGCCATCCGCTGCATCAACACAAAACATAGGAGACTTTAATGGGAAGGAACTTTAATAAAACTAGGAAACAATACAGGTAAGGCAAAGAATCTAGTTTCTAAATGAAGCACCCAAAGTTACCCGTCCCCTCGCGGGTAAAAGTCCATCCAAATGGGATCGGCCCAGAGCAAGGCCCCAAAGCCTGCCACAAGTCTAAAGCACCTTCCAGTGGGGACCCACAGAAAAGGGTCAGAAACAACCAGACAAGCCCGGAAGAAAAAGAGCAAAATCAACATCAAGATAAAAGCTGCCACGGTCACCTCCCCACGGGTCTCACCCACATCTGTGTCACCCAGTCCACGACCAAAAGACAAGCGCAGTTTCTTCACGTGTCTCCTGGCTCCATCCTGCTTCCTTCCTTCCTCCGTCTCTTCTGCAGCTTCTCCTCTTCCTGCTCAGCTCCACCCTCCCTTGGGTGGGGCAGGGAACCTGGAACTTCCCCCTTTCCTGGGGACCACCCTGTTACAAGACCAGATAGTAGATATTGAGACTTCCCAGGCCCGGTGTCACAATTATTCAGTTGTGCTGTGGCCTCGACGCCTGTGGACGGAGGGACGGGACAGCACAGGAATGGGGGTCGGCCCGCGCTGCCGCCACTCCTTGGTCAGTTTTCTTTTTCAGCTCAAAAACAGCCTCTTTTTTTTTTTTTTTCAGAAGGTGAATGTTTAAGTTTTTTCCTGCCTTCAAGTTTTTGCATCTTTCTCTGTGTTTTGCTTTGTGTGAGGTGTTTTATAAAGAATTCCTGTCATTGTCAGCACAAGGGCTGGATGGGAACCCAACAGCTTTGCTGAGGCAGTTTTGTTTGAAGATCTCTCCTGCCATGGGGTGTAGTTTTGATGCTCTGTTGGGATCACAAGCAGCTGGGGCTCATTTTCTGTCAAAAAAAACAAAAAAAAACAAAAAAACACAAAACACTTCTGCCACTTGGAAGCAAAAGCTGCCTCTGCTTTCCGTTCACATTGCAGAACATGCCTGCTGCTTGACCACACAGCCCTGGGTCACTGCGTGCACGGGGCTTAAGAGCTCACCGCCGCCCCCTCAGGCTTCTGTGTGAAGGAGGCTCACTGTTGTTAGTGCCGCATTTTTAATGTTTTGCAAGCAGAGGACTCTGCCCACTTGCTCCTGTTCTGAGCTGCTAGTGCTAGTGCAGTTCTAGGTTTTGCCACCTAGGTGGAGATTCACTTGGGGGAGGTAGGAGAGGTTGCACTCTGTTGTAAGCAGTCTCTGTGATCTTAGTCGTGTGTGTGTTTGTGTGTGTGTGTGTTTTGAGAAAAAGAAAATTGAACTCAGGATCTTTATATACTGTTGAGTTGAACAGTTGTGTGTGGTTTTATTTTAAATTTGCAGTACCTTTATTTGCGCAGATCTGCCGTCAGTGTGTAGTTAAGATCGCTAAAAGTAATGACAGAAAAAAAAAAATAAAAAAAAAATAAAAGTAAGGACGGAAGACTTTAACTGTGATTCAACTTCCAATACACGGCTATCTTATCATCTTAGTTTATAGTTTCCTTTGAATTAACCCATGGTTTCGAAATTAACTGGCATAAAATTGCTCAGTCGCAACCAGTTTATAGATTGGGAAAGACTAGAAAGTCTAGTGACCTTATTCTCATGCTTTTTGATTTTGTAATCAGTTGTGAACTTCCTGTTTAATCTCATTATGCTGTTTGGTTTTAAAATCAACAACTTAAATCCATAAATGGGGTACGATGTAGCATTTGAAAGGAACGTGCTAGATCCGTGTGTAGACATGTAGAGAGCACAAGTCAGTGCTGAAAAAACAAGTCACTGCACAAGACAAAGAACCTACCTACTTATGTCCTGAAAAATAAGACCTGTTTGTGTGCATAAAGACAGGCATGTAAATACAGAGAAGAATGGCTAGGACAGTACGCAAATTTAATGAGATTTTTCCTGGTTAAAAAAAATTGGATGTCCCCAAAGGACAACTAAAACCTCAGGACTGTCTGCAGGTCTAGATGCCGCAGCGGCGTGTGTGAAGGTGAGCGCCGTGTTACCCTTGCAGTTTTAGTCTCTCGGTAACTTTGTGGCTCATGCTGATATGTTTTCCTTCTCCAAACGTAGAAAATTACCGAAGAAATGGATGGCTTTCTACAGAAACTGAGGCAGAAGATCAAAATCGGAGTCGTGGGCGGGTCAGACTTGGAAAAAGTGCAGGAGCAACTGGGACATGACGGTAAACTGTCCACGGCTGGTGGCGCTTCCGTGCAAGATGGACGTGTTAGTAGCGGGGCACGGCCTGGAACCTCCAAGTATCATAGGCGGCCCCAGCCCCATATGGCCAGCTTCCGCCTCCATTTTTCTTCTGTTTTCAATCCTATAAATAAATTCTGGGGTTGCTGATGGAGTGCTTAGTACTCAGATACATGGGTAGACTCACCTAGAAAGGTGAGTGTCTCAGTTTGCCTAGAACTCACTGGTCCCTTCATCGCCCTTTGCCCTCTGGGGCTGTGGTCTCCTCTCTGTTGCCCTAGCACAGTGTTTCCCAGAATCCCCTGATCATGACTTGCCCAGGCTGCTCCCCCACCTGCTGAGCCAGAATCTCCAGTGTAGGGCCCCAGTAAACGAGGAGCTTACTGGTCCCCTCACCAGAGACCTGTTTCGGCAGCTACCCCCATGAGCTGCTGCTGCACAGCTTTGCTGACATGGGGCTCTCTGATACTGGAGACCACCGGGGCATTTGCCTGTCTTAAAGACAAGGACTATGGATCCTTCCAGCCCTGGGGCCCCAGGGTGCCTGGCTTAGAGAGTGGGAGGAGAGATTGCATTAGGGTCATTCATTCTGCTCCATTACCACTATGGGCCAGATCATTTTCTGTTGCCAGGGCTTCCCCGTGCACTGTAGAGTATTGAGTAGCATCCCTGGGCTCACCCACTAGGTGCCAGTAGCACCCCTACCCCCACTGTGACAATCAGAAATGTCTCCACACATAGGAGACAAAATCACTCCCAGCTGATCAGCCCTGTACGGAATGTAGTATCTTCCAGTCCAGATCTGTGGGCTGCACTGCGGGACCCCAGGTACTGAAAGAATAGTCCATGCAGTCCCTTTCCGACCCTGTTCCACTCACACTGGCTTTTCCTCCTGCTGCACTGCTTAGAGACACGGCAGCAGCACAGTGGGGTACAGCATGGTGGTGTGGGAGAAACTTCCCCTTCTAACTTCTTTTGGTTGGTATAATTAAATTGACATGAGACAGGTCAATGGGAGAAGAAAAACATTGCTGTTGTCATGAGACAAGAGGTCATTTCGTCTTGTGGATATGGAACCTGAGAAGCGACCTGGGCAGCTGGTTTATCCTTTCAGACAAAGAAACAGTACATTTGTGAGGAACTGACAATCAGAGACCTTGGGCTTGGGTGCTAGTTAGTAAGGAGCTAAGCAGAGTGCATTGACACAGCTTCTCCACCCTGCATTCCCTCCCACTGGTGTTCGGGTGCCGCACTGCCTCCTGCCGCAGGGGGTGCCTTTCCCGTGGGAGATGGGGGCTGGGGGCGTAGGTGTGTCTTCCTTGCACTGGCTGTTTTTCAAGCAACTTTCATCAAAACAGGCTGCCACTTTCACTTATTTTGGGACAAAATATGAGCCCCAACAGCAGCCGTATGTAATACTCCAGTACATACTTGAAAGTTGCTAAGAGCAATTCTTAGAAGATCTCCGCATTAGGTTACCACCTCGGGAGCTTCCATGTGAGCCCCCACCCATCCCTGCAGGGAGAGTGCGGAGAGATGGAAGAAACAGCAGGCCACTCCAGATCGGTAGGGGCAGTTTTGATGACCAAGGAAACTTCTAAGACTGTGTCTTGGATGCCACAAGACAAAATTTTTCTGTACCCCCCACCCTGGACCCCGCCACAGCATCTGAAAGTCTTTTTTTAAGAGTTGTTTATTTATGTATACAAGAGCTGCGGTACAGGCCAGAGTTGTCAGGGTGGGAAGGTGAGAGGATTCACCAGAGACAGAGTGGGGAACAGAACAGGCCATCTGAAAGTCTTATCAAGGCTTTAGCTGTGCTCAGTCACATCTGCAGTCCAGATAGTCTCAGCCACACTTTATACATCTTCTCAAGGCTGTGTCCTTGGAGCAACTTCTGGGAACAGTGCAGGGGAGGGAGGAGGCTCCCCCAATTACCAGGCCCAGCTGGGGGCAAGTTATACAGTCACATCTTGATGACTTGTCCCCAGTACTTGTCACAAGTAAAAATACTTGTATGGCTATGTGTGGTGAAGGGTGTTTAACTAATTGCGATCATTTCACAGCTTATATAAATGGGGTTTATTTGTAAACGTACACCAGAACCTTACCAAATGTTATTTTGTCAGTTATACCTTATTTAAAAAAAAAAATAACCATGATGGGCCAGAAAACCTGGAAATCCCATTACCCGGGCCCAACTGCCCTTCTAAACCCAATCCTGTGTGGATCTGCCCCATGTTCAGGGAGGAGATGTGCCGGTGCAGGGCGGCATTTCAGAGTATGCGTCAGGACACCAGGATTGAAACCACCACGAGCTAGAAGGAAATTGAAAACACACCCATATTAGAATCACCCAGGGAACTTTTTTTTTTTTTTTAAAGATTGATTGATTGATTTATACAAGCACTGGGTACAGTCAGAAGTGTGGGAGGGTGAGAGAATTCACCAGAGCCAGAGCTGGGAGCAGAGCAGGCAGACTGATGAAGTACGCTACTGAGGGGAGCAGCGGGCGGCAGGAGAGGTCTGCTCACCATGTGGGACCCTTCCCGGTGGCCGGGGATTGAACTGGTGCTGCAGAGGCTGCGGGCAGTTTCACAGCCCAGTGCTCAATTGCTGCGCCACTGGGGAGGTCCACACTCAGGGAACTTTTTAAAGTACAGAGGACGGCGACTTCCCAACCCACAGGGTGCCGGGGAGATATTCATTTTTACAAGCACCTGAGTTTTGAGATGCCTTCAAGCTCTCTGTGAGTGTCTCCAACTCCAGCCGCATCTGAGAATCTCCTGAAGGCTTATTCGTTTGTCTCCATGACTTCTAGCCTGGCCACTGAGGATGGGGAGAGCAGAGCCTGGCAATCTGCATGTTCCCGCCCACTGCCCTGGTGACAGGAATTCACGTGAGGTTGGGGAGCTGTGGTGGATCCCGGCTTTGTTCCCAGACAGGCAGGCTGCGGCAAAGACCTGAAATAACCCCCGCAAGTCTCTTGTCTGCAGCATAGTCGTCATCTTTTAAATTTGAAATTAAGAGCCTTTTAGGAAAATAATTTTAAAGGCGGTTTTTCCCACCTTCCCAGGATGAAGGAAATCTTTCATGTTCCTTACTGGAGCTTAACAGTTGTGTTGGTGCTAAGTGCACAGCAAGAAATAGAAACACAGGTTTCAATTCATTGCATTCTAAGTTTTCTTTTGTTTTGGTTGTAGTGGTTGAAAAATATGATTATGTGTTTCCAGAAAATGGCTTGGTAGCATACAAAGATGGCCAGTTCTTGTCTAAACAGGTAGGTTCTTGAGAAGTATCCAAGCTAGCGTTTGCTGCTAGTCCAATGTTTCCTAACATTTTGACGTTAAATAGTTGACATTGAAAATTTGACACTGAATTGAACTTGTTTCCTAAATATTTGACATTGAGTGCCTCTGCATTTGGGGCCCGCAGAACTGGGGTGGGACCGAATCATCACTCTATCTTTTTTACAATTCAAATGTTAAACATACGACTGTTACAGATTCCAAATTATTAACTAAATTTTTATCATTGCTTTTTGGTTGTGTTTTAAGGGTAATCTGGTATTTCCATTAAGAGAGCAGAGACCAGGGCAGGCTCTCTCGCTGCAAGCGATTGTTAAAAGTACGTGCAGCTCTTGTTACTCGTGAGAGCATTCTGGCCAGCCCTGAGAGAGCCAGACTGGAACAAACAGATTTCCTATCGCTGTCCGTGGATATTTCAGTGGACTCAGACCAGTAGCAGTAAACCATCGTGGGCCTCCCATAAAGCATTTAAAAGACCATGAATGCAAAAATCTTGAGTAACGAAGCAGAAAATGCTTTTAACAAAAGCCCTTCCCGGTCTGCCTAATGTTTTCAACCAGAGGGGAGAGAGAAAGGAAGAGGGGGCAGTGGGGGCTCCATCAGCCTAGCGCCCCTCCACCCCAAGTGCCCAGAGACCGGCTTCCTGTAGGGCCGTGTTGGACAGGCTTCCTGCTGAATCAAGTGACTGCGTTTTCTTTATCCAGAATATCCAAGGACACCTGGGTGAGGCCCTGATCCAGGATTTAATCAACTACTGCCTGAGCTACATTGCGAAAATTAAACTGCCGAAGAAGAGGTGGGTTTGTTTTTAGCCAGGGGGCCCCCTAGACCCTAGAGGAATATCATTTGAAGGGATGGTGCTAATTTCCATCCAGTGCCTACTCCTTAGTAAGGAATAGTCAGGAACCTTCTGTGAAGCCAGCAGTAGCGGAGGTGACATGTGGCATGACCACGCGTTGGGAGCGAGAACAGTCTGTTCCCTGGGCCTGTGGCTGCAGATATGGGTGAAGGTGGCCCACTGCGCCTAGCAGCTGAGCAGCCCCCACCTCCCAGGCCGTCACAGACCACTTCCCTCAGGTTTCTGACTTGTGGGAACCTTCCTTGTGGTCTGAGTCTTATCTCAATTCCTATTTCTCGGTAGTGAGGTTGCAGGGGATTCTTTGAAATGCTTTGCATTTTCTTCTCGGCTTACTGTACTTAATACACATCCCCTTACTGTACTTAATACACATCTGGGGGGCGCAACATTTTTGAGGTGGCAATTGAACTTCAGGCCATACTTTCTGTTGGAGGCTGTCGGAAGTCACAAAACCACCTTCCCTCCCTTCCCCACCCCTGCCACTTGTTCAGCACCTCAGTCGGGGCCCAGGGCTTCCCCTCTTGTATCTGTCCCGGGAGGGCAGACGAGCTGCTGGGCCTGGCCAGGTCTTGGTGCAGTAGGGTGATGGCACGTGGGCTCATGGCTGTTCTGTTTACTCTTCATGGGTCTGAAACTCCCCGCAGAAAGCACAACTTACGTCCCAAGTCATTTCCATCTTTACTGTGACCCTCAAGCACCAAGGGAGGATAAGGCACGGACCTAACTCAGTGAGGCCACCAGCTCCTGAGGAGGTGGGCGTGGGAAGTGTAGTCAGAGTAGCGTGACTTGCTGGTGAATTCAGGAGGCCAAACTGAGTGTCCCTCAATCAGCGTTTGTCCCTCAATCAGCGTTTGTCCCCTTTTTCGTAACTGCCCCGCACCGGCTGGGGCGCTGCCGCCGCACTTCAGATGGTCCAGATCTTCAGGCGGGAATGGCTGCTTGAGAAATCACCTCAGTCTGGTTTGGGACATGAGAAACCACGGCCTTCCTCTGCTGGGGGAATGGCAGTTAAAATCCATCCTTGAGTTGGGGGGACACGCATAGGCTCTAATGCTGATAGTTCGGACCCACAGCCCTAGGGTCACCCCGGAATCAACACCAGTCTCCCTGGTACCCCAGTGTACATGGAGAAGCTGTGACAATAGGGTTGGTCTGTACCAGCTCCAGGCCCGCCCTGATGGGGGTTCTTAAGGAAGCCCCAGAGCTGTCATTTGCCTTCTGTGTGAGTGCCCGCACGGGGCCTGGGGCCGGGTGAGGACGGGCTCGCTGTCACGCTGGCTGAGTAGCCCTGGCTCCTGGCTTGCCTCACACTCTTACCTCAGCCGGTATAATTGCTTCTCACGGACCCTTCAGAGGCCACCAGAGCCCTTCGCCCCTTGCTGAGCTTGGCAGCAAGGCTGGGGAGAGGCAGCGCAGGCCAGGACTCGGGTCCCTGCTCTGCACAGACGGGTGACACCCCAGTGTTCACAGGAGGCTGGGGCCAGGGCCGTGTGACTGAAGTGGCAGAAGGGACCAGGGCTGCACAGTCACCAGCGTTCCCAACCGGGAGACTTCTGAGCAGTTTGTCACCTAATGCTTCAGTGGCATCAGTGGGGATAAATAGCTTACGTGTCATTTGCATTTTTAAGAAACTATTTTGAGGTTCAAATTAGAAACACAGTGAGGGGAAATGGTTTTTGTAACATCTTTGAAGTAACTAAAGTGTGGGGCTGGTCTCGTTTTCTGTAATCATGTCAGCCATGTAGCCACCGCCTCCCCCAGGAGCTCAGCTCCTCAGTGGCCACTGCGGCTCCTTGGGAGAGGCTCGGGAAGCTCCCCTGTGCCTCTTCGCATGTGACCGGCGTCCGGGTCGCCAGCAGTGGAGCTGGGGTCCACTGCGCAACCTGCAGGAAACAGCGCGGAGACAGCACCTCTGCCTGTTGAAATGTTCCTCAGCCAGCGTGAAAAAGAAAGCAGAAAGGAGGGAGAGACTGTAACGCAACTTTAAAAGGGACAAAATAGAAATAAAGACAAAACCTAAAAATAAGAACAAAAGAGCAGCAGGAATAGGAAATCAATAATTATTCAACCCTGTAGATCAAAAATGTGATCCTTTTGACATACAGCCAGTGTAGACTTCGTTAGTGGTGGTGAGGGCCCTTTTTCACGCTCAGCCTATGAGACCTGATCTCACCGCGGATCAGCCCTGTTCAAGGCTCCCTGGCCACACGCGGCTCGTGTCGCCCTGTGGCCCGGCGGGCAAGCACTGCCGCCTCTGCTCTGTGAGGCTGCCTGGCCCTCAGCCTGCTCGTCCCCCTGTCACCCACATCGTGACGTGCCTCTGTCCTCGTTTCCCCCAGGGGTACCTTCATTGAATTCCGAAATGGAATGTTAAATGTGTCCCCAATTGGAAGAAACTGCAGCCAAGAAGAACGAATTGAGTTCCACGAACTCGATCAGGTGAGTCTTCCTGGCATGTCCCGGCCCTGTGTGGCCCTTACGGTGGGTTTTCCATGCAGCTGACAACTGCTGTCTTTTTTGTTTGTGGCAGAAAGAAAACATAAGGCAGAAATTCGTGGCAGATCTGCGAGAAGAGTTCGCAGGGAAAGGCGTCACCTTCTCCATAGGTACTGCGTGTCCCAGTGCGTTTTGAGCTGTGGGCACCGTTTGCCACGAGTTTATTGTGGTCGGGAGCCCTTGAGATTGGCCTGTGCCTGCTTCTCAGGGGGGTGGAGGACGCAGGCGCCCCTGTGCAGGCATTGCAGGGAGGGGATCCGTCTCGTGTGTCAGCAGAGGAGCAGAGGCTGGCCTGGTGGGGGCACCTCTGTCCAGGGCCCCCAGTGGCACGTCCTCGGCCTCCTCCTCACCTTTAGCTTCTATGCCCACCCCCCCCGCCCGGCAGGAGGCCAGATCAGCATCGATGTCTTTCCTGACGGATGGGACAAGAGATACTGCCTGGGCCACGTGGCCAGCGACGGCTACGAGACCATTTATTTCTTTGGCGACAAAACTATGCCAGTAAGTACGCAGGGTCTGTGCGGCACCACTGCTGTGTGGCTCGGGGCCGTGGACGTGGGGGCTGGCCCCTTGCCTGTCCTCTGCCTGCATGGTGGAGGCGGGCCTGAGGAGGGTGTGGCGCCGCTCCGGCCTTTCCACACAGACTCCACACCTCTTGGAGGCCAGGGTCAGCCTGTCCAAAGCCTTTTGGCTGTTGACTTAAATACTTCCCGTGTGTACCTTTCAGAGCTCCTGCCTCCAGCTCTCATGGCCTCTTTGCCGTTCAGTCCCTGGCCCCCTGTGCGGTTTTCCTGCTGTATTCCCCCAGGGCCAGGTACCTAAAGGGGAGAGGACAGGGGCTCTCCTCTTGGGGGAGAGGACAGTCTGAGTACGAGAGAGGTGGACTTAGGTCGTGGGCATCACAGAGGGGACTGGGCGCTGGCGGCGGTGAGGCAAGATCCCAAGTCCAAGAGCGAATATATAGAAGGCAGCAGTGCCAGCAGCTGATGCCTGAGGGGTCTGCCACCTATTGTTGGCTCCCCGGCCTCTGTACCCCGACATGCTGCAGCAGGGGCCCTGTTGGTCTTCATGACCGTCCACACCCCCCAGGTGCATCCTGAATGCTGCACATACGGAGGTTCCTGTTCCTCCAAAGACACCCACTCTGCTGAGTGAGGCCCGTGGGCGGGCCTGCCTGCCAGCCAGGCCTCCACTTCACGTGGAAGGGACTCCCAGGTAGATTAGTCTTGTTAGCGCCTTTCAAAATGATAAATTGGGACCCAGAAAGCGGGATGAGTCACACAGCTGCTGACAGGCTGCTGGCACTGGCCCCAACAGCTGTTCCCGGCGGGACGGTGCCGGAGGACAGCCTCAGGGGGTGAGTGAGCGCCACCTCGCTCCACACAAACGAGGAGCTTGATGGCCTGAGCAATGGCTTCGCACCACTTCCTTCAGTTGAGAGGCGTGGGAGACAAAACCCTTGGGGTGCAGGCGCTGGCTGGCTGGCGATAGAAAAAGTAAACTGATGACATTTCACCCCAGATTTCAGGAGGGACTGGGCGCTCCTTCAGCACCCCCAACTCGGCACTATTTTGTCCAGGCCGAGAGAGCTATTAACAGGCAGGCTGGACCAGGCCTCTGAGCTGCTGTCGTCCTGTGGCCTCCGAAGCCCAGGGCAGAGCAGGACAGCCAGCCTCTGGGCGTGATGGGTAGCGCCTCCACCGGGCCTTCTCCAGGGGAGGACAGGGCTGTCTCCTCTGACCCGCTGCCTTGGTTACCTCTCCCCCACTTCACAGCAGTGCTGTGGAAAGGGGTTATTCCGTGATTCTTAATCTGCACCCATTGTAGAAAATCAGAGCGTGCATGAAGTGCGTCCCCTCTGCGGGTTGAGACACCGGAGCATGTCCAGTGTCTGAGGCCACACTAGGGTGGCCTCTCACTTTCAAAGCAAGAGGCCCAGGCTTTCCGCGTGGCATCACGGTGCATTCTGGGGACGGCGCTGCTGAGGGCGTGCCTTGCAGACCTGTGTTGCAGTCACTCGCCGTTGTCTTCCTCCCGGCATCACCACACGCTGGGCACCTGTCTCCTCAGGCTCCTCCTCAGTCTCTTCCTCTGCCTCCAGCTTGGTTGCGGCCTTACAGAGCTCCCCAGGGATACCCACCTGGTCTGAGAACTGAGCCTTGTCTCGTTGGCCTTTGTCCCCATAATCCCTGAAATCCCATATGCTTGTTAAACTGACCGGAGATAAGGTCTCCGTGCAACAGGGTCTGGACTCCAAGCTACAGTGCCTGGGAGATGGGGCGGCCTGGGCCACCCCCCCCCCCCAGTTCCTGTCCCGCAGGCCGCCTCCCGTTCAACTTGTGTTCCCCTTTGGCTCCGTCCAGGGCCCACTGTGACACATCAGTGTGATGGTGTGGCCCCTGTCGGCACCTGCTAGCACTCTCCACCCGCCCTCAGGCCTCCGCCTTGTAGGGATTTAACCATAATGGACTGCTCAGGCTCCTGGGGTGCCCCCTGAGGAATATGATCTACCCGCCCCTTGGCGCCTTCCCTCCCTTTATCTTCTCTGGAAACTGGAGCTTTCCCTCTCCTCTGGGAGCTGGGGAAAGTGGAGCTGCCCCTGCGGGGATCTAGTAACTTGGCGCAAATGCAAATCCAGTGTTTGAACCCGGGGGCCTTTCAACCTTACTGTCCCCAAATAGGGCCTCTCCCAGCGGGCCCCACCCCCGTGTGCAGCAGGGGTCAGATGCCCAGCTGGTGGGGGGGAGTCCAGTTCTGGGCAGAGGGTGCTGGGGGTTGTGGCTTTGCTGCCTCTGGATGCTCAGGGTTGAGAAAGGACAGGCGAGTGGCCCCTAGGGTGGGGTGAGGGGTCCCTTCTCGGGGTGGTGTTCTCTCTGGACATGCCTTTGCTAAGTGAGAGTTAGGCAGCCTCAGATTCTGGGCAACCCCCCCCCCCCAAACAGGACCTGGGGAGACACTTGCCAAATCAGACATTCAGCCCTTCGCCCCAGGGAGGACCGAGCCCTTTCTGCTTCAGGGGCATCTCCCAGGTGCTGGCTCATGGCCTCCTTGGCCCCCGTCGGCTGCTTCTGCTTCTCAGTCCTTTCCTTGCTGCTGCCCCTCCCGCCAGCACCCTTTCCGCACGTTACTCACGCTTCCCCCGCTCCCTGCCCGGTGGTCTCCGCCCCGTGGGGCCTCGGAGCCGGCTGGGTCCACACAGGCCCCCCTAAGTCAGCAGGACTCCCTGGCAGGTGTGGCGGCCTGGGCCGGGCACAGGCTTGCTCCTCCCGGGCCCTGTGCTCTGCGGAGCCACTCCTAAGGGAAAGCCAACCCCGGGAGCATTGCTAGTGCTCGTTTCATCCTTACTTGATTAGCAGCTGGTGCTGGCCGTGGGCTGGGCCAAATGAACGGTCCAGAGTCTCTTTCCATCAGCCTGTGAGGCCCTGCCAGCTCCCCAAAATTGGCCCAGGGAAAGGACAGGCCCCAGCTGGGCTTCAGGTTCCTGGCCGCCTCATATGACGCTGTGGCCCGCCCTGAGGCCTGAACTCCACTCACCTGGGGGGCCACTTGCTTGGGGTTGGGTTACAGAACGAGCATGGAGTGACTTCGGGTGTCAGCTGGCCTTTCCAGGGGGTGTCAATTTTCCCTACAAAGCTTATGTGAGGAAAACCCATTTTCTCTGCAGTTATTTTCATTGTGTGGCAGCTAAGGGGTTAGTACCCGTGGCGAGTTAGACTGCCTGCCCCGTTTTATGAGGAAATCCCATGAGTGCAGCAGGGCCTATCCTAGGACTCTGGGTCTCAGGGAGTGGCTGTGAGCAGGACTCATTAGCCTGGGAAGGGGTACAGACCGGCCAGGAGACCCTGGCCAGGGCCCCCAGACACAGGCCCAGCTCCTCCCAGACAAGCGGCCTCCAGGAGGTGATGCGCGCGAAGCTGGGGTCTGGGGCCCAGCAGCCCCGAATCAGCAGTGGAACCTGCTCAGACACCGGCCACGTGGAGCTGCTGAAGTGAGCTGGAGCCAAACCACGTGAGCGCCAGGCCGGGTACCCACAGGTGGCCGGTGGCCTTGGTCGGCCAGGAGACAGCCGCGTGCGCCAGGGCTGGGGACCTGCCAGGCCCCTTGTGCTTGTTAGAAGCCCGGCAGGCTCAGGCTGACGGCCGGCCCTGAGCCTCTGTCAGCCACCGTGCTGCTCGCTTTAGAGAAAAACAAGCTTCAGATCTTCACGGCGTGGCCGGCCATGTTCCTGGCTGACCTGCAGCCCAGGAGCGGGGTGAGCCCCTCAGCCCCGCCTGTGCCCCTGCTCCTCCACTGATGCAGCCCTCCCGGCTCCTGGGGAGGCCCTCCATCCGCTCCCTGTCTTTGCAGGGCGGGAACGACCACGAGATCTTCACAGACCCCCGGACCGTGGGCTACACCGTGACAGCGCCCGAGCACACGCGCAAGCTCTGCGAGGAGCTCTTCCTCTAGGGGCCTGCCCCGACCCCCCCCCTCCCCAGACACTCCAGGCCAGCGCGGAAGGGGGACAAAAGCCTTGTCGAGCCTGCTGGGGGGTCCCTTCCAAGATTTCACCCGACCCGGAGTCGCAGACGCCTGTGTGCAGTCACCGCTGCACACTTTGCCATCGATCAGGAGCCACGCAGAGCAGGCGCGTGCCAGGACCTGTCCCCGCGGGTCTCGTGATAAACACTACAGGCCTCGGCCCGCGGGGAAAGGGGCTGGGTGGTGAGGACGCCAGCCTGGTCCCAGCCCTCGGCCCAGGACCCCGCCTTAGGGCGCTTCTGAGACGAAGCTGCCCCGAGTCAGCGGGGTCACCAAGCCCCGCGGGCTGACCCCGAAACGCAGACCTGGCACTGACCTCTAAGGGTCAGCACCCCACTGGCCCGGAGGGCAGGCCAAGATGGGGGCCAGAGAAGCAACCACCCGGGTGCCAGCTCTGGGCCAGGTTTGGAGCCTAAGGGGATGGCAGCCTAAACCAAAAGGCCCTCCCGTGGCACCCCGCAGCACACGCCACCTCTAGCTTCTCAGGGACCGAGTCAGTTCCTGGCCTGTTAGCGAACGGCTGCACTCGGGCCTCCCCCCAGACTTTATAAAAAAGCGTATCCTCAAGCACCCGGGCTTTGACCAGGGAGGAGCGCTGGGGTTGGGCCTGAAACTCTCCTTCCTCCCTCCCACGCCCACAAGATCTCTCTGAAGCAGGCAGCGCCAGGCCGAGTCCACAGGGGAAGCAGCTGTCCAAGAAAACGGTTCACGGGCCACTTTTCAGAATCTGGAAACTTCAGGACCCACAGGCCTCCACAGACAGGTGCTGGGACAGCCTCTGCCCACAGCAGGGCCAGTGGACGCCCGAAGCCAGGCCAACCTGCCCTGTTAAAGTGAATACTGTGATAGCCTTCAACATGAAAAGTAGCAAATTAAAGTTACTGTTTCCGATTCCTGAAGAGGCTTCCTCTGCAGTGGCGCTGACTAGTTCACTTTCACGCCGCGGGTTCTGCCAGGAGAACCAGCCCTTGCAGGTTAGAGGCTCTGGCGCCTCCCTGAGCTGGGGTGTTGCACCCCCAGCCCTCCCTCCACACCTGTGCCCACTGGGCGAGGGTCCTCCATTCCCTACACATGAACTTTGTCCTACACATGAAGCAAGACGGCCGGTCTCACCCGACGTCCCTGATCCTTTATATCATGTGTGGGCCCCGGCAGGCACCCTGAGACTGTCCGCCACTGCCCCTCTGCATCACCTGCACCTCCTCCCCCTCTCCTGCTGTCCCCTGGACCCCCCAGCCCGGCCCAGCACCCCCCACCACCCCCGCCCCGCGCCTCCCTAGCCAGCGGCAGGCTGGGAGCATCAAGTAACAGCTGGTAGCTCCGCCAGCACCCGGCCAGGGAGACGGCGCCTTGGGTTCCCCGCAGCGGGGTTCCCCTGCCACAGAGCAGGTGCAACCAGCCGCTGGGCCTCATGTGAGCCAGACCCCACGAGGGGGCACTGCCAGTCCTCACTGCAGACCAGGAGGCCGAGGGCTCCCCCACTCAGTCTTAGGACTTAGCCCAGGAAACAAATAGCGCAGCCAGGCGCGACCAGCAGGGAGGCGCGGGCTGCCCCTCCTAGGCCAGGTGCTGCCTGACCTGGGCCCTTGGCTGGGCAGGGCGGCCGGACCCCCTCGCCTCTCCTCCAGCCTTGCCTGAGGGAGCCGGGCCAGCACCCCAGCAGCCGCCGCTCGGCCTCGCTCCAGCCCGCCCGTGCCTTAGCCGCTCCCTCAAGGGCCCGCTGGGCTGCCTGGCTTTCCCATCACACCTTGAGAATCTGCATTTCTTTACAACAAAAATGCTCCTCAGTATCGCCAAGTCATTGTCCCTCTCCCCAGGGAGGCCAGTGGGGGGCCGCATTCCTGCCTCTCCCCTCCTCACCCCCCACCTGGAGCCTGTTAACCAAGCACGAGGCCTTTCACAGCTGGGCTCAGCCCTGGGGGGGGGGCTCCCTCCACTCTACCAGTAAACAAGTGCCTTCTAGAACCTTCTGGGGGAGGCATCCCGCTGGGCCCCCCATGGGGACAGCCTGGTCTCCATTCCCAGCCCCAGCCTGGTGTGGGGCGCAGCTCCCCACCACCAAACGTCAGATGGGGGGCCAGCTGTGAGCTCCGCGTGGCAGTTCCCTCAGAGCCCGTGACCCTTCCCTGGGCCACTAGGGCCCGCGGGCAGGCAGGGGCACCCCTGCGCCCACAAAGGTGGAAGCACACATGGCACCGGCCCCCACTGAGCAAGGAAGGACGTTCTGTGTGGTCGCGAAGCCACGCCCCCCAGCTTTCCTACCTGACGTCGATTTAGGGCAATAGGGTGATCCCATTTCACCCTCCAAAACCAAAAGGCAAAGGGGTCCTCCAGGTTTGGGGGAGACGCCCTTACCTACCAGCCCCAGGGGAAGCTCCGGAGCAGCCGCCTCCCCAGGAACAGGCCCGCAGCTTCCTCGCACAGGAGCTAAGAGGCTGGGGAGGTCTGGGTTCAGCCCCCTAGACACCCCCAGCTCCGTCTCTGAGGCCAGCATCCCCCAGTCCTCCCAGAGCCCCACGTCCTGGGAGTGGAGACCGGCGTCGAAGCACGGCGGGGCCCCGCGTTTCTCACATACTCGACTGAAAAGGCTGTGGCCGCGCGAGGACACAGCTGGAGCCACTTGCAGAGGGCGCCCCGGTCACCTGATTTCCACCTGCCCACCACTGACGGAGGACCCGGTGGGGTCACAGGGAGCCCCACATCACGCCAAGGCCAGCACAGGCCCTCAGGGAGTTGGGGGTGAAGCCGGGTCGCCGGGCCTCCAGGGGCCACCTGGGGAGCCGCAGGCTGGAGTGGAGCCCGGCTGGGCCCCGGCGGGAGGCAGAGCCCAGCGAGGGCAGGAGGGGGGTCAGCCACCCGGGGCGAGGACAGGTCCCACCGCGCCGGCGGCACCCAAGGCCTCCTTGCCGATGGCGAAACCACCCGTCACAGCCAGGCGCCTCCAGCCTGCACCCCCCTCGCTGAAGCCCCGAGGCTGGATGACCAGGCCACGGACCCGAGAGCCAGTCTCTCTGCCGCCGCCAGCCCTCGAGCCCAAGCCAGCGCCGCCAGCGGAGCCCGGGCTCCACAGAGGCCTCGCACTTCAAAGCAAAGGGCCCAGCTACTCCCGCTGTTCCAAGCCAACCCCAGCACATCAGCTCCCGAGGGCCTGTTCACTGGAAATGGCGATGCTCCGGCCTGAGCCAAGGGCAAACAGCTGGCCCTGGGGGAGACGCGAGCGGTTTAGAAGCAAAACTAAGCATGCCTTAGCCCCCGTTTTCAGGACAGCCCCCTCCCCCAGAGGGGCTTCTCCCCTTCACCTTGGGACTTCAGCAGGCCGGCCCGAGCGAGCGTCCTCTCTCCGGCGGGGACCGTGGACGCCAACAGGTGTTTTTAGACAAAGCCCCTCCCGCTCCCGGCCCGCCCCGGAGGAGGGGATGCGGCCAGCTGAGCCAGGGCCGGTGGGCTCAGGGCTCCCAACACTGTGACCTTACACCCCGCTGTGACCCCCTGTAGGGTAAGGTGACAGCATCAGGCTTTTCTGCCCTCCCGCCATCAGGAGATGATGGATCCTTGCGGTCCCGAATGCAGGCCTGAGGGCGGCACCTGGAGCAGGGGGTGGGCCTAGGGAGATGGGATTCACCTGGGCCGAGACTGGGCTTTTAAGGGCGGCGTCACGGGGACGCCAGGAGAAGCCGAGAACGAACAGAAGCAGGAGAGCAGAGCAGAGGGAACACGAGAGAAGGCCGGAGAGCCCAGAGAGATGAAGACCTGCTGGGGGCTGGGAGGCCTGCCAGCCTCCAGGCCCCCCAGCACCCCTGCCTGCCGTGTGCCTGGTAAATCCCAATAAAAGACCTGCAAAAGCCACTGAGGACCCTGACTCCTCCTTGACCCGGTCTGCTGGGTCAGAAAACCTGCCCTGTGTCCTCCCTGTCCTGCCCCTACACCCCCCCAACATCCCCGCTCCCCACCCGCTGCAGCCAGCCCCCTGGGAGCTGAAAGCGCCTCTGCCCAGCCCAGAGACACAAGAGACGGGTGGCGGCTGGTGGAAACTGATGCCAACTGATGCCAACCGATGCCGGGAACTCGCGGGGGCCACTCCCTGCCCCTGGTCAGACTGGACACTCTGCACCTCCACTCTGTGGGCTGAGCCTCAGGGCAGCGGGGGAAGCGCCACCTGCCCCCCTGGGCTGGGGTTGGCCCCTCCACTCAGCCACCAGATGGCACCTCCTTTTCAAATGCTTTTAATGTTTTCCAGATGGTGAGAGTTGTTGCAGCAGTCAGAGGCGGTCCTGGTGGCCGGGCGCGCCCATGCCTGCCCCCCGCGCCCCTTCCTCCAGGAGCCGCTCCGAAGGGACCATGTGGTCTCCAGTCCTGGCCTGCCTCCTCCTGCCCCCGAAGTCCCCGGGCACCGGAGGAGAGGTGCTTCCGGCGAGGCCTAGGAGCTGACGACGTGTCCAGACCAGGTCTCGTGCTTGGTGCCCGGCGCCAGGTGGGTGATGACCACCTCCACGGCCTGCAGCTTCTCATTCTTGGGCGGGATGGAGCACATCTTGTAGGTGACCTCGTCGCCTTCCACCGGCACGTACTCGCCTTCCACACTGCGGGCCAAGAGGGCACTCAGCACCCAGCGCCCAGCAGAACCCCCGCCCACTCTGGCCCAGAACACCAGCCCCTCAGCTCAGAGGGCCTGGGGCAGCCTCCCGGCCCTGCCACCAGAGGGCGCCATGCGGCCTGACCCCATCCGGCCTTCCCTGGGACTTGGGATGCTGAGACAGGCAGGGCTCAGCCACCTGTGTGCACCCCCACTGCGCGCTCAGCGTGGGCACCGTGGCCCTGGGATGGAGGTACAGGGTTTGCCTGACTGAGCCAGAGAGGAACGAGAATCAGAGCCAAGGTGGCCTGAGCTCCCGCAGCACGCCCGCCCGGACACCCCAGAAGCCTTCCAGAAAGTCCTTTTCCTGGTTCAAGCTAGTTCCAGGAAAGGTCCTCACCCTTGTGAACACCCCTGGGGAGGTGCCCTTACCTTCTAGAGGACCCGAGTCACCATCTCCCCCATCATGGTGAGGTGCCCATCCTGATGCCCCCTGGACAAGACCCCAGGAAATCCCCTTCAGATCCTGAACACAGGGCAGGCCAGCTCCCCCGGAACTGGTCTGTTGACTAAAGACTCCTACAGCAGGTGGTGCTTCCCTCTTTGACTTGGCCGCCAGGAAGCTCAGGAATAAACACGCAGCCTGCTTCTGGCAGTGGAACCTGACATCGCAGTGCCTCCACCTTTCTTAACTGGCCCCCCGCTTCCACGTTTTCCTTGCTCAGCGTTCACACTGAACTGTGTATAGCCGCGTGAACCCTACAAGCTCTTTCTGGAAGGAGGCCAGCTGGACTACACGTGCACACGCTCAGGGGTGCTCTCTTACAAGGTGCGGTTCCCCAGCGTCTTTCGCACATCTCGGCAGCATGGAGAACCTGTCTAAGACCTGACATGTGAGAATGCTGGGGCAGAGGAGTGGGGCAACCCTTGTCACTGCAGGCAATTGCCACAGAATCCTGTTTCCAAAACATGGTTTCAGATCTGCTGTGTGGGATCAGGACTTTGCCTGCCGTGGACTGAAATGAAAGACGGAGAGCTGAGACCCAAGCCTGGGGCAGGGGTGGGGTGCCGGAGAAAGCCCCTCATATCTGAGGGCTTCCTGCGATGGGAAGAGAAGCACCAGCTGCAGGACACATCCAGCCCCGAGGCCTAGGATGGGTGGGTCGCACCCAGGCCCCCCTCCACCCCGCCCCGGTTTCCAGACACACGGGAAGGAAGGAAGGAAGAACGTCAGTGAGCAAGTGGCAGGACAGGTCCAGCCTCAAACTTCCTTCCTGGAGCAGAGGGTCCGGCAACCCCCAGCCTCACTAGGCCGCTGCCCGGGGCACAGAGCAGGAAACCAGCCCCCAGACCAAACACAGCTCCTCCAACTCAGAGGGACGCCCCTCCCCACCCACTCACGCACATGGTCGCTCAGGCCCACGCTGCCTGGACGCCGCTGCAGCCCCAGACACACTGCCCGGCCGATTCCCAGCCCCACCCGGAGTCGCTCAGCCGCAGACGCCCAGACCAGCCCTGACTCACTCAGAGATGTGCAGGAAGATGTCGGGGCCGCCATCAGCCGGGGTGATGAAGCCGTGGCCCTTGGATCGACAGAAGCATTTGCAGACTCCTTTGTAGACGGGACCCTGGGAAGCTCGCACCGTCCTGACAGAGGGGGCAGGCGTGAGAGGCCCCCACTCTCCTGGGGCTCCCCCAGCCTCCACCCACAGCTGCGCCCCAGGGCACCCTGGCCAGGGTAGCCGGGTACAACCGGGCAGGTTGCGCACTGCACAGCTCCAGGAACCTTCACACAGACGCCAGCAAGAGCGACTCAGGGGCCGCCCTGCTGGCTGAGGGCTTGAGTCTCAGCACTGTCACCACGACGGCCTGAGTTCCCAGCCCGGCCACGGAGCTACCCACATGGCGCAGCAGACCTCTCCTGGCTCCCCCCTGCTCCCCTCTGCAGTGGATCTGAGTACATCCGCCTGTTCTGCTCCCCACTCTGTCTCTGGTGAATCTGCTCACTCCCCTCTAATTCTGGCCTACACCCCGGCTCTTCTACACAAAAATAAAACAAATCTCAAATATAGCTATATAACTTAAAAAAAAGAGTGACTTTGCACGACCCTGGCACATTTTCTCAAGAGTCAGTTCCCCATCTGGAAACTGAGGGTGCCGGACTACAAGTCCTGGGAACGCCCCTCCAAGGCTAGTGCCCGCGCAGCCTGTGCTCAGTGCGGGCTGGCTCCCCGCGGCCCCCCGGCACCCCGTGCCGCCCCTCTCATGCCTGAGGACGTCAAGGTCCAAGGAGGTGAGGTGTGGGGGGGGTCTTGTGCGGGGGTCAAGCCCAGGGATCCCCAGTAACTGCTGCAACCCCACCCCACAGTTCAGCGCCTCAGAGGCTCACGTGGGCCTGGGGTACCCTCCAGAGCTTAAGCGGTGCCGCCCCAGTTTCCCACCGCCTGACGCCAACCCCAAGTCTCCCCATTTGACAGACAGGGACACTGAGACCCAGAGGCCCCGGGGCTCAGCCAGTCTCGGGAACCCTCCCCAGAGCCCGAGACTCACGCAGAGAAGGTCCGTGTCCGGCGCGTGGGCAGCGGGCTGGGGACCACGTTGCCGCGGAGGGGGGACGGCGAGCGCTCGTGGGCCCGCTGGGTGTCCAGCAGCCCGACCGTAGGCTGCGACGGCGGAGGTGGCTCAGATGACATGGCTGACCTGGAGGGAGACGGGGGGCTCTCAGCAGCTCTCGCACCCCAGGGCCCGCGGGTCTGTGCCTGCCCCCGGTGCTCTCCTGGCGGGAGGCAGGCCCCGGGTCACTTCTCCAGAGACGCGCCTGCCTCCCCCACTGTCTCGGGGCTTCCGGGACCCCCCACAGGGGGCTGTGGGGGGGCCCCCCTCTATCACAGCTCTGCTTGGAGGGCCAGACCCCCGTGACAGGGGCCGTTGGACCCTCTGTGTCCCCACGCCCAGCCCCTGGTGGGGGAGGACAGGGGCCTCCGTGCCAGCTCCCCAGAGTCTGGCCACACAACACACCCCCACCAAGGGCCAGACAGAAGGGGGCGCCACCCAGCGTCCTCAGAGAGCTCAGAGCCTGGGCAGACGGGTTGGGGGGCCCTCACATGCACAGGCCAGGCAGGGGGCCCAATCGAGACGGAGCAGGTGACCACCGAGGCCCCCTCCAGCCGGGCGTGGCTGCAGGTCAGGAGGAAAGAGCAAAGCCGGGAAGCGGTGAGGGGGAGCTTGGACCAGCCCTTTTCCCCCTCTAGGATCCACCCCTCTCTGCAAGGTGGGGGGCTCAGTGGGCGCCGCTCAGCACCTGCTGGGGGCTGGTGATGGGAACCTGGGGTGGGAGTGGAGGGCAAGCAACACTTGCCCGCCAGAAAACGGGGCCTCACTGAGCCTCCGGCAGGTTCACGGGGGGAGGTCAGAAGCAGCCCCCCCCCAAAGTGGGTTTTTGGTCTCTCCCCGGGGTTTTCAACTTGAAAAGGCAAGCCCGACTTTTCAGCATCCGGAGCCTGCCTCCTAACCCAGGTGTCCGGCTACCCTTCAAAAGACCAGCAGCTGACACCCCTGCACCCCCAGTTCACCGCCCCACTTCCCCATTTACAGAAGCTTTGTGGCCCCAGGGCACTGAGTTTTCAAGCTGCACCTCCCAGTAATGCCCAAGCCCCCCAAGAAAAGGGCGACCTCCTCCCAAGAGGACAAACCTCTCTCCCACCCCCACACCGCCTCAGTCCCCCCCAGGCCTCCACACTTCCCTGTCGAGCTTCAGTTCTGACGGGCCGGACAGGGAGGGGGCCAACTGGCCTTCTGGAGGAAGTGACATAGCCACCTCCCGACCCTCCTCTGCTCAGGTACAGCCACGGCTGGGAGGACCGCCAGTGCGGGGCGCCCCCACCTCATAAAGGCCCTGGCCGCTGGGCTGGGGGTCAGGGCTCCAGCACAACCCGCCAGCACAGGTCATAGAGTCCTAGAATGTTCCAAAGCGCAGGGTTCTGGGCAGAGGACAGCCCAGGCCTCCCAGGACAGCAGGTGGGGCCACAGGGACCTGGCATCACCAGGCCAGGCCGGGAACTGCCCTCCCCGCTTCACCCAAAGCCTCCCTGCTTTCCTCCGGAGTCAGGTCCCTCTGACTCAAACCCCACCCCTTTCCGGCTTCGTGATCTTCCACAAGTTACTTAAGCTCCCTGGGTCTCGGTTTCTGCATCCAAGAGGGAGGCTGTACTCGTCCTGGCTGCACAGCATCGTCGTGAAGCTGATTGAATCGACGCCCGCCGAGCGCTGGGCACGGCGACGGCCCAGGCAAGTAAGCAGCGGCTGCCAGCTACCATCGCTGATATAATGTCACCATAAAGTCATTCAACAAACACGTGCCAAGTCCTGATTGTGGCACTGGGGAGGAGGGATGATCTGGAGCCAGGTGAAGGAGCACTGAGCAAGGTCATCACAGGCTCCCAAGGGTACACAGGAGATTCAAAGCCCACGGTGTGGGGGTGCCACTCGAGGGGGGGGGAAGCTGGGCCCTAAACTGTAAGAAAGAGCTCACCATCGAGAAACAGGGGCGCTCTCCTGAGTAGGGGAAACAGCCAGTGCAAAGGCCCTGACGTTGCTGAGGACGCAGGTGACTGCACTGGCCAGGAGACCTTGAGTGGGCGCTGGGGCTGGCGGGGGCGAGAGCAAGGCGGGTGGAAGGGAGAGAGGTGGGGGCAGGAGGGGTGACAGGGTGGGGGCAGGAGGGGTGAGGGGTGGGGGTGGAGGGGTGAGAGGCAGGGTAATGACACACCATCCTCCTCCTCTCCACCACGTCTTCCTTTCTTCACACCCACTCGAGTCTGTCCCAGGCCCCATACCCTGCCTGTCTCCTGGGTTAATGAAGCCCCGCCCTCTCCTCGCCCCAGCCTCGACGCCCCAGACACTCGCAATCCCTCGCAGGTGCCACAGAAACCATGAGCTCCATGGCTCGCCCTGGGAGGGTAGCTCTGGTCCCTCTACGTCTCCCGGGCAGCACCGAGGCTGGCACAGAGCAGGGGGTGACCCAGACTCCCCCACCAGGAGCATTCCCACCCCCTTGCTGTGAGTTCAGTACCTGGCCAGTCCGGCAGGGGAGAGGAGAAACTGAGGCACAAAGCGCAAAAGCTAGGGGAGGGGAGCTGCTCAGGAGACTCATTAACCCCCCACCCTCATGGCTTCCTGCCCCACAGCTGGGCTGCAGCAGCTGGAGCAGGCCCGCCCGGCCAGCTCGCCCCACCCCCGGCCCACAGAGAGGCGGAGTGAATGGCCTTTGTGTGGGGGAGCCAGGCTCAAAGTCCAGCTGTAAGGAAGAGAGTGGCTGGAGAGGCAGCCAGCACCCAGGGGCCAGCTCCGGGGCTCCACGGCTGCCCCCCAGCACATACATACAGATGGGAGGCCCCAGCCACTGACTCCAGCAGGTCGTCCCACGAGCACCTGCTCTCCCGGCAGGACTGGGGAGGAGGCAGGGCCAGGCCTGGGGCCAAATGCCACACGCCAGGCATGTCCCGGCTGCCGTGCTGTGCGTGCTGTGCGTGCAGTGTGCATGCATGCCTGGCTGTGCACATGTGCATGGTGTGTGCACAGGGGGGTGTGTGTGTGAGTCTGCACCCACACACCCCCCATGTGTGTGCACAGCCTGGTGGGCGGCACCAGGCCCCCAGCAGACAGGGAGCACTTGCAGCCACCGGAGAACCTTAAAGAATGCCACGTCCTGGGGCCTCCCCGGTGGCGCAGCGGTTGAGCGCTGGGTTGCGAAGCTGCCCGCGACCTCTGCGGCGCCGGTTCGATCCCCGGCTTCTCCCCTGCCACTGGAGGAGGGTCCCACATGGCGCGCAGACCTCTCCTGCCGCCCGCTGCTCCCCTCAGCAGTGTACTTCAGTCCTTCTGCCTGCTCTGCTCCTCGCTCTGGCTCTGGTGAATTCTCTCACCCTCCCGCTCTTCTGACTGTACCCAGTGCATGTATAAACAAAACAAACAAACAAACAAATAAATAAATAAAAAAAAAAAAAAATGCCTCTATTAAAAAAAAAAAAAAAAAAAAAAAAAAAAAAAAAAGAATGCCACGTCCTGGGCAAGGAGCTGCTCCTGGCCTTCCGCTAAGCGCGGGAACCCCAGACCAGCATTCCTGTCCTGGGAGTGCGTGTCCTAGAAGGGGGCGCTCCCGGGGCCACAGGAGCAGCACCCGGGGGCTGCCGGTGTTCCCAGCACTTCACACCCCAGCTCATTTCATGCCCAGTACACACCTGCTCTTATAATGGGGTCCCACCGAGCGCCCCCCTCAAGCTGAAAGGATGGCAGGTGCAAATGCCTCACCCCCCAGCCCCGGCTCAGGCCGCCTGCCTCACCCCTGCTCAGTCCCTCACCCCTGCTCACAGCCCTCTGTGGAGAGCGGCCGGCCCGCCCCTCCCCGGACACGGCGCCGCTGGCCACAGCCTGCAGGCCTCCTGTCGCCCGTGACCTCGGGCTGACCCCGCCTCGGCCCAGCTCCCCAGTGCCGGGCCAGAGGGGAAGGATGAAAAGTCAAAATCCCAAGCAGGTTCCTCCTGCTGCCGTCTGAGTCACCGTCTGTGCACGAGCGGGCGGGCGGCGCGGTGGTGGGCGAGCAGGGCCTGCGGCCCGGTCACGGAGGACCTGCCCGGCCGGCCGGCAGATGCTACGGATGGGGGGCTCCGCTCTCAAGCAGGGGGTCCGCGGAGATGAGCGGCCGGCCTTGCTCCCCCGCCCCATTCCCGCCTGCCCCAGGGAGGGGTGTCGGCAGGACCTCCGTCCTGGGAGAAGGCACCCAAAGGGGCCTCAGCCCAAAATAGCCTGGGAATTTTCCACAGGCTGCGGGAGGGCCGGGAGTTCAGCTGGCGCCAGGCTCTGCACTGCCAAGCCCCCCCAAGCCGCCCCCATGTCCGGGGCTGTCACTGATGCTGAGGAGCCCCTGGGGCCCTCCTCCTGCCCCCTCCGCGGGAAAGCCCCCCATCAAGCAGAGTGGGCGGTGCCACTGGGGGCGGGGCTGGCAGCAAGTTATCAAGAGGGTTTTGGTTCCTGCGAGCTCCCAGAGGTGCCTGAGGCCGAGGCCGGGGCGCTTCATCCTCCGCAGGCACAGCCCCACCTGTCCCCGCCGACTCCGAAACAGGCTCCTGGAGCCCGGCCAGGCGCGGGCTGGGGTGTCCCCACACCTGTGGGCCGGGCGGGGGCAGCGCCAGCGCAGGCTGTGTGGGGGCTCAGGGCAGCAGGTGAACCCCACAGGGCGTGCTCCCCTCCCAGCGCCCCACAAACCCCTGGGAATGGCGACAAGTGCAGGCTCTGATGCCGCTGGAAGGTTCTGGGGCCTGAGCGTCTGGGGGCGTCTGGGGCGCAGAGTGGCTGGGCCGACCACTTGCCCACCTCCCTGCAGGGGGCGGCTGGGCTGGCTGGACCCGTGTAAGAGGGTGGAGCGGAAACTGGGGGTTGAAACTCCAGATGAGTCACAGTTACCCCAAAGCACCCTGCTCCTCCTCTCCCGAGGCAGAGACCCCTGCTCCCCTGCGGGAGCCCCGGGAGCCCCGAGCAGCGGGTCAGCTGACTCCAGACTTGGGGGGGGGGTGTTGCCGGGGGCTGGAGAGGCCGGGGGAGCCCGAGGCCCGGGGGCTCTGGGTCGGCCTCTCTCCATCACTGTTCCGGACAGAGCCGGCTGGGGGGGCAGCGGGAGGAGGGGCGGGGAGCCCCGGGGCCCGAGGGGCGGGGCCGCGCCCTCCCCGTGCCCCTACCGGAGCCCGCGGCGCCCACCGCGAGACAAACACGAGCCCGGCGGGCGCACGGCTGGAGCCCCAGCCCGGCTGCGAGCTGCCCTCCGTGCCGGGGCCGCTGGACCCCAGGACCCGCGAGCGTGCCGGGACCCCGAGGCGGCCGGCGACCCCGCTGGCACCCCCGACGGTGCGGCCGGCCGGGGAGGAGCCCCCCGGGCGCCCCAGCTCCCGCCGCCCGCCCCGCGAGCCGCCCCGGGGTTCCCGCCGGGACCCGGGGGCCGGCGCTCCGGGGGTTCAGGTCAGGCGCCCGCCTCACCCCACGGCCCCAGGCGGCGCCTCAGTTCGCGCGTCTGTCCAGGGCAGCGGCGGGGGCACCCCAGGCCCGGAGCGCACCCGCAGGCTGAAGCTGAGCCCTGGGGCTGCCAGGGCCGGCCCGAGGCGGCCGCGAGCGAGCCCCCCACTCCAGCCCCGCGACGGGGCAGCCGCCCCGCTCCCCGAGCGGGGAACAAAGAGAAACCGGCCCCCGCCAGCGGGGATGCGCCGTCGCCCCCGGGGCCCGAGCCCGGGCTGCGCGCCAGCTCCGCGTACCCCGTCCCGAGAGCTATGGGGGGGCTCGCTCCCGGGGCCGCGCGGCTGTTGGGGGGAGCGGTCAGCCTGGGGAACCCCGTCACCGAGGCCGCGGGGGAGAGAGAAGCGGGAGCCCCGGGGGTTCCCAGCCGCGCCCCCGGGAGCGAGGCCTGGCGCGGGGGCTGGCGCGGGCGGGTTGGGGGCGCCGGCAGAGGCTCCGCTGCAACGTGGGGCCCGACGGCCCCGCACACGGGGCGCGGCCTCACGCCGCGGGTCGCTGGCGCCATTTGTCACAAGCCCCCTCCGGCTTCGGGGCGGCGAGGGGGCGGCGGGGCAGGGCGGGGGGCGCAGGGGCCAGAGATAAACTTGCAAAGGCAGCAGAGCCGGAGCCCACGGCCCGGCCGGCGCGGGGTGCTCGCCTCCGCCCCCCTCGCCCGCGGCGGGGGGACGCGAGGGCCGCCCCCTGCGGGGTGCCCGCCGAGGAGAAGCGGGGCGCGCGGGGCGCACGTCTCCGCGCCCGCCCGGCTCAGCCCCCGGCGCCGAGGCCGGGCCGGGCCTCCCCCGGCAGAGCCCAGGGGCCCGGGCTTCCGGCGCCGACACCCGAGCTGCGCGCGGGGAAGTTCTCCGCCGGCTGCGGGCCCCCGTCCCGGCGCCCCCGGGCAGCGGCTCCTCCTCCCGCGCCCGCGGCCAATCGCGCGGCGCCGGGACGCTCCCCCTCCGCGGGCCGGGGTCCCCCGCCGGCGCCGGGGCCCGGGGAGGCTCCACTCCGGGGCCGCGCCCCGCTCGGCTCAGCCGCGAGGGGACAGCCGGGGGGGGGCCCGCCCTGCACGCAGAGCTCGGGCGGGCCGGCGGGAGGCGCCGCGGGCGGCCGCCCCGAGTCCCGCCGCGGCGGCCACACCCCCGCCCCGAGGCGCAGCCCGCGCTCCCCGAGACGGGCCGCGGCGGCCCGGGCGTCCCCACAGCCGGGCGCCCCGCCCGGGGCCGGCTGCGGCGGGCGGGGCGCCCCTGCGCAGGGTGGCGGGGCAGCGGCGGAGGAGCCGGCCCAGCCCCCCCGGCGGGCCCCCGGGCCGCGGCGCCCAGAAGCTCCTACCTGGAGACCCGCTCGGCTCCGCCGGCGGCTGCGCGGGGACTGCGAGACGGGCCCGGAGGGGCGGGGCCGCGGGGCGGGCTCGCCGAGGCCACGCCCCCGGGGCTCCCAGCCAATGGGGTCGCGGGCCCGGCGGGCCGGCGGGAGCGGGGCGGGGCGGGCCGGGGCGGGGGCGGGGCGGCGGGGCGGGGCGGGGCGGGGCGGGGCGGGGCGGGGCGGGGCGGGGCGGGCCGGCCCGACCTTTGTGTCCCGCGCGGGGCGGGCGGGCGCGGGGCGCGCGGAGCTCGGGGGGCGCGGGGCAGCGCCCCCCGCCGGTGCAGCGCCCCGCCAGAAGCTCCGCGAAAAGTGGGAGCAGCGGCCCTCGCGCCCCGGCGGGTCCTCCCCCGACCGTGCGCGCGGGATCCGGCCCCGGTCGACCTTCGCTCCAGAGTCCGGGTGGACTTGGGGCGCCGCGGCTGTAACTGGGGGAGACGCAGGAATGGCCGGAGGGGAACAAACCACCGAAGAACAGAGGAGGGGAAGGAAGGAAAACAGCACAGGAGCGGGGGGCTGTGGGTTGCATTCTCTCTCCCCATCTTTGCTTTGTTCTTTTTTTAAAAAAAGGATTTATTTGTGCATACAAGAGCTGGGGTACAGCGGGGGTGGGGGGTGAGAGGACTCACCAGAGACAGAGCGGGGAGCAGAACAGGCAGATCTACTGAAATCCACTGCTGAGGGGAGCAGCAGGGAGACAGGAGGGGTCTGCTGTGCCATGTGGGTAGCTCCCTGGCCGGCGGGGGATCGAACTCGTGCTGCAGAGGCTGTGAACAGCTTCTTAGTGCGGTGCTTAACCCCTTGTGCCACCAGGGAGGCCCCTACTTTGTTCTTAATTTCCACTCCCCTTGCGTCCTCTGTGCCTGGGGGTAAATGATTATTCTCTCCGTTTATGGGAGAGGAAACTGAAGCATGGGGGGTCCCTGCGAGTTGGGAGCGGCCGGCTGAGTTGCTATTGCGGGGCTGGGAAGCAGGAAGGCACCCTGTAAATGGCCAGGGTCGGTAGGGCCAGGAGGGGGGCGAACCCTGTCCCCCCTGGAGCCCACAGCTCTGAGTGCTTCTCTTGTCCCCTCCCGCCCGCCCTCCATCCTCTCCCCGTGCACAAAGAAGTGACCGTTGAGGACACAGAAGACCCCCATCTACCAGCAGGAAGAGGCTCCTCCGCCTGGATCCGGACCTTGGAATCGTGGCCTCCAGCACTGCCAAATAAACATCTGTTGTTTCAGCGCCCCTGCCCCCCTCCAGCCTCGAGTTTGGAAATGGCTGCTGGAATTAGCCTCCCCTTTCCTTTCTTCTCTCTCCAAAGCCCTTCTCAACCTCCTGGTTCTTTGACGCCTCTCAAGATTCGCAGCCTAGTTGGGGGCATTACTGGTGTACCCACCGGGTGTGTCCTCTGAGCCTCTGCTGGGCTCTGAGCCTCCAGAAATACAAAGCAGTGGCCCCAGCAGTGTCTGAGGAGTGACTGTAGATGGGTGATAACAGGCAGTCCTGTGTGGGCCTGATAAGCCTGCTGGCTCCCTGAGCGCCCCACCCTCAGGACAGGCCCTGGGAGTTCTCCCAAATTGCCACTGCTGGAGTCTCCCCCATCAGATGACTCTGGCTGGTGGCCAGACCAGCTAACAGCTGATGAGGGGCTCTGGCCTAAATTCTCTGCTCAGTATGGCTGCCTCCCAGCCAGCTAGCCACCCGTTGGACAAATATTTATTGCTGATGAGCTCTGTTTGCAGCTCTGGACTAAACAAAACCAGCATTGACAGGCTTCCTGGAGTGTTACATTGTAATGGGGGGCTCTGATCACGCCATGTCCCTCTTCTGCAGGGACATCTGGAGCCAGAGAGCCTGCTCTGGGTGGTGCTGATGGACCTGAGAGCTTCCAGAGGATCAGAAATTAAACAAAGGAAAGGATTTTTTTCCCTCTTTATTTGGAAAGGACTTTCTTGGGAGAGTCATTAGAACACAAGCAAAGGCCTTGGGGAGGGGATGAGTCTGGTGGGCCTGGGACCAAGAGGTATAAAGGGAGGGTGGGATTAGTCAGAGCAGGCTAAATGCACTGGGACTCAATTAGAAAGCTTCATCTTTGAGAAGAATGGCAGTCAGATAAAGGCTGGAAATGGGGATGAAGTGAAGGCTCCTCCCTCCAAAGTGGAAGCCTCCTCCACCCACCTGTCTCCGTGTCTTCCCACCATGACCTGGGTCTCAGCTGCCTCGCAGGAGCAGAAACCTCCTCCCTGCACCACACCCACACTCCAATTTTCTGCTCAGCAGTCATCATGCTCTTTCAGAGGCATCAAGTTCAAAAAAATTATTCAAGACACTTGTTAAAACAGTAAGGCAGGACTTTCTCGAGAGGTGTAGAGACGACTGCCATTGGGTTTTGCAGTGGGGGAGGAAGTTTGAACTCAATTCCAAATACATCAAGGACAAGTGGGAATTTATAGCCAAGGAGCAGGGCGGGGCAGGGCGGGGCTGCAGTGCATGGAAAATTACTGAAAGGAAACATCAGCGGGTAGGGGGATTCTGGCCAAACCGACCTAGCAGGATTCTTGTTAAAAGTGGACTCACAAGGACAGACAGAAGCCCAAGGTCAGACCTCATCAAGCACAGGGCTCACAGAAGTCTGACTAATGTTCAGTCAAGGAGAGACTCTGTTATTACTGCGTTCCTCTCCTGCTCAAAACCCTTCAGTAATTCCTATTGCTCTTTCAGTAAAATCCAAACTCCTTCCACTGTAACACTTCAGATTTAACTTAATTGCATATAAGAAAATGCCAATAAAGAACACATGCAAGTTGGGGTACATATCAGTCTGGGCTTGATGTGGCTGGCCTGATAGCCTCAAGGACTTGGGTGTCTCCTATTTTCTTACCCCACCACTCATTAACCTTTGGCTTCCAGCCTCAGAGTCCAAAAAAGCTGCTGGAGCTCCAGCCATCACAGGTGCATCTAGTGGGGAGAGGCAAACAGTGTCTTCTCAACCTTCAGGTCCTAGACAGACTTGTCTAGGGGAGCCCCATCATTCTATGGGCTCCCCTCAATGTTCTCATTTAAACTATCATTATCTTGTCCACTAACTACTTGTCTGTGCAGCAGACTGTAACCCTAGAAACACAAATCATTGGACTCAGCTGGTGCATCCAGCGCCCGGTCCTGCAGAGAGGAAGCCCTGTAAGTCTTCATGAGTCAGTGCTGAACTCCCATGGATGAGAGAACCGTGTGCATGAGCCTTTGCTGACAGGGCTCCTTGGCACCTCCAAACACACAGAAACGCCAGCCTGGGGGACTGGAGTGAGCTCCTCCTTGGTCCTGAAAGGGTGTGACTGAGGCTTAGGCAGGGAGGCCAACAGGGGCCGCCAGGAGGGGCTCCGGCAGGGTTTGCCTGAGTGAAGACTTGGCCAAGGTGGGAAGGGGGTCAGCATAAGCCAAGGCCCCCTCCCCTCCCTTCTGCCCTCCCTCGGGGAGCTCCTGGCTTGTGGAACCAGGGGCCGGGGTTATGGAGGTATGGGGTGCCAGGCCTCTTGCTGGAGAATCACCCACATCCGCACAGCAGGTGGGAGCAGCCCCACCCACACGGGACAGTGACAGCCACCAGTGACATTTACTTGTCATCGTCACCCCGTGTCTGCGGCTGGCCCGCCAGCTTCTATGCCATGGAGTCTGTGTGGTTTCGGGGTGGGGGATTCCCCTGCTGCTAAGATCAGACAGCTTTTCTCTGTTTTCTTCTCATTCTTTCCTCATTTTGAGAATCGTCTGGAAGTGCCTTTGGCCAGGGCGAGGCCCCGTCCAGCTGTGTGCAGCTGGCCTGCAGACTCTGGGGACAGACAGCAGGTGCTCTGGGCTCCGCGGTCATGTGCCTCCACCTGGTCACTCTTCTGGGCACCTCAGTTTCTTCCGCTGTAGATCAGGAACTATGTTAGCCCTGCCCGTGAGGCTGTGGTGCTGGGCAAGTGACAGATGCATGCAGAACGCACAGGACCTGCTGACTCACGTGAATGATGACAGTGACTCCTGTTTGCTTAAATCTGCGTCTCCAGCAGTGGCCACTTTCTCGCCCCTATGGAATGCGGGCAGGCTTCACGCCACACTCCCCCCCTGAAATGCTCATCATCACCTGGCAGGAAGGCCCCCCACCCTACAGATGGGGCCACGAGGCTCAGATCAGTGGTGCCGCTTACCCAAGGTCACACAGCAATAACCAGACAGGCCATGTGACCCCCGATGACTACACCCTTAGGGCCGAGGCCCTCCCATGAGGTGCTCCCCAGGGACATGGGCCCCCCCAGGAACAAAGACCCCCTCCAGGTGTGACACCCCTGGGGTCTCAGAGAGGGACCTCCCTGGACTGGAGATGGGGTCGGGAACACCTGCTCCCCTCTGCCCTGTACTCGGGTCTCCGTAGGGGCCAGCGCCTGGACGGTCACCTCCTGTCCTCAGCCAGCCTCCAGCCCCCTGCCCTGTGCACAGAGCCGGGGGCTTCCAGAAGGAATCAGATCTTGTTGGCTTTGCCTACTCCGTGTTGCCCTGTGTGCTCCCCTCTGGCCACCACAAACCTCGGGCCTTTGCACCTGCTGCTTCCTGGGCCCGGAACTCTTGCCCCAGATCTTCCAGCCTGCCTCTTTCTGGTCATTCTGGCTCAAACGAGGGGCCCTCTGCCCTCCCTGAACCAACGTGGCGTCCCATCAGCCTGTCCTGCATCCATTCCCACTCGCCCTGCTCCCCGTAGGAATGAATGCACCTGGTATCTGAATCCCCCACTAAAATGGGGAGGGCACTTTGTCTCAACCTGCCTCGCTTGGGTTTTGTATGGCTGGCACACAGTAGGTGCTCAATAAATACTTGCTCAAGAATCAAGGGCAGCGGCACTGTGGCAGGATGTGGACATGTGCCTCCTATAGGGGGCGCTTGGAGTAATCAGTTTCCCCTTCTATGAAATGGCGCTGGAAGAGGTTACGGGTTCAAGGGAGCTGAAACTACCCCCTGGTCTGCGTGAGGAGGCCAGTGGGGGGCCCTGCCCTCTCCCCTCTTCCACCTGGGCTGACCCCTACTCTGGGCACTCTTGCGGCTGAGACCTGCTCAGGGTAAAGTCCGAGGGGCACTGGTGGAGGGGTAAGACAGACCCACGAACCTGCCTGTGTAAGCCACCCCCACAGACACCCCTCCGACACCCCTTCCCGTGGACATGGACACACAGATGTGGCAAATCACGGACACGCAGCCTGTTTGACACGCAGGGAGATGCGCGGCTTCAGCCCCCAGGGGAGTGCAACCACAGACACAGCCCCCCGACACCCCCTCCCCGTACAGATGGAAGCACATGACCACACCCTCTCCCATCACTCAGCTTCCTGGACTCTCCCCAAACTGCAGACCCCAAGAGCCTCCTTGTCTAGAAACCTCCTCCTCCTCCAGGGGGGCTCAGGGGGTCTCAGGGCAGGGCTCGGCCTCAGGGAAGACTTGGGCCTGCCGGGCCACCTGCTGCTCTCTGGAAAGAGGGTCTTCATGGGCACCAGGAGGGAGGCCCCCTTCCCTTCCCTGCCCCCAGAAAAGCAATGGGCTGGGAGTGGGGGCCCCCAACTCTTACACCTCCAGGCCCCAGTTTGCCAGAGCAGATGGGGCGGTGGGCAGAGCTGGAAATTCAACCCCAACATGACCCAGCAGACCCCGCCAGGCCCCAGGCTCCACTTGCAGACCTGCGTCTGCTGGGCAGCAGGGGAGCGGGAGGAGGGCTCTGCGGGAAGCCCAGTCCCTCCCTGGCCCCTCAGCAGCCCGACGCACGTAGTCCCAGCACAGGCCTCCGGGTTCCTGCCTCCTATCTCATGGGCCCCCTGCCTGAGCTGGGCCCCTCTGGCAAAAGAAGGTGAGCAGGAAAGAAAAGTCCCACCTCCATTTCCCCAGGAAGCTGCCCAGCCCAGTCCTTATTGCTCCAGCAGAAAGCAGGGCCCAGAGAAGGTAAGGAAGGAGCCTGGGGCCACACAGCAGAAGACCAGAGGGTCTCCCAGGATGGCCAGCTGCCCAAGTTTCTGGCTGGTTCTATTCCCAGGATGACCTGCCCCTGCCCTGGCTTGTGTGACTCTTATTCATTATTGTCGTGATTATTAACGGCACGGTTTACTGTTGTTACTATCATAGCGAATTCACTGCCAGCTTTCCATGCACCAGGCATGGAGCGAAGCGCTTCAGACGGATCTTTCATTCTTGGCTCATGCACCAAATCTTCACTGGGCAGCTACTACGTCCCAGGCATGACTGGAAGGAGCAGGGAGGCAGCTTTGAGCAAAGCCAATGCGGTCTCTGACCTCGGGAGACTGACTTTTTAGGGGCAACAGATGGGGGTCAAGGACAGTAATTCGCGAGCGGGTGAATTCCGATGGAGGTCACTGCTGTCAAAACTGAACGTCAGGGCTGACTGAGTGTGGCCGGCTCCTCTCACCAGGCCCACCGCAAGCCTCCTCGAGGACGTGGCTGCGGGTCTGAGGCTGGAAATGAGCTGTGACTTACCTCGGGAAGAGCTTTCCAGGGGTGGCCGGAGCAGCAGTGCAGAGACGCAGGGGCAGGAGGAAAGAGAAAGCAGGTGTGCATGAAGGCCGGGACAGCAGAGCGGAGCTGTGCGTCCTGCCCAGTGTTGACGCCGCGTTGGGCAGGAAGCATCCGTCGTCAACCCATTTTGCAGGGCAGGAAGCTGACTCAGAGAAGGGCCGACACCTGCCTGGAGTCACAGCAGGAGGTGCCAGAACCCAGGTTTTAACCACCTCTTCCTCTTCCTTTGGGGCTCAAAGATGAAAAGGAAACAAACAACGAAGACAGCCTGCGGGCGCCCCGAGCCTGGCAGGGACGCCCATGGGGCCAGCGTCCTGGTGCAGAGGGGGCTGGAGCCTGACCCAGCTCCACCACAGCTGGCCCCGAGGCCTCCCCAGGGCCCCTCACTCCTGCAGCCTGGCCCCTGGGAGACTGGGTGGGAAGGGCGGCCTCAGCGCAGGTGGCATGGGGTCCCCAGGACAGCCCCAACTCTGCCCTGCACGAGACAGAGAGAGGCTGCCCGGGCGGCCTCGTGCTGCCCTCTGGCGGCGGTAGCTGGGGTGTCTGGGGTGTCTGGGGTGTCCCAGGTGGCCGGGGCGGCAGCAGAGCGTGGCCTCCCGCGCCCTCGCTCAGGCACCCTCGGAGCAGCCCGATTCCCACGCGCACCCGGGACCCCAGCCCGGGGCTCCACCATCCTTCATGATCTGACCGTCCATCATCTCGCTTTTGGATGAAGTGAAAAGGTGCACATACCAGTCTTCTGAGCTCCGACGGCCTCCTAGCAGTTCATGCTGGTTTGCCGTCCTTTGTCTTTTTTAAAGATTCATTTATTTATGCTTACAAGAACTGGGGCGTAGGCCAGAGGTGTAGGGGGTGAGAGGACTCACCTCCACCCCAAATTATGGCGTGGCAAGCCTCCACAGGGCCCCTGGGCCCTAGACTGACGCCGGGGGTTAAACTGTCTGGGGACACGCAGCAGGGGCCGGGGGGCAGAGGCCTGGGGGGTGGGGGTGCACTTCACACGCAGCAGGGGCCGGGGGGCAGAGGCCTGGGGGGTGGGGGTGCACTTCACCGCGTTCAGGCAAAGGAGACTGAGCACCTGGCGGGAACGCCGCCCTGGAGGGCGCAACGCTGCGGCCCCAGGTATGGATCCCAGGCAGAGCGAGGAGGCGGGAGGTCATCTGAGAGGTGCAGGCGCTGGCCCCGCTGGGAAAAGACATTTCTTTCCTCCAGGAGGACAACGCCTTCGTGGGAAGCAGGACAGGCCTTCCTGGAGACACTGCTCTTCCCCCTCGGGCAGAAAGGGCTGTAAAAATGCACAAGCCCGCCTGGCCCGGCTCTTGCTACGCCCACACACCTGCCTGCACCCAGAGCCTCTCCCCTGCAGGCGCCCAGAGCCTCTCCCCTGCAGGCGGCGCCTTCCCTGCCGCCCCCTCCCACAGCTGGGTCACTCGAGGACTGGGGTGACTGTGGCCAGCAAAGGGCGCTGTGGGCGGGGCCGGGTCCAGCGCTGCTGCGGCCTGCACAGGTAACGGCAGTAACAAAGCAGGTGCTGCCTGTGCACTTGCTCTTCTCCCTGTCGGCTGGGTGTGTCTAGAGGGCAGTGAGGACCCCAGTTCTTCCGCCATGCCTGCTTTCATGTGACCTACATATGCCGGCCCCCCCTTCCCCCCCGGGGCATGGAGTAAGAACATGGCTGCTGAGGGCCAGCCCGGGGCTCGGGAGAGCAAAAGCGTGGCCGTGGGTTAATGTGGTTTTGGCATAAATGCCGTAAGCGTCACGCCACATCCTAGTCTTCTGCCATCAAATGCACACACATTTCTCTTTGAAGATTTATTTATTTATGCACACAAGAGCTGGGGTGCAGGCCAGAGGTGTGGGGGTGAGAGGATTCACCAGAGACAGTGGGGAGCAGCACAGACAGACTGACTGAAATACGCTGCTGAGGGGAGCAGCGGGCGAGTCAGGAGAGGTCTGCTGTGCCATGAGGGTAGCTCCCTGCGCTGCAGCGGCTGGCGATAGCTTCACAGCGCTAAGACTTTAACCCTTACGCCACCAGGGAGGCCCCAGCGTTTTTTCATTTTTCTTTTGTTTTCTCCTTGGAAATAGATCTTCTTCCCCTTTTCCTTACACAAAAAGCGGTGCACTATCTATCACCTGTCCGTCTGTCTGTCTGTCTGCCATCACCCACCTGTCTTTGCTAGTGTTACGTCCTGAGAGAGGCTCCAGGACTGCAATGATTTTCCTCTTTTCTCTTTCCCTCTCTCTCCTGCCCTGTATTTTTGGTGGCTGCGGAGTTGCTCCGTGGATGGACACCTGGGTTACTTCTCGTCTTTCACAGCTGCACCCGACAGCCCTGTTCCGTCATCCGACACTGCTGCCGGCCGGGGCGGGTTTCTAGAGACCATATAGCCGGAGCAAAGAGCCGGCTCTGCTACTCCGCTGGGCAGCACCGGACCCTCAGCGTGGACCAGGCTGTTCCCCCATTTGTGCCCAGATGTCCCCTTTCTGGCAACCTGGTGGGCTGGGCAGTTTCGGCTGGATCGGCCGAGCGCGCGGGCCTCCCCGGGGCCGGGCAGCGCCGGGAGGTGGGCCCTCAGCAGCCGGGCGCAGACGCGGGGAGCCCTCCCGCCCGAGCGAGTCACTGATCATTTCACAATCAAGTGCTGGCTCCGCGCTCCAGGGCTTACATCAGCCGGTTTCACAACCACCCCGCAGTCAACCATCGTCACCCCCTTGAACAGAGCAGGGAGGGGGCGCCAGAGGGTTGGGGGGTCAGGGTCAGCCTGAGCCCAGCGAGCAGGAGACGCATTTGGGAGGAGACACGCGCACATACATGTCCCCAGTGTGCCCCCCCTGCGTGCGCGGACACCCCCCGGGCACCGACACCAGCCACTGGGGGCAGCGCCTCAGGCAGCATCTGGAGACCAGCTCTAGTCAGATTGGTATTTCTAAAGCTCTGGGTGGATTCTCCCCTCTCCCCCCACCTCCCGCTCCCCCTGCAAGGCGGGGACGGAGCGGAGAAGGGCCAGCTGGAGCGGCTCCCCAGCCTGGGGCCCTGCGAGGGGAACCCAGGGACAGCCCAGCCCGGCAGCGGGTCACCCACATCACAATGGCCCCTGCGTGAGTGGGGTGTCCGGAGGGCTGGGGGTGGGAGGGAGCACTCCTGTCCGCTGGCTGGCAACTGGACCATGAGGCAGTGACCCCCAGACAAGCACTCGATCGCGCGGAGCCTGGAACCCCAAGCCGCCGCCTGGACACTGTTGCTGGATTACGAAGCACCTTCAGGATGTCAAGATGGACACCTCCCCAGGGTGAGGGTCCCCGCGCGCAGGGGCCTAGGCGGGGAGGTGTGGGTGGACTTCAGGGTCCTCAGGAGGCCGGAGAAGAAACTTTGGCTTCCCTTTCTGAGCTGGGGCTGATTCCAGCCGACCCCCCAAGTCCTACCGTCCCCACCAACCAGGGGGCCCTGTGACTTGAAGGGGACCAAGTAGAGCTCTGACCTCTTGTACCTTCCCTTAAAGTGTGAGAAGGAGAGTGTGGAACACGACCAGAGTTTCCCCCAAATCAGGTATGGCCAGGGGTGCTGAGACCGCGGGGCTGGGGGCCCGGCCCCACACTGGCGGGCCATGCTGCCGAGATCTGGGTACGGCCCGAGGCTCTTGGAGTCTGTTTTCTCCAAGAGCCAGTTCCCAGGTGTAAAGAGACGCCTGCGAGGGACCAGCGGGGCTCAGTGCGGGCAGCGCTCGCCGGCCAGACGCCTGGGCAGGGGAGCGGAGTCCTGAGGTCTGGGGTGAGAAGCCGCCCAGGCAGGCCAGGGCGCTCAGGTGGGCAGGACAAGGCTTCCTGACCTCCGGAGTCTAGCCTGGGCGGCCCGCTCTGAGGGGAGGCCTTGGGGGGGCATCTCCCAGACCCCCTTTCAAGCCGCAAGCCTCCCTTCCTGGGAGGGGCAGGTCCCGAGCAGATACCCCTGTGGTTCCCAGTAGAGACGCGGGGATCCCCACACCATCATTAAGAGTAGGGGGCTCTTATCCTTCCCCCTCCCAGGTCAGTACTCTGGGTATCCAGGACCCCTTGGGGCACCTTTCTGTCCTGAGCAGCAGCAGGCGTGGCCTCGGCCGCATGCCCCCTGGAGCAGGCGTGCTGAGGTCCCTCCTCGCTCTGAAACTTGCCCGCTGGGTGACCTCCGACAAGTCACTTAACCTCTCTGAACTAGTCTCCGTGTCTGCAAAATAGGAATGAGGCCACCCAGTAGCTGCCTCATGGTGTCTGGCACGAGTAGGCAGGGACATATTTTCAGCCAGAGGCTGGCAGGTAATAAATGCCTGATGCGGAAAAAAAGGCTGTGGCCCCGCGCCCCGCTCCTGCACTCTCAGGCCCTCCGTGGAGTCCTCCCTCCCCGGCAGCATCAGCCTCGCCTGGCGCCCTCCACCTGGCGCCCTCCGCCTCCTGCAACTCCCTGTGGCCCATCCAGTGGCCCCGTGACTCTCTGGGCCTCGGCTTCCCTCCTGCTCAGCGGGTGCCTCCTTCAGGCTGGCCGGTCGGTCGGGCACAGAGGAAGCCCTAGAACTGACAGTGTGTCCTCCTTCTCCCCCAAAGAGCAGTCTCCTTCTTGGACTCGTCCTGAGACCTACCCCCCAAATTCCCAGGTAATAAACACAGGTGAGTGCCCTGCCTCCTCTCGCCAAGACTGGCCACGCAGCACCTCCCGGGGAGCCCCTGACTCCACAGCCTGGTGACCCCACAGAGCCCATGACCATGAGTTCTCTTGCCAGAGGGCAGGGGCTGGCACAGAGCAGATGTCCTGTTCTCTGCTTGCAAAGACCTGCCCCAACCTTGCAGGAACCAATGCAGGCCTCCCCCGCCCCCGCGCCCGCCCCCCCAACCGGGGGTGAACTTTAGGAGCAGCTGGGCTGGCTGATTGATAACCAGTGGGCATCCTCACTGCTGGAAAGTGCCCTTCCAGCTGGGTCACCCCTCCCTTAGTTCCCTGCCAAGCTGGGGTAGTCCACACCCCCACAATCAGGTCTCAGCAGGTGAACCCCAACACCCCTCTCCCCAGGCCCCAGGGGAAGCCGAGGTCTGTCCTGGTTCCTTATCACTCGGAACAACGCATGCAGACCAGACCCTGGTTCAGGCTGCCGCAGCTGGGCTTATTTTATCTTAATTTTTTTTATAACATAAAAAGGCCAGAGGTGTGGGGTTGAGAGGGGTCACCAGAGACGGAGTGGGGAGCAGACAGGGGAGCAGCAGGCTAGACAGCAAAGGCCTGCTGCGCCATGGGGGCCAGCTCCCTGGCCGGGGATGGAACTCAGGCTGTAGCAGTGAAAGCACCGAGACTAACCCCTAGGCCACCAGGGAGTCCCCTGCAGTCCGGTTTACTTAACAAATCCCGGCACCACCAAGGCACTCCCTTCTCTGCACACGCAAGGTCCTGGAAATGGCTGCAGGGTTTAAAATAGCCACGCACACTCCTTTGGCCCCACTGTGCAGAGGGAGAGAGAGGGCACAGGAAGGCTTTTGGGGTTCTGGGGCCTTCAGCCCCTGCCCACCACAGGGGGAAACAGGCTTGGGAACGGAACCCAGCCCCGGAGGGAGCTGTCTGGCTGGGCAGCCAGGCATCATCGGGTGAACTGAAGCACCCAGTTTAACCCAGAGAGGCTCCCCAAATCCCTGGGACGCTGGGCCAGGAGGACAGGGAGTCGTGACTGAGGGAGGCAGGCAGGGGGAGGGGGGAGGCGAGCTGGGGGGAAGGAGGGCCCACCTGGTGGGCCTGGGGGGCTGGGGGCGCACCTGCCAGGTCTCAGGAAGGCTCAGCGAGGACTCGGGGCGGGGGAATGGGGAGGGGTCTGAATGTGCGCCCTTCCCCCCTCCCCCAAAGCAATGCCCCCTAGCTTCCCTAGGATGGGGTCTGCCATACCCCTGCAGTCCATGTGTCCTTACTGCGGAAACTACATCATCACGGTGCCCACGCGGGTGCCGGGGGTCCTCACCTGGCTGCTGTGCACGGGCCTGTTGCTTTTCGGGTGAGTGGCTCCCTCGCCTCCGCGCGGAAGGGCCCCGCGGGCCGGGGCTGACTGGCGGGGCGCCGACCCCAAGCCCCAGGACCCTCGGCCCCGCCCACCAGCTCCTCCCGCCAGCCCAGGCCCCGCCCACGAGCCTGACCCCGCCCTCAGCCAAGCCCCGCCCCGGTTCCCTTAACCCAGGCTCCGCCCCCAACCAAGCCCCGCCCACCCGGGCCCTCAGCCCAGGGTCCACCCCTCAACCAAGCCCCGCCCCGGTTCCCTTAATCCAGACTCCGCCCCCCAACCAAGCCCCGCCCACAGGGGGGGCCCTCAGCCCAAGCCCCGCCCACACAGTTCCCCCCCACAACCAAGCCCCGCCCCACAACCAAGCCCCACCCCAGTTCCCTCAACCCAGACTCCACCCCTCAACCCAAGCCCCACCCCAGTCCCCTCAACCCAGACTCCGCCCCTCAACCCAAGCCACGCCCACCCGGGGAACCCCCTCGGACCAAGCCCCGCCCCGGTTCCCTCAACCCAGACTCCGCCCCTCACTCACTCCAAGCCCCGCCCCACCCAGGTTCCCTCAACCCAGGCCCGCCCACAAGGCCCCGCCCCCAACCAAGCCCCGCCCCGGCCGCCCGCCCCGCCCCGGCTCAGCGTCCTCTGCCCTCGAGACCGCAGGTGCTTCCTGGGCTGCTGCCTCATCCCCTTCTGCGTGGACAGCCTGATGGACGTGAAGCACCTGTGCCCCGTGTGCGGCAGCGAGCTTTTCCGCTACCGCCGCCTGTGAGCCTCCGTGAAATAAAGCTCCCTAAGCCCCGGGGCTGTCGGCTGCGCTCCTCGCCGGGGGTCGCGCCGCCAGAGCAGGGCGCGGCCTGCCCAGGACCCTGCCCTCGGCGCCCCCACCCGCCCCAGCCCCCGCCCGCCCCTTGCCGGGCGGCCGTGACCTCCCGCTGTGTGCAGCACCCGTGGGAGACCCCCACACCCCCGCTGACGCCCCTCACACAGCGGCTCTGTGGGCCCCACCTGGGATGCCCCAGGGCCCCTCCCGGGAAAACCCTCCGCTCGCACCGCCCCGGAGCTCCTTCCTCCCCTGCACACCCAGCCTCTCCCTTGGGTGCCCCAGGGCCCCGCAAACCCGACCGTCTCCACAGTGCCGCCCTCTCTTCCTCCCACTGTCCCGCCCAGGGTTCCTTGGGGAGACGGCCGCTCCCCAGGGGCCTGCCCTGTCCCCTGCCCTCTCAGTCCAGCCAGCGGCTGGCACAGACACCGCGTGACCCACGAGCAAGGGGCCGTGGCTTCAGCCCCGGCTGGGCGAGACCCCTGCCCACAGCACGCCGCCTCGGGGGCAAGCCCAGGCTTAAAAAATAAATCGTCGTATTGAAGTGACGGTGTCCCGGGCGTCTGTCCCGGGCGTTCAGCCGTGTAGCTGGACGTGTCTGCGCGACGCGGTGCTCACCCCCCCCGACCCCAGTGTCCATCCTTCACCACCGACCCTCTGAGCTGACTTCCCACGCCCGCCCCGGGGAACCACCATTTCGTGCCAGGTCTGAGGGTTCATTTTGCTCGCTCGTTACCTTCATCCTGCGCAGGAGGGGATCCTGTCTGCCTTCCTCCATCTGATGATTCACGTAGCCTCATTCCCTCCAGCGGCCTCCACGCTGATCAAGTGGCAAAGCGATTTCCCCCGAGCTCACGCGTGTCCTGTTTTGTGTACGAGACGCGTCTCCCTCACCCACGCAGGCCCCGGGGCCCTGAAGCCGTCTGCCCACGGCGGCCGCTGGGCCTAGCGCTGCGAGGGCGCAGGGCACGAGGCTTCCAGTCAGTGTCTTCCTGTCCGGGTAGCCACCCAGGCGCGGGGAACTGGATCATGTGAAATGTGTATTTTCAATTTTTCGAGGCGCCTCCGGCTGTCTTCTACTGCACCACCTAATACTCCCACACGCACCGGGGTCCCTTTGCTCCGCATCCTCCAAATACTTGCTTCTAAGTCCAGACTTTGAGGTGGGGCGCGCTGGAGGCCACTGCTGAGCAGGCTCCGCCATGCCCTCCACTGTCCCCACCCCCCACCCCCAGCTCTGCGCTGCGCTTTGGGCCAGCGGGGAGCTGACTTCGCCCTGGGGCTGACCCTTCCCCAGCCTCTCCCTGCAATGCCCTGCCTGCACCTCCTGAGTCACATTCCCCAGGCGCTGGGGGCCCCCAGGACCTGGCTGAGACCGGTGGGTTTGTGGGAGCTGGGGGTGGGGGAGCAAATCTTCCCAAATCACTGCGCCTGCCGATCCCTAGAAAGAGGTTTGATGCTCACAATTCCTCCCGGTACAGCGCAGGGCCCCCAGCAGTTCCCCCGGCTGTTGTGCAGGAATTTAGCGAATGCTGAGGCCCTGAGCTGGCTTATGAATGGGGTCCCTGCTGGCTAAATGGGGTCACCTGGAGAGGACAGCCAGCGGGGGAAGGGATGAACGAAAAAGGATCTTTATTTTGTAACATATAAAAAAATACTATTCCGTCCATGTTTTCAGTCAGAGCTTCATCGAGAAGCGGGGAGGGAGCGGCGTGTTTGGCCCTAAAATGTGGCAGTGGCAGGCTGCACCCCGGAAGGCAGCTCTGGGGACAGCCCCCTCAGCTCTGGGGACAGGTTTCTCCAACGTGATGTCCGCTTCCTCTCCTCCCCAGGTAACTGCCCCCTCACCCCCAGGTTCCCTGGAGGAGGGGGGCGGGGAGCGAGGAGCGGCCAGGGGGCGCAGCCTCCGCCTCCACAGCCAGACAGGGACCCAGCCTAAAGGGACCCAGCCTAACGAGTTCGGAGCAGAGGATGAAGCTTCTGACAAACCAGCCTCGGGCCCTGGGCGCCAACCTCCCCTCTGGAATAAAGCAGGGCAAGGTCCCGGTGAGCCAGAAAGTTCCCCATCCTGGTCCTGAGTCCGAAGGCGGGCCTGGCTGTGTCCAGCAGCGTGGGTGACCGGTGGGGGCCTGGCCGAGGCCCAGCGGGAGGGTAAGTCTGGGGTGCCCCTGGCTCTGCTGGCGAGGCCAGGGGCCACCTTTGGCCCGAAAGGGCTCACAGCTCAAGGCCACACCCACTAGGCAACTTGTGGTTTTGACTCTGTTTCCCGGCAAAGCTGAGACGCCAGCAGCTGGTCTTCTGGGACGGCAACATCCCAACTCAGAGCCTGACGCCTGGTCCTCCACGGCTCTGCTGGTGGCGCGGGTCACGGCACCAGAGCCCCTGCCCCCCATCACTGGCCTGGCCTGGCCACCACTGAGGTGCCAGGGGAGACCCAGCTCAGCCCCCTTCCAGGACCTACATCAGCGACCGGCCTCTCCCTGCCTGGTGAGAACAAAGAATGTGCTGTCCGCCGCTCGGAGCAGTTAAACAACCGTCCCCCACAGGACCCGACCCGGCTCATCAGGCCGGTGACACGGTGCCCCTGGCCCAGGCCCTGCTGTGCTCCCCACTCCCTGCCGGGGTGATCTGACTGGGGCGGGCGGGGGCAGCAGGCTCCTTCCCCGGGGTCCTTCTGACTCCGCCCCTGTGCCTCTGACCGGCCATTAGGGGGGCCCAAGGCTCAAGGGGAGCCTGTGACTCGCCCCAGACTCCTGCTGCTCTCCCATCAGGAAGTGGGGCCACCCCTGCCCTTCCACCCAGGGGGTGCCCTGGGCCCTGCTTCCAGAGCTGTGGTGGAGGGAATGCAGGTAGCTCTCACCTGGTGCCAGCCTGTGCCCTGAGGGTGCAGGTGAGGAAAGGGGCGAGGGGCGGAACCACCCCAGTAACAGCAAGGGGGCGGCTAACCATCTTTCCTCTCAACGCGAAACTTTGGCACCTTCAACACCTGAAAGGCCTTGGTGGGAACCCCCAGATGCAGCCACCAGTCTCCGCCTGACGTGTGGGCCCGCGGCAGCCGGCTGCACTTGAGGGGACAGGCCCTCAGCGCCAAGGCTAGGGAATGGGGGACCCCCCTTCCGCACTGTGCCCACCATGGAGAGCGCCCACGAGGGCTCCCTTCAGGGACAAGGACAGCAAACGAACCCCCAACCTAACAGCTGAGACCAAGAGCTGGCGAGAATGGCTTTATCCAGTGGGGAGATGCAGTCACGCATGGCAACTGAGCGCACCCCCACTTTCCCTGCCCCCCATGCACGGTAGCCCGTGTGGGCAAAACAGCCACAGAACGGCCCGTGGGGCAGAGCAGGCTCAGAACTGCGACGGCCAGACTGGCAGCTAAGGTGACAGGCCCACCCCAGGGCTCCGGGGACACTGGGGGGTGGGGGGTCGGCCTGGCCACATCACTCGGACGCACCACGCACTCCACGGCTCCGGCAAACGCCACCCTTCTCCCTCCGATGCAAGGCTTGGCAAACGGGCTCTGTGAGGCCTGTTTCTAAGCGGAGTCTGCAGGCCCCGGCTCCTGCCCGCCGGTGTGTCTGCGGCTGCGTGGGCAGCAGAGCCGGGGCTGGCCAGGGCAGCACAAGGCAGCAAGGTGCCGGCACGCGTGAGACCCAAGCCTGCCACCCCACGTCTCACCCCCCGAGCCTGCAGCCAGCCACAGGCAGGTCTTGCTGAGGCCCGCGGCCGCCGCCTGAGCCCCCTCCCCACCCCATGCAGACGGGACGCCGCATTTTAAAACATAATCACGTTTATTAATATACTAGCACCTGGCCTGCGCCACTAGATGCCTTCTCACTGCGGGGGCCTCGCAGCTCCCACAGGCGGTCCCCAAATGGCACGGGCAGGGGCAGCAGGAAGGGGTACAGGGGACCGGGCAGGCAACCACTCGGCTGCCAAGAGGGGGTCCCCAGGGGCCCGTCCTGGGGGCCGAGGGGGCCTTCAGAAAGGCAGCCGTTCCTCCTCCAAGCCCCGCCACCGTCCTCCGGTCACTTCGGACCCAGAGCGACACCCTGACTGGCAGCAAGTGGCCACGTGATGCGGCACACGCTGCCCCCGAGTGCTCACAGGCAGTCGCTGGCGAGACTCAGTCCCTGAGACGAGAACAGAGCCTCAGCCCAGAGCCAAGACAGAAGACCAAGCCTGGACGTTCCGAGAGAAGCCAGGCCGCGGCCCCTCTGTGGGAGGAGGGGTGGGCGCGCCTGCAGACTGGAGGCAGGACAGGAGAGTGCCTGGGAACGGGCTTCAGGGAACAGGGGCCCGGAGACCAGAGTGGCACGGGGAGGGGCGCCAGCCAGCACAGGACCGGGACGCAGGGGGCCTCCCCAGGCCTCCACCACCCTAGCACCTGCAGCCACAGCGCCCCTCCCGGAAAAGCCTCTCTTCAGCTTCAACGGGGGAGTCATCGGCCACAGCCAAGCCGGCCCGGGACAGTCTTGGCGATGCTGGGAGGGGCAGGTGGGTGATCAAGGGCAGGTTTCCCAAGCCTAGTTCCAGGGAGAGCAGAACTCTCCCTCAACTTCCACGGCACTCACTGAATTATAATTTTTATAGAAAATTTTATTCAACATACAACATTTTCCAGCAAAAAGGCAATATACAGGAAGAGTCGGTGCACACTGCAGCTACAGCAACAACAAAAGATCCGGGGAAGGATGAAAACTAAGTGTGAGCTGCTGATTCTATTTCACTGCACTCAAACTGGACACGCAGCTGGCGTCAGCGCCAAAGTAAAGGGGACGAGGCTGGACGGAAAGAAAACTGCACACGATGAAGAGCAACATCAGTGAGTCACTTGCCGATTCACCCAACAGAAAGTCACCTCCTCCCAGTGGTAAATTGTACATGTTCATTCGTTAAATATACAATTTCATTTCTTTTTTTTTTTCCTTTTAACTTTTTTACAAAGTCAACAGCGTACTAGCCACTAGCGAGCATGCCCTCTGCTAAAGGCTCTCCTATGTGTCTGTTCCATCGTCAGGGAGTATTTATAATGCTTTCACCTGCCCTGCGTGAGCTGCGAGCCGGGGTACGCCTCCTCTGCACTGACAGTGCCCCCGCTTCGCGCACAGGCCCCGGCGGCTGTCGGGACCGTGGTCAGCACGTCCGCTCTGCAAACGGGCTGCAGGCCGTGGCGGCTGGCGGCAGGAGAGCCGGGCAGCTGAGGACCGAGGAAGGGGCGACAGGACACGCGGTGAAGAAAGAGCGCTATTTATTAGGTTGTGAGTTTCCGTTTCGCCTTTACAGATGCACAGAAGGTCATTTAAAGTATAACTGAGGGAAATACGTCAGACGAGCCTAAACGTAAGACTTACTAGCTGCAGGGCTGGTGACCGGGACCCCAGGGAGCAGCCAGGCCGCTTGTGCCAACTAGAACAGACGAGACCCCTTCCGCCCACAGGTGACCCGCGTGCCACTAACCTCGGCCTCCCCCGCTTGCCGACGGTTGCCGTGCCCTGCGGTCACCATGAAATAACTCTCATTGGCATCCAAGCTTTATAAAAACACCTTCATTTTGCTCAAAAAGGACAGTCAATAGATACAGAGAAGCCAAACTGAACAGCCTCAACAAAATAAAATTAACATCAGCAGCAAATCCTCTTGCTGGAGACCGGCTAGAGCGCAGTGTCCACAGTTCTGGCTGTTAAAAGGGCCGCACCACACACTGTCCCTCGCCTCGCACACGGGGAGGAGTCAGTTATGGATTTTAATGGCCTTTTCAAGGTAAGTGTAGCGACTCCTCTTTGGGGCTTTGTTGAAGTGGTCGAGCCCCAGCCAAGGCCGAGGATGAGACATGTTACCTGGCGGGGAGAGAGAAACCTGAGACACGGCGGCCCCCAGAGCCCTGCCCACGTAGCCGCCCGCAGCCATGAGGGCCAGCGCCTGAGCCTCGCGCCCCAAGACTCAGCATCCCGGGGCCCTCTACCATCCCGGCCCCTGTAAGCCGCCACCGCAGCCGGACTGAGCGCGTCGACCCTCCCCAGAACCCACGGCGCGCTGCAGCAGGGGGACGGCCGCCGGCCCACGGTGGGAACGGGAGCACTGGCCTCCAGCCCAGGGCCGCGGCCTCCCGCCTCTTACCATCAGCTGCTGAGAAGTGACCCCACGGTGAGGGGGACCGAGGAGGCTCTTACCAGGCTGAGGTTCAAAATCTTTCAAGTTTACTTCATACTCATCTTCATTGATGTACTGGTGTCGGCCCATCATCACAATGGCGAACTTAAACTAAAAGACAAGATGGGAGACTCCCTCGATGCTGCCTCTCAGCAGAAGTCCGGCCTCCCAGCCAACCCCACGCAGCCCGCCGGCGTGTCTGAGGCACGCGTACCTTTTCAAACTCCTTTTCCTGAATGTCCAGCAGACTTTGGATCCGCTTCATCACTTCTCTGAAATGCTCGCCCTGCAACGGCAAGGATGGTGCCCGCGCTGCTCACGCTCGCCTGCCGCTTGGGCCCAGGCAGCCGCCGGGCGGGCACCCGCCCCAGCCCAGAGTGACCCAAGCCGGCGCGGCAGGGCGAATGCCGCGGAACCCACCTGGTGTATCCTCAGCAAGAAAGGAACCCCAAATGTCCCAAACACCTCCTTGTGGAAATGCGCCACTGTGATCAGCATCTCATTCTCCTTGTCTATGTCCACCTGGTCCAAGGGGATCTCCTGGGGACACATTTAACACCTGGGTCAGTGCTGTCACTGCGGACAAACACCACGTCCGCTCCCGACTCGCAACTCCCACGGGCGGCCCGGTGCTCCTGCAGCTGAAGCCTGTCAGCAGGTATCTCAGCTTCTAGGCGAAGCTCGGGTTTGGGAGGCCACATGGAACGGCTCCAAAGCCAACAGGGACCACAGTTCTGACCAGTTTGCTCGGTGGCCCAGGCTCAAATTTCATTTCTAAGAACGAAAACCACAGGCTCCCCCCACGGGTCGGAGACCAACTGGGGGAGACGAAAAGGTGGCCACAGGGGCAGCGGTGGCTGCCCGGAATGTACGTAAAGACTGAGCTGCGGGCTCGAGGCCAGTCTCCTTTGTGTTTTATCACAATAAAACAATGAATTTTTCAACCTCCCTGAGAGGAAGAGTCACCCCCGGGACTCCGCCGACTGCCGGCACAAGAGCAGACAGCCTGCGGGCCGGGGCCTCTGCACCAACAGGCAGCGCCCCCCGCCGTGGCTCATTACCTCTATTCGAAACGTCCGACTCGTGGCAGGAGATAAACATTCTAATAGCTCATCTTCTTGATGCACACCAATAATTTTGTAGCTTACAATTTCTAGCAGCCTGAGGGACAAAACAAGGGGGGTGGGGGGAGAATGTGAAAAACTGACCACGGAGAGTCTTCTAGAAACGCGATCGAGGTGCGCAGGTGTGCGGGGCCCAGAGGCACCAGCTGGGAGGCTAGTCTGCAGGGAACGCCTGACGCTGGCCTCCGAGGGCCTGGAGTGCTTGGGGGGAGGCGGAGGCAAAGGGAGTCTGAACTGGGTTTCCGCCAAGCCAGGCGGGCCGTGTGACTGTGTCCTCAGGTTCGCTCGGACGAGAGGTCGCGTTCTTTCACCAGTATCGCCCGGCAAGCACTCTGGGAAGCTGCGCCCAGGGCGGCTCTGCCCTGGCAGCCGTGTCAGGCAGCAACAGGCACCGAGTCCACACTGCCAGGCGGAGGCGGCATCCCCTCGGCCTCACGGTGCCGGCCGAGGGAGAAGAGGCCACTTCTCAAATGCAAGCAGGGCAGCCTCCCGAGCCTCAGCCCTCCCCTCTGCCCCGCTGTGTCTTGGCCGGGCGCTGCCTCCCGACTCTGATGAAGAGCCAGAGGTAAGGAGGGGACAAGGGAAACGTGGCTCGGTTGAGGAACCTAAGCGGCTGAGAGGGAGGGGCAGCAAGGAGCCTGGCGCGGCTTCCAGCTAGGAGACTGGCCCACAGGCACCGCCGAGGGGCCTGTCCAGCCCCTGTACTTGCCTAAGTTTCCCTGACGCCTTCTCCCCCAGCTCCACAGCCTTCTTGCACTCCTCCAGCAGGTCCCGGACACACCCGTGCTTGTCTGGGTATAGTGTTATTTCCTGAGGAATGACAGGAGAGAACAAACGCTCAAAAAGACACCCAGGGCTGCCATGATAAACTACTCTGCTTGCAGAGAAAAACCAACCACAGTAATTATTCCCAACCGTCCCCCCCAGCCCCACGGCCATGGCCTGCAACCCCCAGGACCGAGCCGAGTTCAGAAATGCCACTTGGAAGCAAAAAGCCTGTGATTCACGCAAGTGTCCCGAAGGGTCAGGCGGGGCCTTCCCCAACCCCAACCACGTGACGGCGAGGGCTCTGTGGGGGAGGCCCAGCTCGCCCACCAGGTAGGGATATTTTTGGCCTGCGTCTCAAATTCTCCCTCCATTCTGGAAAGGTGGGAGGCTCAGGGTACAAGCAGTCAGACTTTTTCTAGAAGAACCATGCAGAAGTGCGGCTGGACCCGTGACTGGAGTGGCCGTGAGCAGTAACCTGGGAGGTGTCCGCACTATACAGACGTCTGGCCAGGGCAGTTCTGCCCCAGGCCAAGCAGCAAGGCAGGAGCTGCCAGGTCTCCCGCTGGTAAAAGCAGGGTCGCTGGGGTCTTGGTTACGCAGCCCCCAGACCGCAGAGGTGGTGCAGGCAGGAAGCAGGCAGACTGCGTCAGGGCCCAGGAGCCCGTACTGGGACTCAGGGACACTAACGTGTTGTCCCCTCATCTTGCTGCTCAAGTTTTCGAGGTCTGGGAAGAGAGAAACCACCACCAAGCTCCAAAAAAATTCCTATCATTAAAAAGCACTTACCTCTTCCCTAAATTGGCTGTTTAACCATATACACTTAAAACTCCTCCTGTTTTCAAAGTCTGTGATCTTCATCTTGAGCTGTTGAGAGAAGAGACGGGCTGCACACCGGCTCCCACAGGCCCCGCGTCCTCCCGCGGCCACAGGGCCAGCAATTTGGACCCATACCTGCTGATAGTAGAGTTTCTTGGGCTGTCTAGGCTTGAAGAATTGTAGAAGGTCTCGTAGCGTGCCTTCGTAATTATGTCTAAGAGGATTCCCTGGCCCATCCCTGTAACTACACCGGAAAGAGCACAGAAATCAACACCCTGCCCCGTGTGCCTAGGACAGATGCCCACGAGCTGCACGCGGAAGCAACCGCCAGCCTCACACCCAGCCTCGCAGTGTGACCTGGTCCAGGCCGTGCCCTAACCCGCCGAGTCCCCAGGCGGCTGCCCCAAGGGTGACCCAGCACAGAGAGCCTTGCGGGGATGCCCAGCGGGTGGGCTGACGAGGGAGCCAAGCCAGCCTGGTTTGGCCAGGGCTGTTGGTGACTGGGGCGCCTGGAGCAGTGTGGGAGACGACGTGACAAGTCTACATCTGAAACTAGGGGACGGCACGGCGGGTGAAGTGGCTGCGTACTGAGGACAGCCAATTCCAAACGCCTGGGCAGCCGATGGCAGAGAGCAGATGCCGGGAGCGCCTGTGAGCGGGGTGGGCTTACCCTTGAGACTTGAAAAACTGCAGCAACATGGGGTCGGTGTTCAGCCGCTGCGCAACTGTCTTTGCGACCTGGGAAGGGAGGGAGCGGAAGTCAGAAGGGAACTGAAATCTGCGTATAGCCTTTATCACTCAGCACTCCAGCCGCTCACAGAGAGGCCAGCAGGCCGCACCCGCGCCACAGGGGAATACTGCTGGACGGAGCCAGCTCCCCGGCGCCAGCAGCCTGTCTGCTGAAAGGACTTTTTAAAGGAGTTTTTTTTTTTTAAATCACTGTAAAGATGAAGTCTATAGATTTTTATATTTTCTGATTGTTTGGCAGGGGGGGGTTTCCCCTTCGGTATGTAATTATTGGAGCCAAGTTACTGCTGAAACCATGACCTCTTAAGCCAAATTATACCAGGAATAGAGAGGATTGTGAGAGAAGCAATTTTCAAAAGGACTCAGTCTTTCTGATGTGAGATCTGAAGAGAAAAGAGCACTTTTCAAATACCTGAAAATAATTCATTCTATTTGATAATGTAACCACAAATCCAGGATCATTAGGGATTGTTTTATCACAGAAAATGACATCCACACGGTGGTAGAGGTCTCTGAAATATTCCTTTGCGGTGGGCAGTTCACTGTTATCATTTTCGGGGTCATCCCTGGGAGGAAAAAAAAAGAATTTGCAGACTGAATCACAGGGCGGGCCGGCAACCAGGGGCAGCTGATGGCACCATCGAGGCTGATGGGCGCAGCCATGACCCCAGGCTCCCGTTCCCAGGTGCCGGCAGCCCCTCGCACCCTGTCAACCGGGACAAGAAGAGAGACAACCCTGCGCCCGGGCTGTGCCCTGGACTCCCAGTCTTCATCTCGACACAGAAACAAACAAAAGGGCTGGGCCCACGCCGGCAGGGCACCCTGTAACTGGAGCAGGAGGGGCAGACTCCAGCATCCGCGCTGAGGCAGGGGACCGAGGAGTCATTCAGCCTAGATAGTCCCTTTCCTGGGCCTCAAGAGCCTGCTCACCCCTGCCGGTGCCGCTGCACCCTGTGGGCTCTGCAACCTGTGTCCAGGTGTGCCCCGGCCAGGAGGCATCAAGAGCAAAGCCCTGGCAGGTACAACAGCAAGAGTTGAAGGCCAGACCCGCAGGGTTATGTGCAGATTTAACTTCTAAGGAATTTCATGGTTTAAGGGAAGGAAAACCCTTTTAGAATCCAGCAATGACTGCCACCGTGCCAAGAGTTCTCAACCTCACTGCAGACATTTTAAGGACACAGAAGCATGAAATGATGACAAGTTCATCGCCACTGACTCCAAAACGAGAGGCCACTTGTGCTAATACTCTAGGACGCTGCAGGAGAAACATCTCAGCACGCCTTGGGGTGTCGAGGGACAACTCTGCGTCCTCGCCTGGGGCTCCCGACACGAGGACAGAGTGAGCGCCCCGCTGGGAAGTACGTACTTCTGGAACACGATAATATCGCCATCCATTAGTTCATCCAGGGCTTTATCAAGAGACACATCATAGTCCTGAATTCTCTCTGTTAAATTCGGTTTAACTTCCTAGAGTCAAAGAAACGAAATGGTCACAATGCACCTTCGTCTGATGCCTGACAGGGCACTTCCTGGGAGTCCCAAACCAGCCCCGCTTTTCTAATAAGGTAATTACCGGCCCTAAATTGGTAAAGGTCACAAATCTACAATGTGATCCTCAACCCAACATCGCCCTGAGCCCCACCTAGTTGTAGACTTTACCCAGTGACAAATTTGGGGCTAACGAAACACCCCCCCCAGGCACCGAGGACATACAGATGAAGGGAAATGAGCCACGCAAACCTCATAGAGGATAAGGCTAGTATCCTGGATAAATCCTGCTCTGTCACACATAACCGGGAGCAAGTCACCTGGTTCAAGAAAAATGAGAAACCCAAATCTGTAACACACCGAGACTTCAGCGAAACTGATTTAAAAGCTGAGCACAGGGAGGACTTACGTATTTTGCAGGATATCGGGGTGTAGATATGCCCACAGTAATTCAAGCTCCGAGTTTTGGGATCATACATCTTCAGAAATAACATCACATCATCTGCCAAGTCGATGAACAGGTTTGGTTAGGGCCTGAACACGCCACATCATGCTTAAGAGACACTGACAGTGAGGGTGGCGGGCGCGGCAGCCTGAGCCGGGTGGGGCCCGCTCAAGAGGCTGGCGCTATGGCTGCGGCAACCAGAGGTAAGCTGATGTGGGGTGAGTCGAGGGACCCGAGGTCCTGCCCTGGTGCCAGCCTGCTGATGGCGAGTTGCCAGGGCAATGTAAGCTGCAGCTGCATCTCCGCAGCCACAGCGTGCAGATGAAGCAGTGTGCAGGCCCCTGGCCTCCGCCCGCAGAGAACGTGCAGCCCCCAAAGCATGGGGTGTTTACTCTCTGACCCTTGAGAGAAAGGCCACGGCCCCTGCACCCCCAAGGAGCAAGGGGGTCAGTCACACTGTTCCTCCTCCACATGGGGCTGCCCAGGAAGGCCCAGGGCTTTCACCAACAAGCCTGAAACCCTCAGGGAGTAGCAGGACGTCCAGGCAAGGGAGGTGCCATGCCCAGGAACTCGCCCATCGCTGCCCTCAGAGGGGGCCGGGGGCTGGCACTTACGATCCTTGTCAAACTTGGGCAACGTGGCTCCGCTGGCAGCCAGCTCTGGATCAACTGTTTCCAGGAATATTGTCCAAGGGTTCTCATTATCACTGAGTTCAATCATCTGTGCCCAAAAGAGATGCTGAATTTAGAAGATTCTAATGGCTAAGCAGGCGTGAAATCTATACTTGAGAACGGAGGAAAATGTCCAGCTGGGAGAAGCTGGCCCAAGGAGCTGGGCCGCAGCCGCCTGCATCGTGCCACCCACCGTCTTGTTGCCGTCAGCCTCGTTATCCAGCATCGCCGGCCGCTTGGTGCCGTTGCTCCGTGCTTGCATGGGCCACAATCGAATCTGATCTTGTGGAAACCCCTGGAAAAAAGTAAAATTAATTAAAACAACATCGGCTTGTGTTTCAGTTCTGCAGCGGCAATGAGGCTGCAGTAAGAAAACAGCACAAGCAGCCCCCTGCGGGTACGGGTGCGGCAGGAGACCCATCTGCAGGTCGCAGCCAGCTGGGGCTCAGACACGAAGGGTGTGTCAGAGAAGGGGGTCGGTCGTGTGCCTCACAGCAACCCGGGGGGGGGGGGGGGGGCTGGGGGTGCGGCGCACGAAGGCGCCCGTCCTGCATGGCCAAGCCAGTGCGGTGAGCAGGCACTCACCATGGTCTGGGAGAGGTTCTGAACAAACTCAGCCAGCGAGGAGTTCTTCAGCACTTTGAACACGGTGTACTTCACCTTCTCTTCATCGTACATGTCATTCCCTTGGTGGCCACAAAACTGGTCCTCCGCCACGATCTGAAAACATTCACACCGACACACAAGTTCGCATGGTGCATGAACAAAGTCTACCCCGCTGGTCACGTCTAGGTTTAGGCACATAAAAAGCAACCAGCCAGCCACTCAGGTCAATGGCCTTTTCCTAGAAAATCCAAGAAGAGTGACCGATGACCAAGGAGACTAACCCAGGTATTTTTTTCAGAAAAGACACAACCTTTAATGGGATTGCTCTTAACTCATCCACAAGCACTGGCCGTGAGCTACAAGTGGGGTGGTCTCCAAATACCATAAAGTAGAGGTGCACAGTGGGCCTCTCTTTTCCATGCCGTCAGTTTGTTAGAACCAATGCCTCCTTTGTTTCCTAACACTGCGAGTGAATTATGAACCGCAACCTGGACAGGCACCTCCCCGGGCGCCCCCGCCCCGCTGTTGCTTCCTCCTGTCCGTGTCTGTGTCCTGCTTTCCGGGGACTCGGCCCTCCCTCCTGTGCACTCTTCTGCCGGTCCTGGGGGCCCCTGCATCTCTCCTCCCCTCTGCACTCAGAGGCACGCGCCACACACAGGCGGCAGCCGCTGCCGGATGACCTCAGCGCTTCTCCACCCAGTCTTTACCCTGAGCTGGGGCGTGTTTCCCAGACGGTCAGGGCCTGACCTGACTGTGAGTGGAAAGCACTCAAGGAGTTGCCCAGGAACGATGGGAGCAAGCCCGAGTCGACCAACAGCGCCTCTAGAACAAGGCCAGGCCGGGCCAGGCGTGTGGAGCAGGCTCCCAGCTGACCCCGGACCCCGCCCCCAGGGCCCAGGAGGCTGACCTGCACTTGCATGTAGAGGTGGGCTTCCTGCCGCTCCTTCCGCTTCTGAGCCTCGATCCTCTTCTCCTCTTGTAATCGTTCCACCAACTGCTGAGGAATATCGTGGTCGGTGACGGCTTGTAAGACTTCACCTGCAGGACAAATGCACCTTCTTTTGCCTTTGCCCAGGGTGGACTTGCCTCCCCGCCGGGGAAGGCCTCAATTGTCCATCACCACCAACAGACTCCTCTCTTACAGAAAAACCACTCGGGAGCATGAAGCTACACGAAAGCCCAAGCCCATCCTAGCCTGCTTCTGATGCTGGAAGGCAGGACGGGAGACGTGTCTGGACAGGTGGCGCGCCTGGGCCCACTCTGCGGGCTGAGAGCCCCAGGCGCTGGGAGACTTGGGAGACGGGAAGAACAGAAACTGGCCACTCACTCAGCTTTGACTCCCTGATATAAACCAACATGTAGGCGTTGGTGCAGTGGCGCACGGAGAGATCGTCATCGTGGCCCCCGTAGTTGTGCTCGATGGCTTCCTCCTTCGTACACCTCGATACCACGTCATCGTCAAATTTACACCACTGCAGAGGAGAGCCGGGAGACATCAGAGGCGGAGCTAAGAAGCACGCACGGGTATTCTAAAATACCTGATGTGATAAGGCCTGGCCCTGCCTCAGAGACTCGTCAGAACTTCCCCTTTCCTCACTCAATGGTCTGGGGAAATTGCTAGCGTTCATCCATGGGCAATTTTGTAATCTACTGAAATAGCTCATCATCTTCTTTTTTTAAAAAAAAAAAGATTTATTCATTTATGCATACAAGAGCTGGGGCATAGGCCAGAGATGCGGGGGGTGAGAGGATTCACCAGAGACACCAGAGTGGGGAACAGAACAGGCAGATTGACCCAAGTACACTGCTGAGGGGAGCAGCGGGAGAGCCAGGAGAGGTCTGTTGTGCCATGTGGGTTGCTCCCTGGCTGGCCAGGAATCAAACCCGCGCTGCAGTGGCTGCGGATTGCTTCATAGATTGCGTCTTAACCCTTGCGCCAACAGGGAGGCCCTCAAATAGCTCATTTTCAACTTAGGGTCCAATCTCCTGAAACTACCGACTTTTTACAGAATTAAAGAAGCCAGTAGTATTGAGATTCCTTTTTTTAAGGATTTATTTTTATTCATTTACGCATACAAGAACTGGGGTGTAGGCCAGTGGTGCAGGGTGTGAGAGGATTCACCAGAGGCAGAGGGGGAGCAGAACAGGTGGAGCTCCTGAAACACACTGCTGAGGGGAGCAGCTGGGAGACAGGAGAGGTTTGCTGCGCCATGTGGGTCACCTCCCTGGCTGGGGATCAAACTCAGGCCACAGTGGCTGCCAAAAGCTTGATAGCACTGAGACTTTAACCCTTACCCCACACCAGGGAGGCCCAGAATTGGGATCCTATGGTGTGGTTATCAAAGTGACCAGGCCCTCTTATCCCACCCGGTGACATCAGGTCCCGACAGCAGGCTCCCCTGGATGAAAACCCCACACAGAGATGTAGGCGAACAGGCAGGGGAAGCATTCTACAGCTGGGGGAAGTGCAGAGTGACTTCTAGCCCGCGCTGCCCCCCACCAGGCCATGGAAGACCATGCTGCTATTAGCCTTAGTGGGAGATCCGTGCCTCACACTAGCCAGAAGGGATTCTCTAAGGTCCAGCACTCAGTGCTGACAAAGAGATGCACAAGAGCAACCATGAACCCACTCTTCATCTTAAAAGCACCAGCAATGAACACACATCGAAACACCAGAGCCAGGAAGGACCCCGCAGCCAGCAAGCCCACCCAGCTGAAACGGCTGCAGTCCCCACTCAGGGTCCCCCCGCCACCTCCCACACTTACTTTGCCATCCCCTTTGGGATTTAGATAAACCACGTAGTGTCCACCATGATTATCTCCACTGTGGACCAGGACTGCATGAAGAATATAATTTGCAGGGTCCTTAGGATCTGTTTTTTGCAAAAATTCATCGAGTGGTAACTGTTCAGGGAACTCAAACCTATTTAGAAACATTAAAAAAACAAAAATCCAGGTTTTAGTCACATGTGACATGTTTCATCACTGGGTTTTATTTGTTGTTAGATCTCTAATTTATTGGCTTTTCTTGATTTGGAAAGGGAAGTCTGATGTACTACTACTAAGGCAGCTGCAACTTACTAGAACAAATATTTCTGCATCTACTAGTACAAGACTTAAAGCCAGATATGAGAAAACGCCTTCAACACTGAGATACCTAACAACTTCAAATTCAACGCTATGACGCGAGTCAGTGTTACAGCCCGTGTACACTGTGGGCAGTTCCGGGTGATTCTGATGGTCCAGGGCTTAGGCCACTGCAGGTTTGAGAAATACACAAATTTGTAAAAAATCAAATTTGGGGAAGGAAGACACATGGAAAGGAAACTCCGCAGTGTGATTTCCTAAGACATCCCGAACCTGACCTGTATTTAAATTATGGGCTCCATAAATATTTCAATTACATGGTGGAAACCCATGAAGAGGAAGTAAGTCAGGGGAGGCCTGCAGTGCAGACAGAGCCAGTGCCCACGTGGCGCTCAGGAATCCTGGCCCAGCATTGCCAAATGTTCTAAATTCCTAAAAGATGCCACAGACCGAGACTTCAACGTGAAATCTCGTGATTTTTTAAAATGTTAGGGACTAATTCCAATGAAAACAAGGTGAGGAACCAACAAAACACATCTGCAGAATGGATTTAGTCTGCAGGTTGCTGGTCGTGATTGGTAGACAGTTTCTGACATAAAAGACAAAAGACAAAGGACGAGCAGAGGCCCAACCTGCGGTGTGTCACCTGGCTGGCTGGGCCAGGCCGCGCTCTCCCTCAAGTCTGAAGGGAGACTGAGCAACCTCTATCTATCCTGTCAAAGCTGGGGCTCAAAGTAAACAGGAGAGAAAGCTAGTGGCAGACACCTGGGACGGGGCACACGAGCCCCACTGCTTCTGCATTCTTGGAAATTCTAACACCTTCTAGAGTCAACATCAATAGAAACTACAAAATACCGGAGAATCCTATTTAAATAGGATCTATCATGGAATTCCATTTCGGAGGTAACGTGTACATTCCAGCCAAGACCACACTGACTGGAAATCCTGAGGACGGCTGACCCAGAGGAGCCGCAAGAGCTCCGCCTGCAGGAACCCTAACCTGCCACAGAATCCGGAACCTCTTGGGTGAAGCGACCCCTGTAGCATTACAGTGCTGACACCTGGGCAAGAGGGAAACCTCAATAAATCAGAGACGCCCTTAAACTCCAAAGACTCCACAGAGCACCGACTACCCCGCCCAGGACGACGGGGACCTGAGGTCCAGCCCACAACAGCTCACCTGTCGTTGATCTTGATGTTTTGGTCCGTCTGAGGGTCATACATAAACCTCATCAGCTGCAGATGTAACACTGGTGGCAGCGTCAGGAATTTCACTCCTTTCTCTGCTTCCTGAATGACAAGGAAGAAGCGCTGCTTTCCTCTGCCTGACACCCAGCAAGGAAGGCAATAGTTTTTCTGCTGCCCGGTAGGGACTTTGGTGGGGGAGGCAGGGGTAGAGGCTCCATCTGGTGCCTTTCAAAGGTTCTGATTGGATCAGTATCTGGGCTGCCATTAACAGAACTGCTACAGCAGCCTGTGTGAGAAATCTCTACTCCGGACTTTATCATCTAGTCCAGCAGCAGGGCGTGGTGAGGTGGAGTAAGACTGGCCACTGGGGGCCACACCACAGTCATTAACAAGTAGGAAACACAGCTATGGCAGCAGCAACACACTCAGAGCTCTCTGAGATAGAACAGCCTGACGAGAAATAACATCCTTGTAAGTTCTCAATACCAGCAGCAGGTGAAAAAAAGGCACGAGTGGGTCTTTAAAGGACAACCATGCAAAGAAAGGGCAGCGCGGCAGGGGACGGCAGCACAGGCGCCCGGTACCTGCAGGCCGTGCTCCCCGGCGTCGTACTTGTTGTCCCCGTCCAGCTGCTCGACTGCCACATAGTCCACGAAGGATTCAAAGACTTTAAAGAGAAAGAGGAAAAAAGTCAACACCAGTGGCCACTAGAGCTCTGAGGATGACATGGCCGCCCAGCTCTGGAGCGGGACACAGGGCGGAGAGACCAGCTCTGAGCAAGGACTCAGTCTCCACCCAAACTGTCGAATGCGCCAAGTCCCCTCCAGGGCGCCAGCAAAGAGGTGACCACTCTAAGGATACCAGGGGCCACAAATGGCAACATGGGAGTTGACGTTTTAACGACTTTAACAGAATCAAATAACAATCAAGTACAAGTTCTGTCCAGACGCGTGTGACAGAGCTACAGTCATGAAGACCATGTGAGAGCGGACCCACGGCTGGAGGGAGGGGGCGGCTGTGGACTCGCCAGGGCCGAGGGGCTAGCGTGACAGCTGCTAACACTGACTGCACCGATGAGTGAAATTTGCCAGAAGAAGTGGTTTTCTCACACAGGCACCGAAAACAATGTGAGTGAGAGAGAGAGAGAGAGAGAGAGAGAGAGAGAGAGAGAGAGAGATGTGAGGTGACAGATGTGTTCACGGACTGGATGAGGAGTCCTTTCCGATGCGGGTATCACTGTAAATACCACGACTTCATTGGGTGTACCTCAGTAAAGCTGGGGGGCAACAGGGTGTCAGTGGTGCACACGCAGACAAAGGAAGAGCTCTGACAGGCCGCTACACGGGCACCGGGAGTGCGCAGGAGGGTCGAGGAGCCGCATGCCCGATAACCTCGACCCCCAAACCACACAAGTATGAAGAAAAGGCGGCTCCGTAAAGAGACGATATATTCAAAGCAATAAAAATGCTACAAAGCAATGAATCAAGCGATTGGTAGGTGCAGTATGAACGACTCCCGTGGATACAGGGTTGAGCAAAAGAAAGGCGAGACGGGCCACACCCCAGCTATTCCTCCACACGAACATTTAAAATTACAAACATTAGAAGCCCCACTCGTGGTTTCCTGAGGCGGGGCTTGAGGGGCATGGGCAACGCTTCTACTTCTTCACTGGCTGGGTTCACCCGAGGGAACTGTTCATTTGTGATCTGAGCAATGTTCTGTCTCTAGCCCAAATTTCAGTAAAGATCACCGGTGTAAATGAGACACTAACCCCAATCAGGAAGTTATCAAGAGGGTGTGCCAGTGTACACAGAGAACTTACTGTTTTTCTTTCCTTTTATACTTAGTTGAATGTCATAATAATCTTCTCTTCTATCAGACCGATAGTCTACTTCTTTACACTGGATGTAAGACTAAAACAAGGAAAACAAGGTGGCTGAGTATCAACAGGCAGACACCAGCACAGCCCATCTCTGTACCCCCAGCGCCGGCACATACCACCATCTTGCCCCTGAACAGCTTGGGGATGGTGCCCTCCACACACGTGCCCTTCATCTTGTTCTCCACGTTATCCAGCAACTGAAAGAGAAAATGTTGGTTTTAAGCAAACTTTAGGCTGAGCGTTTCAAGTCATTTGAAACTTGACAAGGAAATTTCAATGCTCAAAGAAATGCTAGACTATAAATATTATGACCTTTGGCATGCAATTATCAAAAACATACAAAATCTTCTTCCTTGCTTGGATATTTACAAAAATATCTACATGCAACAGTTGAGATTAACCCTTTACACAGCCTTTGGAATGAATTAGTAATCTGTAGTGCCTTTAGAAGCATTTTTTATATTCATTTTTACCTCTGTGGAAAAGCATGTAAATTGATCACTAAACTTAACTCGTATTGGTCCACACCAAGAGATTAATGAGGTTGAGCCTGTCAACAGGATTGACTGGTTTGTCCATGGATATTTAATGAACTGGATTCAATCCAGCTAGTGCTGCAAAAAAGAAAACACACCTTGCCCAGCCAATCACCTTGAATCGCCATTGTGTGTGTGTGCACGTGTGTGTGTACGTGTACGCACGTCTTTCATCACAACTGCAAGAACGGTAATTCGCTAGTAACTAAAGACAGTTCTGAGGAGAATCACCCACATACTTCTGTGTAAAGGAGGGGTCTGCCAAGCTACAGAAGTCACTGCTCTAGATGGAATGAGGAGAGCGACCTACGCCAATCTGTGGCTTTTTGACTAATAACTCGGGCAGATGTAACAAATCAACAAATTGGGCTTATATTACCTACTACTATTTAAATTCAAACTTCCTCTTCACATTACACTTTTCAAATATTTTTTTTGTCTTTCATTTCTCCCTGGCTTTTATACTACACAGATACTACATTTTATTTCTAGCCTGGTTTTGGGCATATTTGAATTAGGATGATGTGAAGTAGGGCTAAGGTTTTACTCGGTGTAACAGCTTCTGAGAGTGCTTCGAAATATTAAATGTAAAGTAGTAAACAATTGTAGTTTGGAACTTACCACTCGACACAGCTCTTGAACATCATGTTGCATGAAGCTATCTAAAGTTTCCCACCTTAGAAAGATAAAATGAACATTTATATTTCAACTTTCAAATTCAAGTTAATTAAAAAGCAACTTAAAAAAAAAAACTATACTGTGTATCATCAGCCATTTATTTAAAATTTATTTTTGGAGATTGTAATTCCAAGATAAACGGAATTTTAATAGGACAACAAAATGGTCACAACTTTTAATTTAAAACTTCTGAAATCTCACTGCAAGAGCAGGTGGTGTTTGCTCGAGTAAACAAAAATTCATTTGACAGCTATACATGTCCTTTTTTAGCAAGTAAAACTTTCTGGTGGCAAATTATTTCCTAGGCAAAGTGCTAACACAAAGCCGCTGTTTCCAAAGAGATGGGACATGACACGGCGCCGCCAGCGGCAACACGGGGGGACCCGCGCTACGCTGCCTCCAGCTCCTCGGTGCCGCTGTCCAGCGTGGAGACACAGGCAGGGCAGCAGCGGGGACGTACCCGAATGACTTTGTCAGTTTCTTCGTTCCCACCGGCTTATCGCTGTGCTGTAACTCGTAGAACACTCTTTGTAAAGCTAAAGGGACGCTTTTGGATGAATCATCGCCCTCTGTTGGCATCATGTAAACAGCCTAAAAGAATTGATTCAGAAATAAAAATAGAATCTTATGGGAAAGCTTCACTTCTAATATCCCAGTGCTACGGCAGTGGCTAGGGTTTTCACCTATCCCAGGTTGTAAGTCAAAGTCTGTTTGTTTTCAAACCATGAAAGTCTTTACGGACTTTTATTTGGGAAATAAAGTATTTTAGAAGTTATCTGTAGTTCCCCATCCAAAGAGAACCACTTTCATTTCATACTTCTTGGAGCAACATTTTTAAATGAATATTACTTTCTAACAAAAAGTTTGATGAAAACTTGAATGTGACTGAAGTGGCCACGTCCAGCCACCCCCCTCACGGCAGGCCCCTCTTGGGTGGCCAGCGCTGTCTGGCAGGGGAGCACAGCGGCACTGGGAGGCCAGCAGATCAGCCATGTCCCCCACCAGGAGGGCAGTGGCCCCTGCTTCTCCACATGTGCACGCGGTGTTCCTGGAACCCAAATGGCGGTCCACGCGGGGTCAAGGGCTCTACTGTCTGTCTCGGTATTCTGACGGGAGTAAGTAGTCTCTATAAGAAGTGAAAATGAAGACTTGACAGCCAATGCTTTTTCAACTAGTTGATTTTGATACAAAACTTTTCAAATGTTGCTGCTGAAGGCTCTCATGTATTTTTTTTAACCTTTATTATTTCTGGCGCAATTCAGGTTAAGGCTAATAGCTGCAGTCAATGTCCAGCACCAGGTCCTGACTGCCCAAGCACCAAGGAGTCCAGATGGTAAGGAGGGGCCCTTTCTGAGCAGAGCTCTGTGCCCCAGGAAGAGACATGGCAAAGCCTGGCCCTGAACACGTGAGAGAAAGGGGTGGGTGGAAGGTCGAGGGAGAGAAATACCATCCATTTACCTTTCGCAGTTGATTTGTGAAAAATAAAGTCTGCAGCAGGCTGTTCATGTAACAAGTCGCTCCCTGATTCTTTAAACCGACATAGCCCGTGTGCTTCTTTGAATCCCACCTACAAGATCAGTTCGAGGTTGAGGGAAAACTGCACAGGACAGCTCCTTGCTCCTGCAGTGTGAGTGGAGCGTGGTGGCTGACACCTGACTGCTGTGCATGGCCCCTCTCCCCACCAGCCTGACACCCCTCCAGGCTAGTGACCATCGCTGGCCTGGGGCACCGAGGAAAGCACGGCCAGGAGCGCTCATCACCAGCTCCCTGTGGCGGTCACAGCGCTGCTCGCCGAGCGCGTCCACCGGTGCACACTCCAGAAGCAACTTAAGCCCACATCTGCTGACATCCACTTGGCCACCACTGACTACGGCGAGCCCTCAGGTGCTGACCCTGCTGCCTCCCTTGTCACACTGCTTCACCCTGTGGGTCTGGGTATGACATGCCCTTAGGTGCCAGGTGCAGAGAGCAGGAGAAGACGGTGAAATGCATCTTCTCTGTTGAGCCACACACACAGGAAAAGGCGGGCATGTACGTGGACCTGGCAAGTTTTACTCGAGACTCTGAAGCTACAGTCTTTCCACTTGATTCTATTGTGGTTTGGTGGGTTAGGGAAAAAGGCCAGAGTTAAGAGTCCCCATACTGCCCCCCCAGATACTAACAGGAAACAAGACAGAATGCCACTGGAAAGCAGAACCCCCATCTCCCTCTGCGCTGGATTCAGAGTCGTGGACAAGAACAACCACCCTCAGCAGACAACACTGGTGGAAACACTATTGCATGTTGTGGCCACCGGGAATGTGACCTGGGACTGGCCCGTGGCCTGGCAAATATACTCAGGTGTACGCACTGGCTCTGGTTAAAATGCACCTGTGTGGATGTAAATAATTTTAAAAATTGGCAAGAATCACAAGAATCCTCAATTACAGCCAGCTATTAAAAACTATAATTGGGGCCTCCCTGGTGGTGCAAGGGGTTAAATCTCAGCACTATCAAGCAAGCTATCTGCAGCCACTACAGCACGAGTTCAATCCCCAGCCAGGTAGCTACCCACATGGTGCAGCAGACCTCTCTTGTCTCCCTACCACTGCTCCCCTTAGCAGTGTTATTTCAGTAGAGCTGCCTGTTCTGCTCCCCACTCTCTGGTGAATCCTCTCACCCCCGGCACCTCTGGCCTACACCCCAGTTCTTGCGTGTGTGTGTGTGTGTGTGTGTATATATATATATATATATACACACACATATACATATATACATACATACATACATACATACATATATATATATATATGAAATCTTAAAAAAACACAAAACATAGTCATAAAGGTTTAGGTGCTAATGATACAACAGATTTTTGACAAGTTGAGACTGAACCAAAATGTTTTGACCCTGAAGACTCCAAAGCCCGATACACATTTTTAGTTAAAGACATGGGATCATAAACAATAGGTTTTGAAAATGGGGTGGGGAGAGGAACTACACAAATTTTAGAGACATAACTGTTTTTGCCCCTGATGCCCCAGTACCTGGGCTACCCTAGTGCTCTCTCCCCGCCCCACCCAGGTCAGCCTGGCACTTGTGCCAGAGCAGGGTGCCATGGATCCTGGTGGGCAGTAAGTGAGGCTGGGTGCCGGCTGCTTAGCGCCTCCCACCCCGAGCACAGCAGGGGACCTGCAGCCCTGCCGGAAGTCTGCTGGCCCACACACCTGCTCCCTATTTCCCATCTGCCCTTCACAAGTGCCTGGTGCTCCACCCAACCCCAGACTTGCCCACCAGTGTCTTTACTCCCTACTCCAGTTGCGTTGTCTCTCCTTGTTAACAAACAACCCCATCCCAAAATTCCTTAAGGCCAAACACATCCCATGGCGTCAGCACTCCGTGTCCAGTGGCAGAGCAGGTCCCCGCCTGAGCCCCCCATCGCCACACACTGGTGCACCTCCCAGTCGTTCAGCCTCTGCCCTCCTCAAAATCCAACCAGATGTGTCCCACTGTCACTGCTCAGCGCGGGTCCCAACAAGGCCACCCGACTAGTCGCTCCTTGCAGACAGAGCCAAGGGCAGTCCTGACCTAGCTGCACCCCGGGCACAGGGCCTTCGGGCAGACACTGCTCAGCAACGGACCGGGGGTGAGGCTGGCACGCGCCCCCTGTGCCACGTGGGCCCAGGAGCGAGCACAGGGGGTGAGGCCTGCTGGGTCCCCATCTGTCATAGGCAAGTGCATCTCGAAAGTCAGCACAGGACCTTTTGTTAATAGCGCCCAATTAAAGAAAAACTTACGCAACTCCATGGGGAGCATCTGCCTGTACAAAGACTTCAAAAGTAACTTTGTCATCATCTATAAATCCTTTCTCAGGATCAGTCACTTCCTATAAAAAAACGAGAATATTCATGTCAGTTATAGCAATTCAATTAAGAAAAGAGGGAATATTCAAGAACTGCCTAAGACACAAATGCTCACTCTAGCTCCCTGTACTTCACAGACTAAACTGCCACTAAATTCTGATTTCACTGCTTGCTCCTCTGGGAGAGGCTGAGGCTCTCCCAGGCAGGCAGCAGCATGACGGGAGGAAGCTGTGTGAAGGAAGAAAATGTGAGGTCCTCCAGCAGGGATGGCAGGAGCCCCCTTTCTAAAGCTTCCACTGGCGTCCCCTGTCCCAGCAGCCCAAGCGGACTTCTTGGGAATCCATTCAGTTACATGGCAACAGGCCAAGCTGGGGGAAGGCCCCAGAACCAGCATTATTTCTCTTAAGGGAAAGTCGATCTATCAGGAAAGCTATTAACTATGTCACTGTGTCTGGCAAGAGTGGAGACTGGCGTTCAGGTGCTGCTAAAACTGCTGGGAACACATTTGCACAGGCGCCCGTTTCCCTTCAGAAAACACACACTTGGATTCTAAAATGAACAGAAGGGTCTAAAGAGTAAATGAAGGAGGGAAGAAGCAATGACGCTTAGACTAAATATGAGGTTACTTACACTCCAGGCCATAAAATTGGAAAATCCCCAATCATTTTCTTTATGGAAGAACAAATGACTAATTCGACGGCTGAATGACTTCTCGTCATCTCTGTAGTTTATTATCTTGAGCACAGCTTGCGCGTGACAAGACCACGACCTGTCAAAGACAATAATCTAAGCCTCTTTGGACATTTAACGGATGTTTACACATTTTTAAAGGACACTAAAAACCAGCACACACGACGTGGCACTTGTGTTTTCTATTTCCTCTTTCTTCTCCCGGTGGCCAGGAGACAGAGGACTGCAAGGGTGTGGCGCGCCCCTTCACACGCACGGTCTAGAGCAAGAACGCGCGTTTTTTTAATTTCCAAAAGATTTTAAGTTTTTTTGTTTGCAACTATAAAACAGTTTCTAAGCTCTCAGCACTGGCCATAGCTCTAAGACTAAGGCCCAGACAACAGTCTAGTATTAGCACAGCGGAATGTAGGGCCCGCATTCATGACAAAGAAAGGGAACACGACAACGGTGCTGTTTCTCTACAGGAACAGACTTAAATATCTGGGCTTGAAAGGTATCACCAGTAACACGGGCCTCGCAGCGCCCCTGCCGTGGCCTCTGTGCACAGGGTGGGCGTGGGCCCCAAAGCCCACATAGGGGTGATGGCAGATGCGGCCGAGTATGGGGCAGACCACAAAGGGCCTTCGGATCAGTGTTTAAATGTTTTTAAAAACCAGAAAGACATCCCACTGTACCCTACTAAGGTCCGCAGTGAAGGGGAGTTACAAGGAAACCCCACAGCTGAACCAAGGTGCTTGCAGCCCTCGGGTGCCACACCTTCTGCCTGTGCAGGAGGATGACGCCAGGCAGAGCTCAGTCTCCCCAAGGCACTGTGAAGGCTGAAGCTGTCTATCAGACGCAAACACTCCCTCATCAAAGCAGATCACAGTGGGAAGGCAGGAAGAGAACCGTGGCCAAAGGTCCAGGCCTGGCCGTACTCTAAACTAACATGGCATTTCTTGAAACTGGATGGTGGCCCCTGGTGCTGTGATAGCACAGCCAGCGCCAGTGCCCTCGGAAGCAGAAGCCACAGGCCCACGGTGGCCCACTCGGGGGTGGCAGGCAGGCCGCGACAGATGGGCCACAAGGTGTTTCTGGGCCCTTCAAACACTCTGTCAACTGAGCTTCTGATCAATGCCAATCAGGAACAGTGACAGATTAGGAGGAAGAGCCAGAAGTTAAACTGATTTTGAGGTTAAATCAGTAAGTAGAAAATGTGAAGTCTCTAATATCTGGTTTCATCGAGAAAAAAAACTTTCCCCAATTTTAAGACATTTGTATGACTCTTTTTAGAAATTCCATGTATAAAAACTAACTGTCCTCCCCAGGAATCAGTCAACACACAGCGAGGCGGTGGCAGGGCCTGAGGAGACAGTCCCCCTGCGGTCCCTGCCACAGCCACCCCAGCCCCTCCCATGGTCAGCAAGTCCACACGGGCTCTGGTTCATGCCCCAGGGCTGCTTGCTTCTTTCACAGGGACTTCAGCTTTTCATTTCAAGAAAAATAGACAATTTTCTAGTTTGGCTAGAATTACCTACTAGTGAGTTTTATAGAGCGAAATGTATTTAATTTAAAATCAAAGAACTATGTGAAGGCAGCAAGGAAATTCAAAAAGAAATGCAAAATTCAAAGAGAGGCCGATCAAATTTGGCTTCCGATTAATGCACTGTAACTATTTGTGGGTTTGTAATTGCATCATTTAAACCGTCTTACGTGGAGTCAGATTCAGCATTGCACTGGAGAAAGAATCCTACGCTTTTTTGGTGTGGTCTGTCTGGATAAAAGCGTGGCATCACCATAATCTTCCATGGCAGATTTCGCACAAAACACGGAGGGCTAAGGACCGACTCACTCAGTCTGCTGAAGCGCTCGACAGTGAACTGGAAGGTGGCCTCGGAGCGCCAACTCGTGTCTGCAAGAAAACACCTTGTCAGTCACAAAGCCCGCTGGGAAACAGAACTAACAGACTTGGAATAAACTATTCTATAGCGCCGCAAACTAACGGCTACAACTGGAAAAGCAAACACACGTTTCCACCTTCTTAAAAACCACAATCGGTGAGGTGATAGTTTGTGTGTGAATGAGCCCTTCCCTATGAAATCCCAATCTCAGGGCTGACAACAGTCACATGCCTTCACTCCTGGAGTCAAGAGTTTGGTGGGTGAGACTGTCTATTCTACTCTCTCTCAATTCCCAAGTAATCCTCCGTGAGTGTAGAGACTTTCGAGAGAGTAAATCAAACAGCTCATGGAACATCTTTTCAAGGGCAGGACTTCTGGAGGGGAAAAAGGCTTGAGACTCAGGCTGCATCTAAAGGAGAGAGATGGAGGAGAGTGGAGAGCGATGACTGGGGGGCGTGGGGGGGCAGCCATGCCCACGGAAGCGCAGCCACTGAGAGGCAAGAAGACCGCTAGGAAGTTAGCCTAAAAATAAATGTCATTTGGATTAGTTCAGCGTTTTGTGAACTGCCAGACTGGACTCCCTAAAGGGAATGGGTTGTTTTTGTTTCTAAAGAAGCTGGTGCCCTCTTCAACATAAACAGCGTAAACTGTGTGAGTAAATTAAACAAGACTGGAGGCAAATTTGAAGGACCAGGCCCTCCACTGATCAAAAGCCAGGTGCTGACACAGTGCCTCTGAGACTCACCTAAAAAGCCACAATTTAGAGTTCCACCTTTTAATGACACTGTCAACCAGCTTTGACTAACCTTGGTGGTGTCGCTCCATGCTTCTCAAACACTCCCCGAGGGGACCCCTCCCACTCTGCTACTGACTCCTGCACCTTCACAGAGCAGCAGCCCAGAACACAGCAGCAGGGCCAACAGCGATGGGTTCTCTAAACACCCTCACTGCTCCTGTCTTCTTGCAGACTGGAGGGGACCAAGGACACACGTGGAAGAGCCACGGCCGACAGAACAACTGGCAGTGGTGTCTGGAAGGCTCCTCTGGGTTGGAATCCGTGCTATCCTGCCCCCAGGGCTGCTGAAGCACGGATGAGATGGGCCAGGGTGGGGTGGGGGTGGGGGTGTTCATTCATAAAAACACTCCCTCTCTTCTTCCCAGTCTCCAAACTTCACAGACACGACCCAGGGCTGAAACAGACTTTTCAGTGTCCAGAAACAGCCGGAGCGCGTGACTCTCTGCATTTGTTCTTGAGAAAACATGTCCATCGGTCCTCATGAGAGGGGGGTGGTCTTTACCAAAGAAAGAATGATCAAGGGCATGAGTGACAGCACCTCCCCTCCCGCCAGACAGTCCTCACCCCAGATGACATACGCGCAGCCCCACAAGGTCACAGAGCCCAGTGTGGATTACATGGGAGAGCACCGTGGGCTGATTGTAATCTCTTCCAGCAGGGGGTCTCTCTTCAATCCCCTCGGTGGGTAACAGTCTACCAAAAAGTAAGAAACTTTCTAGATAATGTCTAGAATAGTTCAGGACAAACAGGAGCCATTTTCTACTTACACACAAGTGACACCTGAGAGCAGCATTTAAACCCTGAAGTAGGCACTGCAGGGGCACTTATGCTATGCCCACTTTGCAGGACAGGAACGCAGGCTTCGCTGAGGATGTGTGGGCATTTTACAGAACGAGAGCTCACCCCAGAGGACTTCAGTAGCTAAGACCTGTTGACTCTGCTGCCTCTGGTTTGCACACTGCCACGGTCTGACTTCACACACCACAGAGCCCAGGCCGGCCCCGGCTCTCTGACAACTGGCCCACTTCATTTTCAGACACAACTAAGCTCTTTGCAGGATTAGATTTCTATACATACAAAATTTATAATAAAATACTTTTTTGTTCTTCGATCCCACGCTTTAGTCAAATTCCTTAATCATTAAAAATTAAATGGAACTCAGTCAGGTACTGAAGCCAATGCTATGGGAAGCCCTTGGGAGACAGAGAAAAGGTGCCGCACCTGGCGCCAGCCTGGCACACAGACGCAGCGCTCAGTTACCACACCAGGAATTACCTTCTAAAATAAGCAGATCAAAAAGTATGCGGGGCCTCCCTGGTGGCGCAGGCCGTTGAATGCAGCACTGTGAAGCTGTCCGCAGCCTCTGCAGAGCTGGTTCTATTCCCACCGGCCGCGGAGATACCCACATGGCACGGCAGACCTCTCCTGCCGCGCCCGCTGCTCCCCTCAGCAGTGTATTTCGTCAGTCTGCCTGTTCTGTTCCCCGCTCTGGCTCTGGTGAATCCTCTCACTCTCCCACACATCTGGCCTGTACCCTGGTTCTTGTATAAATAAATGAATCTTTAAAAAATAAAAAAAGTTCAGCATGAGATTTCATGTGAATGAAAACGCAGCTCTTCGAATCAAAACTCTTCTACTAACTCAATGACTGAAAAAGTTACATTAACACACCAAAACATCAGCCCTGGCACCCATCTTGGCCGACCTCTGGCCTGACTATCCTCCTATGAGGAACCGCATGAGCCTGGTCACTGTCTCTGCCCAAGAAACAGGACTCAGGGGCTTCTGTGTGATTTCTGCAACTTCTGTGTTACTTCAAGTAGGAAATTACTTTGCTAATAAGTAATACAACTGGCATTGTGAAGGTCACAACACATGGTGCAGAACTATTTTATCCAGAGACGCTACCTGCTTGGATGGCGCTGACATTAGCCAGCATTTATTTCATTGCACCATGTATCTTTCTATTTTTTAAAAAAAAGATTTATTTATTTATTTGTTTGTTTATTTATTCATTCATTCAAGCACTGGGTACAGTCAGAAGCACGGGAGGGTGAGAGAATTCACCAGAGCCAGAGCGGGGAACAGAACAGGCAGACTGACCAAGTACATTGCAGAAGGGAGCAGCGGGCGCAGCAGGAGGGGTCTGCGCGCATTGTGGGGCCCTCGCTGGCAGCCAGGGATGGAAGCGGCGCTGCAGAGGCTGCGGGCAGCTTCGCAGCCCAGTTCTCAACCACTGCGCCACCGGGGAGGCCCGCACCATGTATCTTTCTACTTAAGGGACAGGAGGCCTAAGGCTGTGCCAAATGTAGCCACCATAACCTCTGTCAGCAGCTTCTGACATCTCCAGAGGCGCAGCGGTGCTCAGCCCGCAGCGTGCCTGTGAGCATACCAACCGAACCTGCACAGGATAGAGGCAGGTGCGCCAGCCTGGGCTTCCCTTGCATGAAAAAGTAGAAGAAATAATATTTTGGGCTTTTTAAAATCAGAACACTTCGCTGAAATTTTCTCAAAGGTATGCTTATCATTTTATCAAACTTTAATTACTCATTTTAAGAAGACTTTGCTTCTCAAGTCCTAGTTAATTACCAGGAATTACTTTTGTGGCTACCAACGATCTAAATCTAGACCCATCAAAACCTGCAGAGTTTACTGCCTTTGCTCTAAAATTTCTTGGGATCATCTAAGGAACTAAGAATTAAGAATTAAGAAACTAAGATCAGGGCCTCCCCAGTGGCGCAGCGGTTGAGCGCTGGGTTGCGAAGCTGCCCGCGGCCTCTGCTGCCCTGGTTCGATCCCCAGCTGCTCCCCGGCCACCGGAGGAGGGTCCCACATGGCGCGCAGACCCCTCCTGCCGCCCGCTGCTCCCCTCAGCAGTGTACTTCGGTCCTTCTGCCTGCTCTGCTCCCCGCTCTGGCTCTGGTGAATTCTCTCACCCTCCCGAGCTTCTGACTGTACCCAGTGCATGTATAAACAAAAAAAGAAACAAATAAATAAAGCATGCCTCTATTAAAAAAAAAAAAAAAAAAGAAACTAAGATCAAAGTAGAGCAGGTAGGTACAACTAGAAAGTGATTCTAAGACTTGCCTGCCCTTTTGTGTCAGCAGGGTTTTTGAACTTCGGCCCTGAACACTTTTTGTAATCTGGGTTGTTGACCATTTAAACTGTGGCACAAGAAATGTCCCTTATTAAGGGGCCCATTCTGCACAGCTGATCATCGACAACCCCAACCCAACCCAGTGCGATCCAGGTGTTCACCCTGCTAAAAGATGTTAAAAGCAGATTCAGTAAAGGGGGGGGGGGTGGTGTTTAAAGTCCAGAGTCCTGGGGGCCGTGCTGCAGTAAAGCGGCTTGCTGAATGAACCAGCACTCTTCAAACTTCCAGACTCCTGAGTACTTGCTGGACACACTGGGAAACGCTGCCCTCGTCTCAGACCTCTGTTCCTAGAACCAGAGTCCCCTCCCTCCCACCTTCGCCATCAAATGGGTAAGACTTCTCAGTGTCATGCTCCCGGGCTTTTGAAAAGGCACCCCATCTTCCAGACCAGGGAGAAAGTACTCCTGGAGACCACTCAACCTTTTCTCGTACTTGCACCACTTGCAGTTCACAACAGGGGCACTGCCACAATTCTATGATTTAGCACCATTATTTTCTATGAATAATTTAGTGAAATTTGCCTCAAAGGGAGATGGGTTATTTTCTGTACACCACAGATCTCAAATGAGGCCACCAGGAGGCAGGTGGCAACGTCTAAAAGTAGTTGGGACAAAGCGGGGGACACTGGCATCCTATAAAGCAAGGGACAGCCCCCCCTGGCAACAGAGCCAAGGTGCCTTTATCTACACCTACACCTCCTCCTGAGACCTTCGCCTAAAAGCTCCCGTGGGAAGATTAGCACAGCACTTACTCTGGGAAGAGTTGGAGCTGCTCAGGGTGGGTGGACCCAAAAGTGCATTCAAGAGGCCTCCGACTCACACCTGGCGCCTAAGACCTGCCTTGCCTCCCCAAGTGCACTGAGTCACTTTTGGCACTCGGGTGCCTAAAATCCAACCAAGAGCCCAGCAACCACAGAGACCACTCCCACACGTTGCCCTGGGTCTGCGTGGACAGTGCACTCCACAGGTAACAAAGCAGCGGGGTTCAGACCACGCCTCTTTACCTTCCTCAGATATTGCCTCAGCCAGCTGCCAGGGGGAAAGCCGCACTGTGAGACAACTCTCAGCTACGGCTGCAGTTTCTCATGGAGGCTCAACTTTTGGCAGGAGGTCTGAACAGCAGTCCTTCTGGTGGTGCAGCCCGTGGCTGATGGTCTCTTTCAACTGCCCCGTTACTCCCCTGGGAAGGACACAACCCTCATGAGGATGGATGGACATGCTTTTGACAGAACACGGTTTCATATTACACTGCAAGATTCCAGGGCTGCATAAAGCGGCTGTGGCCGCCACGCTACCATCTCACACTTCAGTTTGGACCGTGCAAAAGCACAGGTCATGCGATCTGATAAATTACTATAAAGAAGAAATAGCCCAGAAAGAAAGTGATTTCCTAGGCACAAAATGTCCATGCATACACTTTTTCACATAGAAGATACAGACTAAAAGTTAAGTGTAGGAGAATGAAGCCCAAAACTCAAATGTGATTTCATACCTGAGGGGAGAGTAAGAGGAATCACCAGCTACAGACACTGACGTGATGCCCCCACAGTGAGGACGCAATGGAAAGCCAAGCTCCAATGCCTAAGTGTCCTGCCACAAACTCACAGGAAAAGGACGGCAGACCTGTTCTGAAACTAACAGTGGCTAGAAAACTGTAGGCATGAGTAAATACCCATTGATAACAAACTTCTGTAAACCCTTTCGTTGCAGCCGGGGAGAATCAACTGACCTTGAAGTTTGTGGGCAATCTTTAAATTCAAAACCAAAACAAATATCTACACTTTCCTCAGATACAACCTTCTGAAATCTACCTACTCTTAAGAGACTCAGAAATGCTCAAGGCATGTGCATCGCATCTGTTCGTGTTTCTGACAGTTTTCCGCCCAACGTAAGAAAGCAACCCGTGTGTACTCACCATCCTCCATATCTTCCTCTGTGTTGTTATGCCCATCGCTCATGGCTACATTCCCGTTGATAACAGGGTTTTGAGTAATTCTTGGTGGGTCATCTGTATCTCCAGCTTTAAAGGAAGCAAAGAAATTCCATGATTTTTACCTTTCTAGCTTGGATTAAACAGAGCACTCCCTCCCTGCCGTTCCCCTCCCAGATTCAGTTATCCTTGTTTAACTGGTCCAAAAATACTACATACACACATACAAAAAAGAAAGAGACCATATTTGCTTTTAATTATGTGAATTATGTGAATGTACATATATTGTTATTGTTCCTATTGTTAATTTCTCACTCTGCCTAATTTATAAATTAAACTGGTTCACAGGTATGTATGAATAGGAAAAAAAAATTATACAATAGGGTTCAAGCCATCCATGCTTTCAGGGACCTACTGGGGTCTTGGAACACATTCTCTAAGGATAAGGAGAGACTTATCTGTAAGCAAAAAAACATTTTTATTTTTGATAACTCCGAGACACTAATAAGTTCCAACTGTGTCAAAATAAACTCAGTCAATCCAAAAGTATTTAACAGTGAACTTCTGCTTTCAAAATGCTAAATGGAATTTGAATATATACTATACCACACAATAATCTGCTCCATTTGCAATGATATTTATTTTGAAATTGGTTATCTATTCATTAAAACTCAATCTTAGGGAAAACTTTGCTTTACTAAATATGTACAATTCAGTGTACACTAGAACTTTTCCTGTAGACAAATGTCAGTGCCTTAAAACAAGGTGCACAATTGCTGTACAAAGCATAAATCCACCAAGGCAGGACTGGCGGGGCTTGGGAAAGGCAGCACAAGCGAAACAGGGGAAGGTCCTGGGGAAGACGGGCATGTATGGAGCATCTAGAAAGAATCAAGAAACTAATAAAATGGCTTTGTCACTGTAAATGACTGTGGAAATTTGGACTGAAAAACATTTACATATAATCAGACACATGGATTCAAAATTTAAACACCAGAAATGGCAGATATAAGGTGTAGGCCCCAACTGTAACATTCTCATCGCTATTCCACTGACTTAAAAACAATCGTCTTATACGGACAAGGTGCATGATTTGAAAGGAAATGAGTTAGGATATAAGCAGCCAGAAGGCCACACTTCACATTGCAACCTCCTGCTTCCACACGTTAGAACAGCTAGCTGCAACTATCACTGGCCTCCATAACACTGCCTTTGTAGTCAGCTTTCCCTGACACACAGACATTCCAATAGAAAGCGGTCTCAGCTACAAACCAGATGTGGTTTTTAAAATAGTTACACAGTTGGGTCCTTGACTTCCAACATTTCAGAACCTTTCCACCACGTGGGGGGGAAAGTGATCTGATTCAGCACCACGGATAGCGCTCTTCCCTTTCCCTCACTAGACACTCTCCAGAACCCAAACTACCAAGGGCACTGTACACACACATTTATATACACATTATATCAACTACCCTTCACCCCAAGCATCTCTACGCATATCTCAGAAATCCTGGGAAGCCAAGAACCAGGTATTACCGCCAGATTTAGACAGGCCATTTCCAATCTTGATACTCTTACATTGCTTATTGCTTATTAAATACCAATATACTTGCTATCAAACACAGGGCCTCCCCTGGTGGCACAGCAGTTGAGCGCTGGGCTGCGAAGCTGCCTGCAGCCTCTGTAGCGCCGGTTCGATCCCAGGCCGCCGGCGAGGGCCCCACATGGCGCGCAGACCTTTCCTGCCGCCCGCTGCTCCCCTCAGCAGTGTATTTCGTCAGTCTGCCTGTTCTGTTCTCCGCTCTGTCTCTGGTGAATCCTCTCACCCTCCCGCGCCTCTGACTGTACCTAGTGCTTGTATAAATAATTATTTAAAAAAAATGCTATCAAAGACATGTACATTTTTTAAAGAATATACTCTTTAAAATTTCTTTATTTTTTAAAAGATTTATTTTCATTTACACAAGAACTGGGGTACAGTCCAGAGTGCGGGAGGGTGAGAGGATTCACCAGAGACAGAGTGAGAAAACAACAGGCAGAATGACTGAAATACACTGCTGAGGGGAGCAGCGGGGAGACAAGAGAGGTCTGCTGCGCCATGTGGGAATCCCCCTGGCCGGCAGAGATCGAACTGGCGCTGCAGAGGCTGTGGACAGCTTCACAGCGCTGTGCTCAACCCGCTGCACCACCGGGGAGGCCCCACATGTACATTTTTTTTTTTAAACTGGCCCCTTGATTACCACATCCTGACACAAAATCTGGGGGAGTAGAAAACAGAGATATTCTTTTTTGCCGCTGGTCAACTTTCAAACATTAAAAAAAAAAAGTATTTTGAAATGTCTTTCACCAACATTTATCCTCCTTAAATAATCAAATCATAAATATTTTGAAGAAAACCTCCCTGAAGACCTATGAAATAAATAAATGGTGTATTCCAACCTAGCAGTTTCTTAAAAAGGTTCTCAAGGTACTATATGCAAAGTTCTTTATGTTTTTTTTTAAATTAAGGCATCAAACAATATGATCATATAACCTTTGTTATAAAGGAAGAAGAATAGGTTGGGATAAGAAAATATACATTTCCCCCTACATAGGTCAAACACTGGGTATAAGAAAGCAGGATTTTTAGAAGCAGCAGAGTGATTTCTCCATTGATACATGCACCCACCCCCCATGAATGGACTGTTAACCTTAAATTTGCTTGATGTATGCCTGGTATTTTTCATTTAGAGTGTCAGTTCAAATCTTGAATTGATGTATAGTTTGTAGTGCACAAATGCAGAATGACACAATTCTCTGTATACGAAACAAAGCGTGGCTCCTAAAACTAGGAGGTAATGAATGTAAATGAAAGCAGGCTAAGACAGAATTACAACTGATCCATAATTCTGAAGATCCTGATACAAGTGAACTCAGATGACAGCAGAGAGAAGGCAGCTTGTTTCGCTGGCTTGCAGGACTCATTGAAGATGGTGACTGGAGATAGCCTAGTGTTTTACGAGGAAACCCACTCTAGTGTGAGGACAGGATGTCTCCCTGGCAGCTGCCCCCTGAGAGGCCAGGCAAGACCTCTCAGGTGAGAACTGGGCTCTCCTGAGCAATTCCCATCCTTTATACACGCGCCACGGCCACGTGCTAGACGGGCCCATTTGCGCTTTTCTCCCTGTCACAGGCATGGCAGTGAAATGGCGAGAAGGCACTAGTTTGTCCACCATGTACATGAGGGACCTGATCATAGACAGGCCCTGGGAAGCTCCCAGTCATCGGCCACAGGGCCTCTGCAGAAGTTGGCAGCCCAAGTCTAGTTCCCAAGGGACAGAAGATCCAGTTACAACAGGATCCTTATAAATGAGCTGGTTCAGAAGCAAGAGGATTAAAAATTTAATTAAGACTTGGTAAGTCCCTGGACCAGAATTAAATGATGAAATCACCCAATACCCACCGAAGTCTGCACTGGGCCTCCAGAAATACAAGGGACTGCCTTCGCATCAAAGGATGTGTGCAGTGTGGCGCGCGCATACATACACACACACACACCCCCCCACCCACACACCACTTGGTGCTATAGAATCTGATGAACCACCTCCTTGAATCTCCCCAGACGCATTAGTTCTCATTTGGTCAAACATGAACTACAACACTTATTTTTTAGACGTAACCACCTCAAACAAAATTGGGGATGTCTTTGGCGTAAGCACCAATGAAAAGACAGAATGCCTCAAATAAACAGACAAAAATAAGGTCCTATATGCCACATGTCTGTAGGAAAAACAAAATTATTCTCAAATACACATATGACTCCCAGAAAGACAGGCCACGTGCATTGTTCCTGATTAGCAGGCCCTTCGAGAGGTGATTTATATACATGTATGTGTATATACAGCCATACATAAAGCACGCACACGCGCGCACACACACACACAGAGCACCACCTTTAAAGAGTGACTTTAGAAACACAAAAGGCCACCTGGCCAGTTATAAGGCTGTATTTCTTCCTCTCTGAGGGGGCCTATGCCTGTATTTGGTTTTTCTTCTCCTTGACTTCCATCTGTGACGTCATAGCACAGAACCCCTAGCCCAAGAGCGCTGGCAATCACTATGGAAATGATGGTCTTGAATCTCACCCCTGGATGAGATAACAGAGGAGGCAGAACAACTCTCATTTGCTGGCTTTGACATTTTCTATTACTTGCACAAATATTTCTCAAACCTCTCTGGAAAAGGCCTGGGGTTTAGGGGAGGGGATAGCACAACCACCACAATAAACCCCACAGCCCTCCAGCCCATGCGCTGCCACCTAGCGGCACCCCAGCCACAAAGACCAGCCGCACCTCGGGTTCCTCCAACTTTCCAACCAGTGCCTACAACCTAGTGAGCAAAATCCACTGGGCAAAAGGGGCAAAACACAGGGAATCCCAACAAAGAACACACGGCTAACTCAGTCCCTGGAGATTGACCTGCACATCTTGGTCTCACCCATTAGCCCCGAATTCCAAGTCAGAGCCCCTGGGAGAGTCTCTTCTCTCCCCTGGCGCTGAACCCATTTGAAAGACTACTACATTAAAGAGAGGCTACTGAGGTTAAGTTAGAACATTAGTATCTTTCTGCACATTCTTTTCTCAATCGGCAATCCCAAACATATTTCAGAACAACAGTTTAAAGGGTCGGTATTGGTTCTGGAAATCCGTCAGCAGCGCAGGGACCCCACTCTGAACTCCTGAGTCACCTTCTCGTCCAAGCCTGTGGATCCCCGCCATGTCTGCATGGCTCTGCAGCAGAATCTGCTGGGGCTGGGGGAGGGGGGTTCTCTCCACATCAGAGTGACTGCATAGAACCTCTGGGCGCCCAACCTCAGCATTCCTTTTGATTTAAAGCTCCCCACAAAATTCTTGTTTTAGGACTAGAAACTTACTCAAGCAACGTCTTCAATTTACACAGTCACCTGCAAAATGTTACATGGTCCAAGAACAGAAAAGGGCCTCGACGGGAGCCTGGAGTCTGGGTACCAGCCCCTAGCTGGTGCAGAGCACACACGGCACTGACTTCGCTGTAAGTCTAAGCCAAAGAAAAGCTTTTTAAAAAGAAAACAGAAAACCCTCAGCTGACACAAAATCTCTAAGGAAAAATTTTGAACATTCACATGAACGTGTCCTGGGACATGAAATGCAACCCCCGCCCCCACGCAGCTCTCCAGGAGCACGAGGGGCCCGAACAGCAGCAGGACAGGAAAGCTCCCCGGGTGGTCACTCACTGGACGCTGGTGACAGCCAGGCCCCAGCACAGATGTTACCGCCAAAGCATCTCAAGGCCCTGGGGGAGGAGTGAGGGAGCCATCTACCCCCTTTACAAAGGCCCCCGCGGGCTGGGAGCAGCCACCACCACACCAGGGTCCCCGCGGGGCACCCGGGGCACTCCAGAGGGAGCCAGGGCTGCAGGGCACTGAAGCAACCGCTCCACTTTCTCTGCTTTTGCTCCACAGATAGTGTGTGCGCCCCTGTGGCCATCTTCTCCAGGAGGAAAGCTGTTGTGGCTGCGTAGCTGCAGGCTCCAAGCAGACCAGAGACTCTGGACAGGAAGAGAAAGAAAAAGCCCCGAAGCTGCAAGAAGGCTAAAGTTCTTTCACTACGTCTGCTTTTATAAATGCCTCCTCTCAGAACAGCCTTCACGATGCCTAATCTACACTCTGGCGCAGGATCGCTCCAATTTCATTTTTTGGATTAAACTTGAGATAATGATAGATTCATTTCTGCTTTACCCAGTTTCCCCACAATAGTACCATTCTCAAAACCAGGGAACAACATCCACAGCCAGGAGCCAGCCGTGGATGAAACACTAATTCTGTCCCTGACAGCAGCTCTTGTTTGTGACTCGGCCACGTCTGTGCCCCCAGCCGGGACCCTCACGGCTCCAGCACAAGCGCCTGGGCTGCCCTCACATCACCCCAAGCTCCCGCGCTGATTCTCTTGCATCAAGGCTGCCACGTGAAGGGACGTGTGATGTTTAACCTCTGGAGTTGCCTTTTCTCCCTCAGCACAGTCCCCTTGGAGCCCACACCGGTCTCCACACATGCTCAGAGCCGGCCCTGGGGGGACAGGACCAGGCCCGCCACTCACCCACTGCCTCCGGGCTCTGTCCAGTCCTGGCGAGGCGCTACAAAAGCTGCTATCAACATTTTTGTACAGGTCCTGGCCTCTCCTTTCCACTTTTGGATTTTAAAGACTAAAAGCCCCCTGCAACAAGGCAGACACTGGGTGCAGAGATGAGTGAGGGCAAAGAATGGCCTCCCGCTGCGAGCCTAAAGCGGAGCTGCTGCTGCCGTGGCTGCCGCTCTCTGCGTGTCTCCTGAGGCGCGCACTCGCAGAGTACACGCACTTCTCACCAGCAGAGCACAGCACACTCGCCCCGGATGGCCCACGACCGCAGCCATGTCATTTCACACTCCCTCACACTGTCCCGCAGAGACTGTCCCAGCCACTTTATTTACCTTTTTTTGGAGGCCACTCTAAATAACCAACAGCAGACGTGCCTCTGCTCTCAATGATTTCTGTCTGGCTGCGTACTGTCTAAGTCTTCTCCAGTGGCTGCCACACCCTTCCCAAAAGCAGCCCCCCAGTTCTGCAGGCAAGCGCAGCCACACGACCTGCCTCTGCAAAGCTCACTTGCCCTCAGAACCCTGACTCTCACATTTACTTGTCAGGATTCAAATAAATCGATATCCTGATGTTCTGGCCCACAAAAAAATCCACCCACGGAGACCTAGCGCTGAGAGTGGCAAGTGCAGCAGACCCCAAGGTGAGAGGCAGGATGGCTGACAGGTCCAGACTTAGCACAACTGGGCACTGGCCATCACAAAGAGAGAGGAGGGGGTGCTCTGAACAGGCACCCAGCACAGCGGCTGGCTGGTGGATACCCACAGAAACAGGCACGCTGGCAATGGGACCTGCCCCAAGAATCCTAAGAGCCAGGACACTTCTGGACATCCAGGAAACATAACAATTCTTTGGGGAAAGCTATTGTAGTAAAGTCCACTCCAGCCCCACTGAGATTCTTCTTTGGCAAAGCTGGGCCTCAGAAGGGACCACAGAGTAGACTGCTGGACAGAACTTGGAGGCAACAGAGGGGTACAGTTCTGAAAAGGAGAGAAGGCAAGGTCTGTGCCGCCTCTGCTCTCCCCAGGTCCAGGAGCTGGACTTGTCCTCCCTTCAACACTCAGCCACCCCTGCGGGGAAGGAAGAGGTGCTGTCTGACTACTAGCTCCCCTCCATCACAGACAAAGCCCCACTCGCGGCCCCCAGAAAGCCAAATGCGCCGGGCCTCACTTCAGAAGCAGGCAAGTTCTGAATGTGTTCGAAGTGGAAAACTCCAGCTCTGCTTCAAAAAGATCATTTCTAGTCTATTATCCTTACATGACCAAGGACTCCATGCACCCCGCATTTATGGTGCAGTTACAGTAACAATGCTCTAAGACATTCTGATCACCTACTGGCCTGACACATCTTCTGCAGGTAGGGACATGGGGGAAGGCCCGCTTTTGCAGCGGAGGCTGGGCAGAGCCAACCCCTCTCAGAAGTTAGTCCATCACTTATAGGCAGCTCTTCCTACCCACTTCCGTCTATGCAAGTTTCTTTTACTGTCCTATCCCTTTTCTAATAAACCTGCTCTATAAATATCAAAAAAAGAAGAAGAAGTTAGTCAACCACTTATCAAGCGCCCTGCACATGCCCAGAGCGGGAGAAGAGGCGGAGATGGCTGCAGTGAGGGGAAACAGCAAAGCAGCACAGCCCTGCTTAGACATGCACCCTCAGCCAGGGGAAGGAGGTGACACCTGGGCTGAGACCACAGAATGAAGAGTATCCCGCGGGCGGAGATCCCGGGCAGCACATTCTAGACGGAGGAGCAAAGGCTGCGGACAGACAGCAGCTGGAGACGAGGCAGGAGAAAGGTGGGCAGGGCCATGGCCACAGAGTACTGGAGGACTCTGAATTTCACTCTCAAAAGTTCCCACTGGGCATGGGTCCCTTCCAGCGTGAAGTGACCCACGGCGCTGGAGGCACGGTGACATCCCACCAGCTCTCCCATCACAAGCCGAGACCCAGGTCGCACGCCTGGCCCACTTGTGCACCCACTGGCACGTCTGCTCTGACCACATCAGGCTGGAGCGGCCCAGCAGAAGCCGGTGTGTTCTGCAGAGCGGCGTGGTGGAGGACGGTGTGCGGTTCATTTACTCTCTTGCCTGCAGCATCCACAAATCCTCTGCCCTTCACTAACAGCACCACACCTCCAACGAGTTCTGCTTTGATCATTTTCACACAATTAGGCTGGGACCCCAGCGCAGGCCACAGCCCTGTCCTCCTGACCCAGCTCTTCTTCGCTCCTGCTTCTGGTGGGTCAGGGCCACCCCAGCTGCTAAGTCGTGGAGCCTAAAGGTTCAAAGCAGACCCGCTGGACTGAAACCCACCAGCTAGTGCTAGAATCTGAAATATTCCGGATTTAAATTAGTTATATGAAAATAAAGGCCCCCAAATGGCCACACATAAACGTTCGTTCCTTAAACAAAACTGTTTTGGGCTTTCACAGTTTGCCGTGAGTATGTAAACGTGACCTGTTCCCTAGAGGACCGCCCCGATCCCTTACGGGGCGGGGCTGGGCACAGACAGAGGGGAACAGACCCAGCGAGGAGCCCAGATCACGCTGGGCGGCTTCCCTCCACATGGCCCTTCCCGGGCAGCCTCACCCCGTGTGCGTGGGAAGAGGGCCAGCAGAGACAGCTTCCCGGAGCTCCAGGAGGGCATGGGCACTCAACAGGCGACAGGGACGGCTGGCATCCCAGAGAGAGTTCCTGAAGTTCACACGGAACCAATCCGACTACAGCATGGAGAAGCTGTTGGAAGCACGCATGGCGGGTGTGCAGACATAGGCGCATCTCCCCTAGTTAACTGGTTTTGACCAAGAAGACAAGTGAAAAAGACCTGGAAATGCCCACTGACACTGAGGGTCTGCAAAAAGGGCAGTGTCAAAAGCAGCTGGAGCGTAAATTCTGTCGGTTTTTCTCCCCAGAGGCAGTATTATCTAATACCAAAAAGTCAGATATCCTTTCACTCAAAATGACATTTCCTGGAATCCATTCCGAAGAAAACCAGCACACACGCCCAAAGACAGCCAACAACATCTCTTACATTAAAGCATAGTTTTTTTACAGGAAAAAACTAAAACAACTTAAAGGCCCAGGTTGTGCAGCTCCACTGATGGATGCAGCTCCACTGATGGAGGCGAGACAGAGCGGGGCAGGGGCCGGAGGCCCAGCAAGATGAAGGGCCTGGCTGCCGTGTGGTCCAGGGCGGCGCCCACCACAGACTCGGCGAGGGCTGACCTGTGAGGAAGGAGCCTGTCTGTCTTGCCTGTTTGCTTCCATGTTGTTTGAGAATCTCATGAATATGTTTATTACCTTTATACAAAAGTGAAAACACACCTACATACAAACAAAGCAAGCCATGGAGCATCTGAATGTTGGCAAAGGCCTGACAGCACCTCAGAGTCCTGTGGCCTCAGGTGGCACACACCTGCGACAGGAGACCGCGAGACCACCTGCAGCAGGGAGGGTCTGTCCACAGCTCGGCAAGTGGCATCCACCGCTCCAAAATGCCTGGATTTTTCTTAAAAGACAAGGTTGGGTCGGGGGGAGTAGGGATGAAGTCATGAGGGCGAGGAGAGTTTTAAAACAAAAATTCTTACTATGCTAATTACAACTTAAAAAAAAAAAAATAGCCTAACACGACCACTTTTAAATGGGCTCCTTTGAATTAAACCAGATAGAACCACTCAGGCCAGAAAACCAAGTTTATGGGTTTCACAGAACACCGAAAGCAAGATCTGCAAAAAAATTCTGATAGGGCCTCCCTGGTGGCGCAAGGGGTTAAGACTCAACCTATGAAGCTGTCCGTAGCCACTGCAGCACGAGTTCGATCCCTGGCCAGGGAGCTACCCACATGGCACCGAAGACCGTCTTCTGTCTTCCTGCTGCTCCCCTCAGCAGTGTGTCTCAGTAGATCTGCCTGTTCTGCTCCCCACTGTCTCAGGTGAATCCTCTCACCCCCCACACCTCTGGCCTGTACCCCAGTTCTCGTACGCATAAACAAGTAACTCTTTAAAAAAAAAAAAAAGAAAATTCTAAGTGGAATTCATTAACTCAGAATTTTTTTCCTCCGGAAAGACATCAGAGAATAAACAGATAAGCTACAGATTTGTAGTAAATAGTTGCAAATCATCCGATCATGGGCTTGTATCCCAATATATAAATTCTCAAAACCTGACCGTAATAACCACCACCCAATTAAATTTAAAAGACATGAATAGATCTTTCAAGGTGGGTACAGTGGTAGCAAACAAGCCCCCGAAAAGATGCTACTAGCTTTCAGACATACACAAATGAAATCCACAGCAAGATACCCCCACCCACCTACTCGGGTGACTAAAATTTTAAAATCCTGACAAAATATCCAGTGCTCTAGCGAGGACGTGGGTTGATGGACCCTCTCCTACCTGGCTGGTGGCAATGCAAGATGGTGCAGGCACTCTTGGAAAGCGCTTGGCAATTCTCACAAAGTCAAGCATACGCTTCCAGTGGACCCTGCAATCCCAACCTTAACTCTAGAGAAACGACAACTTACATTCACAGGGAAGCCTTAGGTGAGGTACTTATAGTCGTGTTACCACAAGTGCCCCAAACCGGAGACAGACCCGCAGCTTCAGTAGGCAAACGGAGAAGGATGCTGTGGAGTGTCCGCA